CAATACAAAGAACCCTTTAGTTATGCAAAGGGTTCTTTGAGTATTCATAGTTCTATCCAGAACCATTTTCTTTACTAAAGAACCCTTGAAAAATAATATTTTAAGTGTGTATGGTTCTGTATAGATCCTTTTTCCAAATGGTTCTACATAGCACCAAAAAGCGTTCTTTTATTGCTACGATGATATATTTGTGTTGTAGTCATGGCGACTCCTGGTTCCTATCACCATCACTGTAAAGAAATCTGAACCATTTCACACCAAACCACTCTGAATGACTTTGTTTACAGCTCAACCACTGAATTGTGCAGCAGAAATGTTGAAATTTTGGTGGACTTGTCCTTTGATATGGAGAATTTTTGGATGTGTTTTGGTGAATAAGTAGAATAAAACCTCCTGAATAATAGTAAGGCGCATAAACTTCATTCAGTCTGTATACTAATGCAGAGCCACCCAAATCCTACTAGATAATAGACTAACTGTAGATAAAGGAATTAGAACTGATCTCAGATCAGACTAGGACGTCTACTACATGGTCACTGTTTCCACCGGTGTGTTACAGTCCATCAAATGTTTTGATCTAACAAATAGAAGGAAATCTTTTACCCTGCAACAGCAGAGCTGAACCACTAGAGGTCACAAGCCAGATTCACTACCAATATAACAACATTATCATAATGACTGTCAACAACATGCCTAACAAACAGGCCTAAAACATCAGAAAAGTCTTCATGAGGCCACAAAGACTAGTCTTAGTCCTGCCTCCATACACACTGCATACTGTCTAAGTGCCACATCATCTGTTCACTGTCTTTGCCTTCCTTTCCTCCAAGGCTCTCCACTTCAGCTCAGTCCGGGATCCCCTAGAATACAGCGTCTGTCCTTAGAGACTCGTTCTCCTCGCCACGCCTTCATCTGGAGCTCTGCCCACTACAGCGTGGACATATCGTGCTGATGAGAAGCAGCCAAACACATCACACGGTAGGGGGGCAGTATGGTCAGTGCTTATATAAGATCAGAATGAACGTTGATGAGGCTTAGTAAAAAGAAAAAAAAAAAAATTAATGAAAAAAGTCTTAGTTAAACAGTTCTTTGAGGATTTTCTGTCTGCCCCCAGGAGACACTGTCCAGACACGACTCAACAGACCGAGCTGAAGAAAAGCCAAAATGGCAGCATTTATTCACAGGATGGAGCTACAAACGCAAGTGAGGGAGAGGTCACGATGTAAACCCACGCACAGTCACACAGTCAGCATCCTACTGTCCAATGAGGCGCCCACTGTGTGTTTTCCTAATTTTAATAACTCACGGATAAAACAGTTCAGATGTTTTCGGTATTGCTGCAAACAGTAAACATAAGGAACACAGTGATAATGACTCCCTGCATCGAAGCGTAGGCCATGCAGTTTAACCCCTGTAACTGAGAAACTGGTACTGTTAATGTTGAGATGATATAGTAAACATAAATATATATATAGCATTCACCCAGGGGTGTAGCCAGCCAACTAGAGGGGGTCTTTTCTCCAAAATGTGGGTCTTTTAACCCCTTAAAATCCCAGGCTTATGAAATACTAAGGCCTATTATTCAGTAACTACATGAACTACAATGCAAACAAGCTGAGCTATTCTTAGATTATAGAAGTGTGCAGTAAAACCTTGGGCCTGCTGGTGGGCCCTGGACATTTAAGGGGTTCAATTCAAGCACAGGGTATTTCACGTAGGTCAGTCTATGACATTTTAAAATCCAAGCTAAAAACATGTCTCTTTTTCATGTGCTTATAATGCAGATCTAAGACTTTATAACGTGTTCCACATCATCTTGTGAGTGACATCACTGCAAAAAACAGTATCTTGTCAAGTGAAATTGTCATAATTCAAGTCAATATAATCAATATTTCTTATTGTGAGATGGTTGTGCACTTATTAATAGATTATTTAGCATTTCTAGAATTTTTAAACCCTGTTTTAAGTCATGTTAAGTAAAATTATCTCAATACACTCTCAGAAATAAGGGTACTAAACGGTCACTGGGGCAGTTCCCCTCTTGTCACTGGGGTGGGACCCTCAAGGGTCCATCTCAGTACCTTTAGTCAGGGAACATAACCGAACCATAATCCACTGAAATGATATGTTCTAAGCTGTACTGACTCCACACACCCCGTCTCGTCTCCAGGCTTTTATTTTACTGTTCTGTTTAAAACATTCGGTTATGAAAAGGTACAAATACAAACTTTTCACCTGGATAAACGTATTTAAGGTTCACAATCAGACCTTAAAAACACTGTTGAACCTCTGAGGGCACATTTACGTTGTTTGTACCTTGATGAACGGAAAATGTACCTGAACAGAACCTTAATTTCTAACAGTGTATACTGGCAGATAATTCAGCTGGTTTCAAGCTCATTTCTTAAAACAAGCAAAATTATCTGCCAATATAGTGAGATAATTTTACTTTAAAAAAATGACTTAAAACAAGCAAAAATGTATGGAAATGAGTTAAATAATCTTATAATAAGCTTAGAACAATCTCAACAGGAGAAATATTGGATATATCAACTACATTTAAGATCATTTTACTTCACAAGATACTACTTTTTGCAGTGATATCAGCAGGATTTCAGTAAAATGAGCACATCGTTTCAGTTTTTCAAATAAACTTCTTGTTTGTTTTATTTCTCATACCTTTTTTAGATAACTGGTATCAATCTCAGGCAGGCTTGTTAATTAGTCTGCCAGGTGATCTGGATTAAAGGGAAACCTACACTAATAAGCAAGTCACAGTTCTCATGCAATACGGGGAGGAAAAAAGATCTTTGAAGACAAAAAGCGTGAAATAGTGCAACGTCTCGCTAAAGACATGAAAACGATTGATATTTCACAAAAACTAAAGGAAGTCAATTCAGAGCAGTTCAGGGCCCAGACGAATACAGATAAAGCCTTATTAGGGAGCGTTTCTGTCAGACAGATGAATGATATTAAAAAGGCAGCTATAAAGAAGCCGCTGTTGAGCAGCAAACAGGTATTAAAGCTGCTGGTGTCTCTGGAGTCTCAAGAACCTCCCAGAGCCGGATCCTCCACAGGCTGGCTGTTGTGGATTAAGCTGTATGTGGGCCACCCTAACCAAAGCTCACAAAGAGAGACGTTTGCAGTGGGATCATAATACATGAAAAATAACTTTCAAACAGTTTTATTCACAGAAGAATGCCGTGCGACACTGAATGGTCCAGACGGATGGAGTTCTGGATGGATGGTGAACGGCCGCCCTGTTCCATCAAGACTGTGACGTCAGCAGGGAGGTGGAGGAGTGATGATTTGGGCTGAAATGTTGGGTGAGATGGTACACTGTAAAAAGTGTCTCGTCAGATCTACCTAAAACGTTACGTCATATGGTAACAGGCAATTGAAGTAGTTTTATTCAACTTAAAAAACTACATTGATTGAAAGAAACGTTCATTCAAAGTATTTATGTAGGTTGATGTGGAGAAGGGGGCGTGGCCGAGCGTCGAATGCGGGGCGGAGAAGCCGGTCTGGCTGAACCAGCGGGCTAAGTAGCTGATTATGCTCACCTGTGCCTTGTTTCTGCCAGCCTACTTATAGCCATCTCTTCTTTCAGCAGGAGTGCAGAGAGAGAAGGAGAACTATGAAGTCATGAGAGCTGAGCTGAGCTGAGCTGGACCAGAAAGAAAGAAAAGAAAGGACTGAAAAGTCCCCGCGAGCGTCTTGTCTTACTTTGTGGGCTGAAAAGCTGAGCGTTTTGCGATGTGTATAAATAATAATAAAAGAAAGCTCTCCGTCTTCACACCTGCCCCCGGCGTCTTTCCTCCACCCATCGTTAAAGTTGCTACAGTTGAATAAAACTGTTTACTTGTTACCACATGAAGTCATTTTTTAGGTAGATCTGATCAGACACTTTTACAGTGTAGGTCCCTTTGGGTCCCTTAATGACCATTCTAAGATATGCGGCGTTCCTAACCATCCACTTTCTGCTATGGTATGAAAAGACAAACTGTGCCTTCTGAAATAAAATTATTATGGTTCTGGTTGCTACGGGGATGACCGGAGAAAATATCATGGTGTGGCCATCATGATCCCCTGACCTCAGTCCTATTGAGAACCTGTGGAGCTTCCTAAAAAGGAAGATCTATGAAGTTGGGCGTCAGTGAACCTCAAAACAGCAGCACTTGGAGGCTATACTGGCATCCTCACCTGAAATCCAGGCAGAAACTATTCATGGACTTACAAGTTCAATGGACGCGTGAGCTGTTATCAATATGTAACATGATCTGTAAACATGTTTTTTGCTATGAATGTCATCATGAATGTCATTGTGACCAACATATTTTGTGTATTTTGTGTTCTTCTCAAAATATCAGTAGAGCCATTGTCATAATCAGTACTTCCACTTGTAATAACATCAACATTTTAATATAATTGTTGAGGATAAAAAAGGCTTAAACGCTCTAACTGTTCGGGAAAAACAAAGAAAAATGGCATTTGCATAATAATTTGGAACGCAGTGCATTTTTTACTGCACTTTGTTTTCAGCACTGCACCTTTAACGAGCTAATTTAATAACACTTATGGTTTCTGTCTTTTAAGTAGCTTGTACTTCCTTTTAAAGGGGAATTCCACCAATTTTTTAAAAAAAAATTTGTATAATTAAAACAAAGATGTAAACAGTAAGTCTTTCGGAGTAGTTTGATGTGAAATGGTTCATTGTAGAGAAACTTACCAACTCAGATTTCCTTACAGTGTTGGGCCTTAAGCAACATTCTTGTGACCATTTCATATAATAACGTCATGTGAGGGAGCTTTTAGAGGCATTTCAGCCGTCTGGTTCCTATCACCACCACTGTAAACAGTTCTGGCTTTCTCTAGAACAGAGCGTTTCACTTCAAACCACTCTAAGTGACTTTGTTTACATGGTGATGCTTTAATTATGCAGAACAATGAGTAAAATTCCCCTTTTGAGTTTGAAGAAAACTGAAACTGACCATTTCAGTTTTTTTGGTAGGTTACATTAATAGCATTCACCAAAGAACCTGAATCCAGTGATTCATACCTGCATGAGTACTTTGATAAAATTATCTTAATTATTGTAATTATTCTAACTGTGTTATAATTATTGATGGGCTATTTTAGCCCCAAAATGAGACCGAGTGTCTATGCGTCTATTAAAGGCATGGTGTGATTCCATTTTAACAGGTTTTCTGACGTTTTTAGGACCTGTTAGGTGAAACGACCCACTCGACCCCCTCTTTGGCTACACCCCTGCCACCTGTCAGCATAGCAATGGAAATTATAGCTGTGTATCAATATAGCAGCACAACAATGCCTGGCTCTTAGTATCTCAACATACTTCAGATGTATGATGACATGAAATTAATTACATTCAAACCAATTTACAAATATGTAAGAAATGCATACACAGCAAAAATGCACTATACACACACATAAGGGACTAACAAGACCTTTAACACAAAAACAACATTAATCACTGGGAAAACAGCACTCAGAGAGGGTCTGCTAAACAGCAGACGAGGCATCATCAGGACCCCGGATCTGCATAAATAAACAACACAAAGATGTTAAAATGCAGTCATTACAGCACTGTTAGTATATCACTGTTGTCATAAATCCTGATCTCAGATAAAAAGGTCCTAAACTGTCACTCTTGTCACTGGGGTGGGACCCTCAAGGGTCCATCTCAGTACCTTTAGTCAGGGAACATAACTGAACCATAATCCACTGAAATGATATGTTCTAAGCTGTACTGACTCCACACACCCCGTCTCGTCTCCAGGCTTTTATTTTACTGTTCTGTTTTAAAACATTCGGTTATGAAAAGGTACAAATACAAACTTTTTACCTGGAAAAACTTATTTAAGGTTCACAATCAGACCTTAAAACCACTTTGAGGGAACATTTACACTGTTTGTACCTTCATAAAGGAAAAATGAACTCGCACAGCACCTACAGCGACAGTGTGCTGGCTCATTCATCATGAAATGTTCTCTGTTTATAAATGGAGTATGTCAACATATTGACTTAGCACCTCAAAAGAATGACTTGTTTTCTCAGAATATTGAGTTAATATGTCAAACTAATGACTGTGTTTTCAGAATACTGATTTACTATTTTAAAATAAGGACTTTTTTCTCTAAATATTGATGTAATAGCTCGAGAAAAATGATGAGAAAAGGACTTTTTTCTCTTAATATTGACTTAATATTTTAAACTAATGACTGTGTTTTCAAAATACTGATTTGCTATTTTAAAAGGATTTTTTTTCTGGAAATATTGAATTAATATCTTAAAATAATGATTACTTTATCAAAATACTGACTTTATATATTATAATAATTACTTTTTTTCTCAAAAGATTGACTATGTTGAAATAATGACTTATTTTCTTGAAATATTGATTTAGTATCTCAAAATAAAGAGTTTTTTTCTTGAAATATTGAGTTAATATCTTAAAATAATGAACCATTTCTTTGAAATATTGATTCAGTATCTCAAATCAATGAGTTATTCCATTTCAAGAAAGTAAACAACTATTTCAGGATAAATCATTAATTCAAAATATGTCAATATTCGGGGTAAACAAGTCATTATTTCAGCATAGCAAGTCAATATTTTGAGAAAACAGACATGTACCGGATTGATTGTCACTCTCACTCCTCAGGTAAATACGTCAGGCTCACTGTTTACAACTGAACTGCCGTTATGGTCCATTCTGACCGTATAATCACCCTCACAGGCTGTGAGTGACTGACTCATTACCTCTCTGGTCCAGGCTGCAGTAGGTCTGGCAGTCGTGTTTTGTGCTGAAGCGGTTTCCGTTTCCTCCGCAGCCGCTGTAGACGAAGGGCCGACACTCTCCAGAGCTCAGGTGGAAGTACCAGAGCAGCACGTACTCAGAGCAGTGACCCTCAGACATCGGCTCGAGACACACATCCGTGACAGAGCCTGCAGAGAGACACTGACACGTTTGTCTGAAAAGTCTGAGAGAACATTGTAAATGTGGTATTTTTTTTCCATTTAAACCTGGAAATAAATAATAAAAGCTTTTAGAATCTTATATCTAATATTTTAAGACAAAGAAAAGTTATGACAATTAAAATGAAGAAGAAATATTACAAATTCTGCACTATTTCTAGGTCACTATTCAAATTCAAGCAAATTGACCACGTTAAGGTCAGATTTTTTTTAGTCTTGTTTCTTGCATTGAAGCTCGTGTTCAGTCGACTCTCAGATGGATTTGATCTACTGATCAGAGGCTTTTGCTCAAGCTTATGGAGCCCATGCCAGCTTGAGTGCACACTGTCTTTAAAGCAAAAGGGGGACACACCACCAAATACTAAGAAATTCTGAAATTCAGGTAAACAATTAAAGATTCTACTTTTACTCAGATTGTTATGCTGATAAAATAATTTGTAATGAGATTTTTGTATTAAATTGGAAAGAAATGCAAAATAGAAGCATTTTCACTAGTGGCCTCAGACTTCCAGACCTCACTGTATTTATAGCCATGATTTTAATGTATTTATTTAAATGCATGAATGTGAAGTCACCACTCTTACCTGGTGGGTGCCTGAAAGCATGTCTCCTCTCTCTCTCTGACTGCGATGTCTCCTCACTGACTCCTGCGAGGCACAAACAGGTGAATTCAGCGCATTAATCACCTGGTGATTTGAGCAGTCGGTACTAAGTGCCCTTCACAGCAGCGTCCCTACACACCCATAATCAGCCTCTTAAATACCAGCAGTGTCTGTGTGGGAGAGACTTTAAGACACGACCGGCTCCAACAAACAGGACCAAATAGTTCATGTTAGAATCATAAATAGAAACAGCAATCTGGAACCAGGCCCTATTCAGAGGGAAATTCCATCAGATTTTTCAAAATTTCTGCATAATTAAATGGCTAAGATGTAAACAAAGTCATTCAGAGTGGTTTGGTGTGAAATGATCTATTGTAGAGAAACTTACTGAGTCAGAATTGTTCACAGTGGTGGTGATAGGAACCAGACGTCTGAAGAGTTTAATACCTTTTCACAGTCCCTCAAATGAAGTCATTACATGAAATAGTTATGAATACACTGCCTGATATCTGTAACATTGTTTACAGACATCTGGCAGCTCATTGCCCTCCTGGACAATACATCACACCTCCTTCATGACCTGCTGGTCAGACGTAAGGAACAGTACAGCAGAACAGCAATCGCACTGTTGTACTGTGCCAGGACATTACTGTATACTGAGCTACTGACAGGACAGGCTTACTGGGCACCAGCTGGACATTATATCTCTCTACTCATTACTATGCACTGCCACTTTGGTTATACATCCATACATACTGCATATTGCACTGCCACTTCTTTACACACCCAGGCATATTGCACAACTGTTAACATCTGTTATCGTTTACAGTGTTTAGTCACTCAGTTCATTCACTGGACGTGACATGCACCACTGCATTGTCACCTGCACAATATTTATGTGATTTTACTTACTTATTTTGGCGCTGCACATTATATTTTATGGTTGTTTTAGTATATTTTATTACATATCTTTACTTTTTCTACACTGTAAAACTCACTGCACATTTTAATGAAACAATTAATTTTATTTAAGTTAATACAACTTAAATACTACAGAAATTTGGACGAACTTAATCTGAAAAAATCAAATTAACTCAAAAATGAACTGTTGAGAGGTAACTAACTAACTCAAGGTAACTTCACTTAAATGTATAATATTCACTATTTTTATTTAACTTGACTTTACATGCAAATACAAACAGGCTGATAATGGGTTGTTTTTAAAGACTGTTGAAAATTCAGTGTGGCGTAATGATAGACGGCATAAATGTTTACATTGAAATTATTTGGACTTTCATGCTTTTTTCATAACTTTATTTTGATGATATCAGACTCAAAGTTTCCATCAAACGGGAACTTTGAGTTGAATAAACTTATTGCAGTTTAGTTTAGGCTCTCAGCTTTACCTGATCAATGTTTGGTCAATGCAGCCTTGAGTAAAACTAACGTCATTCCTATTGGCTCTTAGTATCATATATTTACATTCTGGGTGTGTCTGTTAACCGTCTATGAGTTGTCATTATCCCCTACCTTCCCTTGTGTCCACTACATTTTATAAACTTTTGTGATTCATGACAATTTTTCCTTTTTTTTCCTTTTTTTCCCTTTCTTTCTTTCCTTTGCTGAGCTGAACAGCTGCCCATCCTGTGTGTTCTGATGCTGCTGCCTCTCTGCCTTGATCGGGTGCCACTGCTCGCCAGCCCTCTGGACCGGCTTGACCACCATTGAGCTTCTTGCTGTACAACGCCGTGCAAACCTCACCCTCACAACCTGACCCCACTGATGCTGCTGCTACATGAACTAATCAAAATTAATCATTTGAACTAATCAATCATTTAAACTAATCAAATTAATCAATCACCCATTACAGAACTGACTCTGTGTGTTTTTCCTTTCTTTCTTTTCTTTGCCGAGCTGAACAGCTGCCCATCCTGTGCGTCTGATGCTGCTGCCTCTTCTGCCTTGATCGGGTGCCACTGCTCGCCGTGCAATCCTCACCCTCACAATCTCCAGCACTGTCGACCAGAGGAGGATGGGTTCCCCTTCTGAGTCCTGGTTCCTCTCAAGGTTTCTTCCTGTTCCTAGGGAGTTTTTCCTTGCCACTGTTGCCACTGGCGACGCTCATGGGGGCTTGGACCCAGACTTCTTTCTGTAATGCTGATTTCCTTGTAAAGCTGCTTTGTGACAACACCTGTTGTAAAATCTGTGTTGAGAGAGCTGAATTACTAAGTTCCTCTCTGCTGAGTGGTTCTGTTGTGGCTAAATGCTGTGAAGACTCCATCTGTGCTCTAGACTGTACTGTCAGTGTTTGGAGAGGTGGTCTGTAGTGACAGCAATACTTCTACTCTTGTTTTGCTCTTTACTGTACTTCATGCTGCTGTAGTAGACTTTAATAGACTTTCCCTCTGGGATTAATAAAGTGACCTATCTATTTATCTGTCTTATGATAGAAGGTTTTGGCCTTTTCAAGGTGTTGTGAGGCAAAATAGTCCCCAAAAGAAAACGTATTTTTCCATATTTACCATCATCAACACTACATGAAAACTTGGAGTGCCTTGTTTAGGTTCACTGATTGTTTTGGATAGTAAATAAAACAGCTGTATGTGTGTTGTAGACATGGTGACCTCTGGTTCCTATCACCACCACTGTAAAGAAATCTGGGTCTGCAATGAACCAATTTCACATCAAACCACCCTGAATGACTCTGCTTACATCTCAACCACTGACTTACGCAGAGATTTTGCAAAAAAATAGATCGAATTCCATTTTAAGCTGATTTTGATTCTGTCATCAGCGAACAGAGGGTTTCAGTAGCATTAGTTAACACTGTGCACACAACTAGAAACATTGCTAATCCACATCTAACGATACCAGCTTCTGATACCCTGTTTATTCTGAGATACTGCTTGACTTTCCACCAGCAGATCTGAGCACTGTTGCATTCGCTGAGCCTTGCAGGAACTCTGCATTGACGTCTTATGGCTATTTCCTGCTTCCCTTGGACATTAATGAACAAGCACAGAGAGAAATCCTTCTGGATGATTAGCCTACACTTTTCTCCTGTGCTAACTCCTCACATTTCACATTGTCAGGCACGGCGTACCACTGTTTTGATGCTCTGTCACACGGCTGACAACCCAAAGAACAAAGCTTTGTGTGCATGTTATAATAAGGCCACTGAAGTCATATCACATAAAAAAAACCTCAGTAAACAGAGTTATGGAGACAGAAAGGAAAGGCGTACTATTTTGAGACTTGCTCATTATCAGCTCTCTTACTTGTGGTATTGTCGTACACTGATGTGGGCTCGGGGTCTGAAACAGTGGGCGAGGCGGTTGTTTCCTCCTCATCCGTTTCCTCTGCTCCGTCCTCCTCCTTCAGAATGCTCCCTTCATCCGGATCATTGGTGTTCACGACGAGAAGGTAGTCTTTGCCTTGATCAAACACAGAGAGCACAGAGAAGCCGTCACAGTTGGCATCCTTTGTTGGACCAAAGTCCTTCAGAGGAAATCTGAAGGGGGCACTTTTGATCAGCTTGACATTGTTAGAACTTTTAACTCTGGTTTAATGATAAAACGCAGTGTGGCATATGCTTCATTTCTGTTAATGGACTTTTTTTTTCTCTCTCTCTCTCTCTTAAGGTTGTTTGTGAATGACTCCTGTAGGCAGTCTGAGCTCAGCAGTCTGTTCCACTGAGAGAACACTCTAGAACACAACAGATGGTGGAACCCATGGGGTCCCCATACTGCAACAGCAGGGGATTCAGCGCACATAACTGTATACGGAGGAGCACAGATCCATACAAAAATCGTGCACGGACCAGCCTTCCACACAGGCACATACACACACTCGTATGCAGAGGTTTGAACACCCCTGGTCAAACAGCTGGTTCTGTTGATTTAAAAATAAAAAGTTAACACTTCCTTTACAGAGAACACATAATAAATATGGCATTGCCTACAAATTTTAGTTCACAGTTTCGATTTAATTGCTGAGTTTAACATATTGAAAAAAATAAAATGTACAGTAAAAAATGTGCCATAACTTTTGTACAGGCCACATTTCATGCTTTATTTTTCCATGAATATGTTAAATGGACTGGCGACCTGTCCAGGGTGTATCCTGCCTTCCGCCCAATGACAGCTGGGATAGGCTCCAGCACCCCACCGCGACCCAGAAGGATAAGCAGTTTAGATGATGTATGTATGTATGAATGTATGTTAAATTCAGCAAATAAACCCTAATTGTGCATTGCAATGTGCAGAAGTGTGTGGCAGCACATTCCTGACTTCTTTCAACTTCAAATGCAAAGTTAAAGTGCTAATTAAATTCTGTATTTAAAATGTGAGTGTGCATTATTACAGACATAATTCAAATTCAGATTCAAGATCACTTTGGACAGAATCATCCTCAGCCTGGTTGGTGAGTGTTAAAATGTCACTAGCAGCAGTCGCTATTGCTACCTCCATATTGTAAACAAGAGTGTAGCTGTGCACCAGTACCACTAATGTTCACACTTTTTCCTCAACATGCCCCGCACTAAAAGTCCCACCCGCAGTGTTTGATTGACAGGAGCACAACTGCAAAGGCGCGATTGTTTTTCCATTTTTAATATGTTGCTTGTTGATATTACATTTTTCCAGCCACTATACACAGAAATGCAAATACAAATACACGTTTCGCATTTGAATTTGATAGCGCACTCACATGGGAAGTGCGATTGTAATAGACATACACAATTTAACTAGCCTTTTCAACATCGCATTAGAATATGTTTCAACTTATTTTTACGTGGAAAATGAACAAATCATGAGATTTAACTGGGCTCTTAAACTTTTGCATGCGATTTTAAAACGTTTTAGTAATCATAGGGAATTATGTTTAACAGCTGTTTATCTAATAAGAATCTATTTGCTCAGAAAACACTGATATTAGAATAAATACAAGTAAACAGTTATAAGTTTATGTATGTCGTTTAACCATTTCCAAACCTCACCATCCAAACATTCTATACCAGTATTATTTGTAAATATCGTCCAATATCTGTTGCATCACTTTCAAAACATTCAAATGCACAGATCTGATCTGAAAATGATTACAAATGAAGAATCACGTTTAAGTACTGATTTAAAACATGAATTTGGCCTGAAAATGTGTAGATGAACGCAACACACTAACCAGTATCAGTATATCAGTGTAATGCTACAGGCATTACAGTATGCAATCCATGAAACATTGTGTTTTTATAAATCAGTTGTACACAATGACTGAGAACTTATCTTAAGCACAAATTCAGAACGAAATTCAAGTGAAATTCAAATGATGGTAACATTTTCTATGAATGTCACCTTTGTAAGCATCTATAAACACATTCATAACATGTTATAATGCATTCATAAGGCATCATAAACATGGCTATAAATATTTATTAAAATGCATTACACGTTATAGCCATGTTTATTATGCATTATGAATTGTTAACATAATACATAATAAGTACTGATCATAACAAATTATAAGAGCTCATAAGTGGTATTTGTCCGCTCTAAGTAAAGTGAAGCGTACTGTACTAAAGCCTCCTCCAGTGTTCAGAGTGAGGCTTCAAGTTGAAGTATTTACTGAAGGATTTACTGAAACACTAAAACATTCACAGTAAAGCACATTACAGGCTTCAAATGTCAGAGTTTAAACTAGAGCTGCCATCAGTGTTTTACCCAATGTGGGAAAGTCAATGTTCACCACCGTTAGCTTGGTATTTGTCTTTACTTTGCGGTCTCCAAGCTGGGACTGACTTCTTTGGCACTGACATTATAACATGTTATGAACACTATTTATAATGCATTATGTAAACAATTCATAATGTATAATAAACATGGCTATAAAGTGTAATTCAGTTTTATAAATGTTTATAATCATGTTTATAATGCCTTATGAATGCATTACAACATGTTATAAATGTGTTTATAGATGCTTACAAACATGACATTCATAGAAAGTGTTACCCAAATGATTTATAAACGAGGCCCCTGGTTTGGCCAATCAGTCCTTCATTATGCTGCAAATCAGGAGCGCTGTAGATGGAATTTAACACATCCATGTGATAGCTGGGAGTATTGAGGTGGAACGTGGAACCAAACTTTGTTCTTTAACTAGCCCCTAAGATATCAGCTTTTTCAAAACACAGAAATTACTTTTAACTGTATTTAAGGTTTTTTTTTTTCGCATCTAATGACACACTGCAAAAATCTTGGCAAGTGAAATGATCTAAAATGATATTAAATCTAGTTGATATATTGTATATGGCAGATAATTATCTGCCAATATATTAAGATAATTTCACTGAAAATAATAAAGTATCCGTAAATAATTTTAATATTAAGTAATATTATTATATTTCTCATTTTTACATCATTGTAAGCTTATTATAATATTACTTATCCTATTTATGGACACTTTTTCTTGTTTTAAGTAAAATTTTATGCCAATGTAGTGAGATAATTTTACTTAAAACAAGTAAAAGTGTCCATAAATAGGTTAAATAATACTATAACAAGCTTACAACAATGTCAAAATGAGAAATATTACATATATCAACTGGATTTAAGATATTTCACTTGGCAAGAGACCATTTTTGGCAGTGTACATGGACTTTTTCTGGCAAAAACACATTTACTGCCAAGATACATGGCTTTAAACTATGTGCTTGGGTGCCTCTTGTATTGTACTGTGTATAACGATACTCGCTGACTCACCACACTTTTCTATCACCTCCTTAGTCACAAGGTCCTTCACCTCCTCTACCTACACGACCAAGAGGGACAAGAAAGGTTTAAGATCCATATAACATCCATATAAATCATATAAATTTGACAATAAAGCTTTGACACAGTCTTTAAGGTGACTGCAGTATTACTGAAGACACAAACTCACTGTAAGTCCTGGATCTCCTTTTTCTCCTTTCCTTCCTTCTACTCCTATCTCACCCTGGAGAGAAAGCACAGACATTGTCCAGGACATCAGAAGCAGGTGCATCCCTCAGCACTCTGGACTTCTCTATACAGAACACAACAGGTTCAGAGCTCTGTGTAGTGAAAAGCTTACATCCAGTCCTCTTTGTCCAGGAATTCCAGGAGGGCCTCTTTGACAAGTCTTCCCTCTGCCTCTTCTACCCTTCTCTCCCTGAGAGGGAGGATACGGTGCGTTAAACACATTTACACACACACTGGCCACTTCATTAAGTCCACCTCCTTGTTTCTACATTCTTTGTCCATTTTATCAGCTCCACTGATCATAAAGGGGCACTTTGTAGTTCTACAATTACAGACTGTTTCTCTGTATACTCAGTTAGCCCATTTCACCCTGTTCTTCAGGGGTCAGGACCCCCACAGGACCCCCACAGAGCACAATTTGGGTGGTGGGTCATTCTTAGCACTGCAGTGACACTGATGTGGTGGTGGTGTGTTACTGTGCGTCGTGCTGGTACGAGTGGATCAGACACAACAGTGCTGCTGGAGTTTTTAAACACCTCAGTGTCACTGCTGGACTGAGAATAGTCCACCAACCAAAAATATCCAGCCAACAGTGATCACTGATGAAGGACTAGAGGATGACCAATACAAACTGTGCAGCAGCAGATGAGCTGTCGTCTCTGACTTTACATCTACAAGGTGGACTAACAAGGTAGGCGTGGCTAATAGAGTGGACAGTGAGTGGACACAGTGTTTAAAAACTCCAGCAGCACTGCTGTGTCTGATCCACTCGTACCAGCACAACACACACTAACACGCCACTACTATGGTGACACACTACTTACCAATAATCTAAAGACCACAAAGTTGATGTTACCATTGCCATTTCCAACGAATTTCAAACAGAAGATACGGCTCGATGTTTAGGTCTCAAATGCAAAATCAACATTATACAGATGAAGATATGACAACAATAGTAGATAATTCTCTCACATCCTTGGAGGACACCAAGTTTTGACTGAGTTCCCTTTGAATTCTCTTTCAGCGTGTTCGCAATCATCAGATATATCTGCTTGTGAGGGTCTGAAGCACAAACCCACATTACAAAGTGTTCTTCCTCACGTTGTGTGCAGTTGCACATTTCCACCAGAGAGGCCTCCAAATCCCCAAAACTTACAGAGTGTAGCTTTGATCAATAATGTAAGAATTTAGACATCATTTAGAATCTGCTTGTGTGTGTGTGCTATTCACCAGACCCCTGGCCGTACAAATTATTTATTAATATTTGTTGAAGACATGGTATGTGATCAGTGGGTCATTCTCCATTTGGAGTGGGAATTCAAGTGGATACATTTTAAAAAAAACTATTTCTTTCATCCCAAAACTAAATAATCTTAATATGTCCTTTAACATCTCCTATTATCATATATGCAAAAAGGGGAACTTAATTCCAAACATATTTAACAGTCACTGGTGTTGTATGAACATGGTGTAACACCAGTGACAGTGACTCCAGAGATATTCTGGTTAAAACTGAGGATTTTGTAAATCGACTGACTCGTTGGTGGTTCAGGTGACCTTGTGCAACTATTTAAAATCAGTAATATGGCATTATTTTGACATTGTTGGTAATAAAAATTATTTATATTTTAATTACCCAGCCATTAAAGCACACAACACCGGTGACACATAGAGGTTATGTGCTGCCTGATAAACAAAATTATTAATAAATTAATGAAATATAGTGAGTGAGTGTGACTCGCCTTCTCAGGCCTTGATACGCTTCCTCTCTGATGAGCCTCGACCCAAAGAAGCGGTTTAATAGAGCTAAAAAGACTGTGTTAAAATGTAACATAAGAGTCCTGATAACACCAGTGACCAAAATCTCTGTGACAAATTAATTTTTTAAATTAAATACATAATTTTTAAATGTAGTGAAACGTTAATGATATAAAAAGTAAACATGAATCTGTTTTATACAAATTCCAAAGTTAAACCTCTTAAAAATATTATTTTATATTAAAAATTGTTTCTCAAATGTTGAAAATTGGTTTTGTGACGAGCTGTTTTACAAATGCAGAGCGATTGAAACAGGATAAAAAAGAAAAATCAGAGAATCATAAGGGAAAAGTGTTATTTAATCTTAGGTCAACTGTGTAACCCACATACCCACTTTTGGAGCTGTGCCTGATATTTTAAGCATCTTTTTGAGCCCTGCAACCTTTGTGACATTGTTTTCCCTCCAAATGGAGAACGACCCTAGTAGCTTGCCTATAAATATAACTGATGCAAATGTAAATATAACTCTATATATTTGGACACTTGTTTGGCTCTAGCATGGCTATAGATAAATCAATTAAACTGATCACATTCACAGGAGCTGCATGCAAACATGGAACACTGTGAGTAGACTGAATACTCTAGTGCCAACATCACTACGATTCAGCCTTAAGTCTCGAGTCCTGCAGCTTTACAGCACTGGACTACCCCCATTAATACCTTAGGTCCAACTTCCCCTTTGGGCCCAACTGGTCCAGGGCGGCCAGGAGCTCCGTTGGGACCCTGTGCACCTGGTGATCCCTTAAAACCAGGGAAACCTGGAAAACCTGTAGCTCCCTTCAGAAGAACAAAGCACATGGCAATCATTTATACATAGTCCTAGACTGTACTAGTACTAGACTGTGATTACAGCCAGGATCCTCTTAATGAGGAAAAGGTTCAATACAAAGTTACCTTCTCTCCCTTTTTCCCTGGTGCACCATCAAGTCCATTCAGGCCTCCATCGCCTTTATCTCCCTACAACAAATCGTTTTATAACTCACCATATTTTAATCAAACAAGCAGATCATCATTTTAGTGTTACACAGAGTATAGTTTCAGATTATGGGTTTAATGATTCTGATTATGATGGAAATAAAGATGAGGAGGGTTATTTTTTTGGTGCCACTTACTTTTCTTCCAGGGAGTCCATTCAGTCCTGGGATGCCCGGAGTCCCCGGCACTCCAGCACTGCCCTGTGTTTGATATTCAGCAGTATTATATCCAGTTAAATCATATAGGTGATAAACACTACTGCATTATGATTATGCTGAACCATCAAGTGACATAATAATATTTGAATATTATACATATATGTGTTTCATTCAGTTGGTGAATGAAAAAAAGGATTTTTATTGTCATTTCAATTATTATTATTATTGTTGTTGTTGTTACTGTTGTTGTTGATCACCGATCAACAATTACTGTCATATCAAATATAATTAAAGGCTAATCCATAGGATACTTTCTATTGGAAGGTGTCTGTCCCAAACCCTAACCCATACATTTTTTTTTTCAAGTTTTTTTTTAAAGATAGTTTTATTAGTATTTCTTTTAAAGTGAAGATAAAATATTTATATCTATCAAGGATTAAATAAAAAATGTATCATGACTTGAAAAAAAAAAACATTCAAAAAATGCTGTTTCACGTTTTCATGTCTCTAATGAAGCACAGAGTTTTAGTCAGTAGGCGGAGTCCTCTTTTAGCCACACCCCTGCATTTTAGAGCAGGAAGTGAGGCTGCATCCCTGTCCCTCATGGCCACATGGTGAGCAGTTAGATCCCATTGTTTTGAACTAAATGTGTCCCAAAGTGTGAAAATCAGTGTGGAACTTTAAGAACTGTCACTACCAAAAAACAGATTTTCTACAATTAAATACTTTTTTGTGTTATAATGAAAAATATGATGATTTAATGTGTGTACAGCTGTTCAAAATGAAAAATGTTCTAATGTAATAATAATTTGAATACACTGATTTTTTTATCAACCGTTATATCTCCTGCTCGATTTGTGTTCGAGTGTTGAATCTCGGTGTGTGGCTGAGCGTGACGCGATTGCTTAGCGCACCACTTATCAACAATCTCATTGGAGGCCACTCAGCTCATTTGCATAAAGTTAGTGCAGAAGGAGAGAGAGCAGCCTAGGAAGGTTTGATGTGTCAGCTGTATGCGTATACTCTCAGCTCTCGCCGCGTTATTACGTGTTATGATACACTCGGTTTGCTGTAAATTAACCAACAAACATTCAATCTAAATGAAAAAAGAAAAGGCAAATCATTTTGTATGATAATCCATTCACATCACATATATGCTGCTTAAAATTTCAGCTCCCCCAACTTAAAACACCTTCCTGTGTTCTTGAGCCGAAACAAGTGTCAAGAGGTTGATGAAAGTTAACCTGAAGCAACTGCACTTTTTTTTTCTTTAAAGAAGTCAAGTCGGCTTTATTGTCAATACTACAATATGTACAGGACATACAGAGTATTGAGACTGCATTACTCTCAGACCCCATGGTGTAGCGATAACATTAAATAGACAGTAAACAGGAAAAGTGTGAATTTAAATAGACATTAAATAGACACTAAACACTAATCGTAAAAATGAACACTAATTGTAGAAAAATAGAATAATAAAAAATATATAAATATAGAAGGTGCTGAAATTAACACTAAAGTGACATGAGGCGCAAACAGATTAAGGTCTGTGGGTATAAATAGTGCAAATATAAACAGTAGTGCAATTAGACTGAGCTTATGGAGCTGTTGAAGTGATGAGTGCATAACAGAAAGTGATGAAAACAACAGCTTTATGACATGATAGACATGATAATGAAATGAATGTCTCTAAAATGTTTGACATTTTTCCATTTTTTATCTATTTTGAATGTCACAATCTCAGAGTGAGATTTTGAACAAGAAGAATTTCATCCATCCATCATCTAAACCGCTTATCCTTCTGGGTCACGGTGGGGTGCTGGAGCCTATCCCAGCTGTCATTGGGCGGAAGGCAGGATACACCCTGGACAGGTCGCCAGTCCATCACAGGGCAGACAGACAGACATACACATTCACACACTCACTCACACCTAGGGGCAATTCAGCATGTCCAATCAGCCTGACTGCATGTCTTTGGACTGTGGGAGGAAACCGGAGTACCCGGAGGAAACCCACGCAGACACGGGGAGAACATGCAAACTCCACACAGAAATGACCCTGGCCGCCCGGCCAGGAATCGAACCCAGGCCATCTTGCTGTGAGGCGACAGCGCTACCCACTGCGCCACCGTGCCGCCCATAGAAGAATTTCATTCTCAAGAAAAATCTTAGTTTATTTGTTTGCTTATTTGTTTGTTCATTTGTTATGTGTTTGGTTGTGCTAAAAAAAGACCCTCAGTTCTCTGGTCCCCCAACATTCTTTGGTATTAAAACCAGTATTGAATATCAATACTTTTCAACGTAATGGGCCGCATTTACCAACCATTCTTAAGAGGAAATTTCTTCTTAAAACCCACTTAGGCAGTTTTTACGATTCTGATATTCGCCAGTGTTTTCTTATCTGGGATTTGTTCTCAGGTTAGAACAGAATCTACACACTCAAGAGCACAAAGGTGAGAACAGTTCTGCAGTTTAAGAACACGTCATGAATCTGACGTAGACTTAGGACCTTTCTCAAGAACACACTTAAGAACAAACTTAAGGGACATATCGGTGAATGAGGCCCAGTGTACTGAAGTTGGAGATTTCAGTGTTGTTACTGCACTAACTGTATGTTATTGAATATTTATTGCAGCCCTAATGAATACCTGTTCTCCGTCTAGTCCAGGGCTGCCCATCCGTCCCGGTAAGCCTCGGAAGCCCTGAAGCGAAACAGGTCCGAGCTGTGAATGTCTGATGTATGATTGATTTTTACACTAAAGTATAAAGTTTGTACAGAATGGCTCAGGGCTGCAGGTTAGAGCTCTACCTTTTCTCCTTTAATGCCATTGTCCCCCGGCAAACCGTGCTCTCCTTTCTCCCCCTGTACGCCAAAGCAGAGCCACACAGAAACAACAGGTTTATTAAATCCTGCTTCAGGTTACAATCCTACCTTAGCTTACGATCTGCTTCATAACCGGGAATTTATAGCAACAAGCCAGTTTAAGTGGCATTTTTCTTTGTTTCAACTTTTTCAAAGAGTCTGTGTGAAAACATCTCCTCCAGTCTGAAAAAGGATCTACAGAACTAATCAATGAATTAAGTCTTCATTCTTACCTGGTCACCCTTTTGGCCTTGCAGACCCATGTCTCCCTTGTCACCTTTATCACCGTCCAGTCCATCTGCTCCTTTACGACCCTATTAAGGAGACACTGCTGTTTTATATGCCTGTAAGGACCATCCTACCAAATTAGTTCAAACTGCAGTCCCAAAAAACTATATAAAAACAAAGAAGTATTCAGAGCTTAGATATTCACAACAACTGTGTTATGATCTGTTCAAATCCGAGGCATTAATTGGGAGAGTAATAAGCTAAATATATACAAAATCATCATTTATAGGGTTTTTGTCTGTCCCAAACCGTACATTCACACTTGTGAAAATAATACTTACATTTTTTTCTTTTTTTTTTTAAGTGAAGCTGAACTTTTTTATGAGCGATTTTTCATTTATGAGTTTAATTTTGAAATTAAAAAATGCTGTCTCATGTTTTCATATCACTACCGAAACACAATTAATTTTAGTCCATAGGCCTTATTTTAGCCAACCAGGAGGTGAGCCTGCATCCCTGCCCCTCATGGCCACATGGTGAGCTGTTGGATCCCATTGTTTTAAAATAAAAGTGTCACAAAGTCTAAAAATCAGTGTGGAACATGAAGAATTGTCATTACCGAAACATCGTTTCTGCACTTAAATGCTCACAGCTGTGTTTGCTGGTCATGTACTGACTGTGTTTTTGAGTTTTGCTCAAAATGAGCTAAATCGTCACTACTGAAACAGTCTCCACTGAAACAGTCTCCACTGAAACAGTCTCCACTGAAACAGTCACTACTGAAACATTTGGTAAGTTTCAGTAGTGTTATTATTGTTTTGGTAGTGACAAAATGGAATGTTCACTCGTTTGTCAAAGCAGAAGGATTTTAGTCTGAAGTCCAAGTAAAATACATTTTGAAACCTTTAAATCAACTCGTTTGAAATGATCCATAAACATTCTGATTCAAATTTTAAGACAATCAAATATTACAACTGCGAACTCTTGAAACTCACCACTTCTCCGTTGATACCTGGCTCTCCTGCCTCACCCTGCGGACAGGACGACAAGAAAAATGCAAAAAGTGCAAAATGAAACAATCCTGACTTTCATATGAAAAAGTTTGGACACTCCTGGTCAAATTCCATGTTTTGTTTGATGTGAGTGAAAATACATCCTCTACAGAGAACACACTTCTGCACAATTTAAAGGACAGTCGCTGTTTATTTGCTCAATTTATCATACTGGAAAAAAACGCAACCTAAAACGTGGCCTGTCCAAAAGTTATGGTGCATTTTATACTTTATCTTTTATTGTTTTCCAATGTGTAAAACTTAGCAAATAAACAGAAATTGTGCAGTAAACTTGTTCTCTATAGAGGAGACTTAATTTGACTAATTTGACTTGGAATATTCAAACATTTGCATATGACTTTAGGAATCCAATTGTACATGTATCAAACATAATACTTTACCTTAAGCTACACTGCAAAAAATTATATCTTAAAAAGTGTAAACATCTTACATGTAGTAATATATCTAATATTTCTCACTATGAGACAGTTTGAAGAATATAATAAGATTATTCCACCAGTTTCTACACATTTTTGTTTGTTTTAAGTAATTTTATCTCGTGAAAGATCATTTTACTCGTTTTGAGAAATAATGGAGATAATTTTGTGATAATTTATTTCAAGAAATAATGCTTAACAAGTAATATGATCTGCTAATAGAATAAGATACTTTAATAGGATACAGTTACTTTAATTAAAATGTCTGGAAATAAGTTAAATAACCTTACAATGGTCTTACAACAATCCCATAATGAGAAATATTACATGAAATGACCACACCTAAGTTGTTCTCATTTGCTAAGATATCATTATTTGCAGTGTAAGAAAGCTCTTCAGTCAATTTATGGCTAATTTCTCAGAAAAACTACTAAGCAGTTCCAAATCTGACCTTTTGTCCTACAGGGCCTCGAGCCCCGAAGGGCCCCATCTTTCCTTTGGTCCCGGCCTCTCCCTTCACACCCTGCCATTACAGTCAGATAAGAAAGCGTCAGCATCACCTCCGTCACTTAAAGATTTCACCTCAGTACCATGAATATGATCTGCATAAGTGACCAGTGTAACATCATGACATCACTGACTCAGATGAGTCAGAGGCAGTTACAGTCATTTCATTAATGCTTTTTATCACTGGGAATTTGATTAATACCATTTATCACAGGAAATGTTTATTTAATGCACAAAATGGCCCACTGAGAGTTCAGTCTCACTCTCAGCGAGGCCTTCACTCACACAGGCATGCGATTATAAACAAGATAAAAATAACAACATCATGATCACAAAAGGCACGAAAAACAACATTAAACAGCCATCAGTGAAATGGCCATCCAACAGTGCCCTGAAATGGCTTAGTTGACCAGCGACTGCAGTTTAACTGTTGTTTGGAAGCCCCTGAAATGAAATGATGCAGTTTTAGTGAACCCAGCAGTCAATGACGCAAACAAGTAAAAAGAGAGAAAGAAACGAACAAAAGCTGATATCTTCCAGGTGAATTCTGAAATGAAAATATCAGGAGTGTCCACTAAAAACGATAAAGCATTTAACACCTTAGATGGCCAGGGCTCACTGGCAGGCCCTAAGTTTTATTACACACTTCTATAAGCTAAGAATAGCTCAGCCAGTTTGCATTGAAGCCCCTGTAGTAGAGGTATACGTGGGACTGTTTTTTCAGTCCCGCTCCCGCCCGCTCCCACAATATTTCATCCCGCTCCCGCCTGCAGAAAAATCTGAATCATTTGTCCCGCTCCCGCCCACAACCGAAACGTTATGGCAAACTGACATCCAATATCTGACAAAGTCTATTCACAAATACATTATTCTCTGCTGAAATAATGCGGCAGTCATGGTCATCAGGCTCACTGTGAGTAACTTCAAACACCATTTGTTCCCAATAAACACAGAGCAGGAATTAAACCACAGAATGGATATTTTGTGGTATTTTGCTGGGCAGCTGTGGCCGTCGGACTGAAGGCTCCTCCATCTCTGTAAGCTATGAGAATTTGTGTTTATCATGTGATCGGTTGCTTGGCAACTTTTTAAAATGACTTCATTAATTTTAATTGCTTTACTGTTATCATTTTAGCCCTGCGATGGACTGGCGACCTGTCCAAGGTGTATCCTGCCTTCCGCCCGATGACAGCTATGATAGGCTCCAGCACCCCACCGCGACCCAGAAGGATAAGCGGTTTAGAAGATGTATGTATGTTTATGTGTATGATTAGTGATCGTTCTACTTTATTTAGGCTACTCATTCATTTGCAGGATTTCTCTTCATGCATGCTTCGGCTCGCTCCTGCCTGTTCCCGCACACAACACTAAAAATTAGTCCTTCTTATTGTGGGGGTCCCACCAGAATCCATGGGAGTGCAGCCCCCTAGCTTACAGTTACTGAATAATAAGCCTTAGTATGTAATAAGCCTGGGATTTCCAGGGGGTTAACTTACCTTCACTCCTGGAGGCCCATCCTCTCCCTTCTCGCCTTTATCTCCATCAAATCCTGGAGGTCCTCGCTCCCCCTGACAAACAGACCAAATGCCAGTAAGATCTACTGAGCGGTTCAATGGCGTCCGCTGGATCCAATTTAACAGAAGAAACTAAGTCAAAATGACATGACAGGCAGGAATTCTCACCGCTTCTCCTTTTAGCCCCTTATATCCACGCGGCCCAGGCATGGACAGAGGACTCCCCTGAGCAGAAACAAAGAGAAGAAGGATAACGACTCCAACATGGCTGGCAGGTGGTAATTCTTATATGATTATCAGGCTCTTACTCTTTCTCCTCTGTTGCCAGGTAGACCTCTATCACCCTGTGGAAGAAACAATATGTGAATATTTAAAGTTACAGTATGTAAGATCTTTTTGTTATAACTGAAAGAAATCAGGAGACTAAAAACTGGCTAAAATATGGTGAGTGTGCACTGCTGGGAGTCACCCTTTAAAGCCTGAAATAATGATTTAAAATCAGAGGCTTCGAGTCAAGTTTTTCAGACCCCATCAAAAAGAAGGTCTGGCTCGATGTTTAGGCCTCAAATGCAAAGTCAACATTATACTGATGAAGATATGATGACAACAGTAGATAATTTAATCACATCCTTGGAAGACACGCCCTTCACCGGTCATTACATTCATCCCCTCAGCGAAGGGGTCCAAAGCACAAAATGTTCTTTTTAGGGCTGTCAGCGTTAACGTGTTAAAGCTCGCAATTAATCTGGAAACCTTAACGTGTTCATTTCTTTTTAACACAATTAATCATATTACCAAGTTTGACCCCAACATCCTCCCATAATTCCCACATGGATTTACTGAAAGGCGCAAACATAGATAACACGATGACTGAGGAAACATCCCCCGGTGTGCTGAACGGCAGGTTTCGTTTTAAAAAGCTTCCAGATGGAAGTTTAGATAAAACTAAAGGTTTGTTGATGCTTTAGCGAAGTGCCGTAAAATAGTTGGATATTTCAGACACAGTCCTGCAAACACAGCAGAGCTGAAAGTTCAGCCTCTCATGGTCAAGAAGAGGAGACACTCATCCAGGATGTCCCCACACGCTGGAATTCAACCCTCAAAATGACAAAGTGGATCCAACACAACACAGACACACTGAAGGCAATGCTGGCACAGCAGAAGCACAATTTAGCCCTGCCTTTTACTGCCGTCCGATACAAACTCTTTTATATCTCCCCCCCAAAAATACAAGTAAATATTATTTAAACGGCATGATTAATTATGATTAATCACAACCTATTATTGTGATTTGATTAGTTTTTTTTTAATCAATTGATACCACTAGTGCTTTTGCACTTAGCATGCAATTACACATTTTCACCAGAGAGGTCTCCAAATGCCCAAATCTTACATAGTGTACATAGAGTTTTTGAGAAACTGCTCAGTCAAATCAGTCCGATGTAGTTATAAAGTGACTGTGAATATAAGCAATCAAACTCTGTACGTTTGTATCTCAAACCCTTTCCTGATCTTTAAACCCAGGAGATCCACATGTAGATCCTCAGCAGGACCTTGAGGACTGAGATTAGAATTGGAGTTAGCTCTAGCTTTTCAGTAGCATGGCTGGAGATTTCCCAAGATAGTCTCTGTCACTGTTGTGCATTAGATGACATGGGACAGTTGGAGACAAAAGATGGACGTATCTGTCCAAAAGTATCCAGACACTTCTAAAAGCCACTGCTGACACAAGTGTTCAATTATCCACACAGCTTGTACAAAATCTATAGAAAAGCGCTGACCAAGAGAATGAGATGCTCTGGAGCAGCTGCACGAGACTATGGTCAGCATGTCCAATGTCCAGCATGGACTAGAGGGGCACAAAGCTGCCCAGCATTGGGCTGTGAAGCAGTGACACTGTGTTCTCTGGAGTGATGGAGCTCTATCCAGTACCTTTGGGATGAGTTGGAGTGATCCAGAACTGACCATCCAACATCAGTACCTGACCTCAATAATGCTCAATCAAATCCTCACAGCAGTGTTCAACATCTAGTCTAAAGCCTTCCCAGAAGAGTAGAAGCTGTTACTGCAGCAAACTCTTCTTTCTGAATTTTTCACGTACTTTTTTCCCTGAGGTTATGATGTTGTTTACAGACCAAAACCATTTATTTTTACATGATATTTGTAAACAAGCTCTGTTCTGATTGGCTGCTCTCTGTTGAGCCTCAGTCAAAAAGCAGCTCAGATTGAAACACCTCTCATAACTTCAGTGTGAGTGGGCGGGGCTAAACTGTTGAATAAGTGGACAGATGTAAGTGTGTTGGTTTTGTGAGATCATGAAAAGAGCGAGGCTGGTTAATTTTCATATATAGACTGTACGTTTTGAAACATTAACAGCGTTTATGTGCGATATTAAACTTTTATTTCAGAAAGAGAAGAAAATTCAGTTTCGCATGACATGAGCCCTTTAACACTCTCCATTTCACAAGATGTGCTGGATGAGCAGGTGTCAAACTTTTAGACATACAATGTAGGTCAGACTCTGAATGAGTCCAGTGACACTGTAAGTGCTGCAGTGATTCTGAAGCCTAGAGTCAGTATAAGGAGGGCGCTGTCCACAGCAGAACAGCGGCAGGTCGGAGAAGAGCATGCCGGAGGCACCTTGTCACATCAGTCTACAGAGAAGACATGATCCTTTTAAACTAATTCCTTCTATAACCCTGTCACAGCAGCCGACAGGCGCTCAAACTCTGTTGGAAGAGTAAAGCGTGTCAGCAGACGCATTAAAATTTAAACGTCTCGATTCGGCGAGGCTCCGCAGAATTTCAATTAAAGCTGAAGTTTGTGCTGACGGCTTTGCTGAAAGGTCACCTCACCTTTTCTCCTTTCATCCCAAGAAGGCCTTTAGGACCCTGTGCCAAGGAGAGAAGTCACGAACAGGTTAGTAGAATTAATTCATTATATAAACCTATTAATTAGTTTGGAGCTATAAGGAATTCATTACATATACACAGTTTGCTCGTTCCATACGGACATTCATGCCTGTGCCTGCTGTTATTTATATGAGCATGCATGAATGTCTTATAGGAGTCTTAAATGATTTTATGAAAAATGTTATTGACACTTCAGAAAATTAGATTTAAAAAAGGCTGTTTATCTGGACAGTAAATGCTTGTTTGTTAGAAAAATACAAACATTAAGATGAATATAAATAACATTTTATGCATATTGGTGTGTCCGTTTAACCATTTGAGAAGAAGCAAACTTCTTCTCAAGCATAGTATTCTTTATAGTTATCCTCAAATACCTGGAACCAAATCGATGTTTTTCTAACCAGCTCACGTGAAAATTACTTTTTTTGAAAACAAGAAATTCTTGTTACTTTTGTTTTTATATGTATGTACTGTATTTACAGCAAAAAACACTGATTTCTGAAATCACTATTTGCTAATGTGCAAATAATGTTTTCCACACAGTACATTCCATATATATATATATATATATATATATATATATATATATATACACCGATCAGGCATAACATTATGACCACCTCCTTGTTTCTACGCTCATTGTCCATTTTATCAGCTCCACTTACTATATAGGTGCACTTTGTAGTTCTACAGTTACAGACTGTAGTCCATCTGTTTCTCTGCATACTTTGTTAGCCCCCTTTTACCCTGTTCTTCAGTGGTCAGGACCCCCATGGACCCTCACAGAGCAGGTACTATTTGGGTGGTGGATCATTCTCAGCACTGCAGTAACACTGACGTGGTGGTGGTGTGTTAGTGTGTGTTGCAATGAGTGGATCAGACACAGCAGTGCTGCTGGAGTTTTTAAACACCTCAGTGTCACTGCTGGACTTAGAATAGTCCAAACCTATCCAGCCAACAGCGTCCTGTGGGCAGCGTCCTGTGACCACTGATGAAGGACTAGAGGATGACCAACACAAACTGTGCAGCAGCAGATGAGCTATCGTCTCTGACTTCACATCTACAAGGTGGACTGACAAGGTAGGAGTGTCTAATAGAGTGGACAGTGAGTGGACACAGTGCTTAAAAAACTCCAGCAGCACTGCTGTGTCTGATCCACTCAGACCAGCACATCACACACTAACACACCACCATCTCATCAGTGTTACTGCAGTGCTGAGAATGATCCACCACCCAAATAGTACCTGCTCTGTGAGGGTCCATGGGGGTCCTGACCACTGAAGAACAGGGTAAAAGGGGGCTAACAAAGTATGCAGAGAAACAGATGGACTACAGTCTGTAACTGTAGAACTACAAAGTGCACCTATATAGTAAGTGGAGCTGATAAAATGGACAATGAGCATAGAAACAAGGAGGTGGTCAGAATGTTATGCCTGATCAGTGTATGTGTGTGTGTGTGTGTTTGTGTGTGTGTCTCTATATACACAGAGTCATATACAAAAGTTTGGGTACTCTGGTCAAATTAGGCTTTGTTCAGTTTCTAAATTTTATTCTACGTGAATTTCATGTTTTATTTTTTCAGATTTGTTAAATAGTAATTCGATTTCTCTGTAGAGGATGAATTAACTTAAATTTTCACATAGAAAATTTACAAAACATGTTATCTAACCAGTAGTGTTCAAACCTTTGCATATGACTGTGTGTTGTGTAAATACAAACTACCTGATAAATTGAAAAAATAAGAAAGGAAGAATTTATTACATTAAATGAACAGAATCTTGCATTCAAGTTCACCAACTCAGGTCAAATTAAAAGTTATTTTTTCTGCATTCAAGTGCATTACAACTTAATTTTTCCTAAATCTGTCACTTACCATCAGTCCTGGTGGCCCTCTTGCACCCACGGTGCCCTTGGCGCCCTGCAATTTTATGAAATTCAGTGAAAAAAAGGATAATCTTAACAATAGTATGGTTAGAAAGCATTTTCATCGAGGTGGAGCTACTAAACCACACAGAATCCTAAAACTACTTTTTGTTACTACGTTCTAGCACAGCATTATAGCATTATCCACATGAATATCCATTGCTGCACTACCCTGCGGCCTGGAAGCCCAGCCACGCCTCTATCTCCTGGCTCTCCTGGGATGCTGTCACCCTGGAGATAACAGATGGCAGATCAAGACATGACCTTTAATTTTCAATGCAACAACACCTGACAGCATCACTAGAAATTGCTGAGATAAAACACTTACCTTGTCACCTTTCACTCCAGGTGGACCTGGTGGTCCCTGTATAAAAAATAAAATAAAATAAAATAGATTTATACCATACTCTGAAAAGGTCAGAGACCACCTAGTTGTTTCATTTCTAGTCAAAACGGCCCTAAAGTACAAGTTATTTAATTTTCAACACAAAAAATATATGAGAAAAATACACAGAAGCTTCAGTAATTAAATATAATATCAAATATTTCAGTATGTGGTGTATCCACTCTTTGCCTTTATTACAGCTTCCATTCAGTGTCGTCTTCTCACAGTGGAAGGATGGACAGAAACACCTGTGGATGTTTTCAGATCTGAAGCAGCTTGATTTTCTCCTCTCTCTCAAAGATGAAAGCTTTAAGTGCTGTTTATCTGATGGGGGCAGTTTTGGTGTCGACCAGGTCTTCCAGGTGGTTGTTAGGAGTCTCATTTTCTCCGTAGCTTTTAATCACTGTTTGAATACCATTTTTTTCACTTAGCCTATATGGACAACATTGTTCATCCCATTTTAAATCCATAGGCATTAATATAGAGTTGGTCCCCCTTTGCAGCTATAACAGCTTCCACTCTTCTGGGAAGCTTTCTACAAGAAGTTGGAGAGTGTCTGTGGGAATTTCTGTCCATTCATCCAGAAGAGCATTTGTGAGGTCAGACACTGATGTTGGACGAGAGGGCCTGGCTCACAATCTCCATCCTGGTTCATCCCAAAGGTGTTTGATGGGGTTGAGGTCAGGGCTCTGTGAGGGCCAGTCAAGTTCTTCCACACTAAACTCACCCAGTTACTCCTTTATGGAGCTGCTTTGTGCACTGGGGCTCAGTCATGCTGGAACAGAAAAGGTTCTTCCCTAAACTGTTCCAGAAAGTTGGAAGTGTACAGTTGTCCAAAATGTCTTGGTGCTGAAGCATTAAGATTTCCCTTCACTGGAACTAAGGGTTCTAGACCAACCCCTGAAAAACAGCCCCATATCATCATCCCTCCTCCACCAAACTTTACAGTTGGCACAGTGCAGTCAGGTGGGTAACGTTCTCCTGGCATTCGCCAAACCCAGACTCGTCCATCAGTCTGCCAGATAGAGAAGCTGATTCATCACTCCACAGAATACGTTTCCACTGCTCCAGAGTCCAGGCGCGGCTTTCTTGCAGTGGCGGCTGTGACTGTAAGGCTATGTGCTTAATTTTATCCACCTGTTAGCAATGGGTGTGGCTGAAACACCTGAACTCAATAATTAGGAGGGGAGTCCTAATACGTTTGTCTATATAGTGTATTTTGCTTTGACTTTCTTCTTCCTTATGCAAGTGGATTATCATCTATCTAATCTCCTCAGAAACATCTCCAAAAAATGAAAATCGTAATGGCGATTTAAAGTTAAACGAAGGGAGGTCTTTGACTTTTTACACAGTACTGTATGTAGCAAAATGACAGCCCATAATAAACCCACAACAAAAGATTATATTCATATAGAGCTACATAAACACACACCCACACACATTTTCTGAAGCCGCTTATCCTTCTGCATCATGGCGGATGAATAAATAATAACTCTAATCTTTTTCTCATGCAAACTATAAACGTTTGAATCCACCTCTTTTCCTGGGGGTCCAGCGGCTCCTGGAGGGCCAGGTGACCCATTTTTCCCTCGTTTTCCTCTGTCGCCCTATACAGGAATAAACGTAAATATAAAGTCAGCGTGCCCAAATCAACCAAGGCTGATATTAGTTATGCTAGCATCTGTTTTACTATGAAGGGGAATGGTCCTCACCTCTCTACCTGGCTCTCCAGACTCTCCCGGCTGACCTTTTTGACCTGGCGTGCCTGGGATCCCTGGGTTGCCACGGATACCCTGAATGCCCTGTGCTCCAGGGGGTCCTGGTTCTCCAGGCTCACCCTAGAGTAACAGCATACAGTAGAAGAACATGTAACATCAATTATAACACTATCTCCCAAGTTAGCTTCTGTCGATCACTAAGGAGGAGGTTTACCTTTTGTCCAGGTGGACCAGCTTGACCAACAGGTCCACGGTGCCCAATACCAGGCTCTCCCTAGAACAACACACACCAATTCCTCAATCAAACATCAATAAAAGTAGCCTCAAAAGATGTTTGTTATCCACATGCGAGCTAATAGGCCCTTTTGCATGGTAACGCTATAATAATAGCAATGATGATGAGCTTGTACAGCTTACTCAAGTGTTCGAGTTTGAAGCAAAAACAGCCTCATCTCAGTTTCAGTGGTTCGTCAGCTGATGTTGAGCAAAAGAAAACAAGTTTGTGCAATTAAAATTAAACTTTGTCGCTGCTGACGAACGTTAACATGCAGTTTGTGCTTTAAAGTTGCTGCTGCAGCCGCTTTCTGAGGAACAGTTTCCAATTTCTCCCTCAAAAGCTGTCGTTATCTGAGAGAGTGAGGGCTCGGCGGGGAGCAGATGTTTGTTCACTGTGTACAATGTGTTTGTGTACAATGTCCACAGAGGCGCAACAGACCCTGATGACACAGTGCACCCCCTGCTGGCATGTATGTGTATTTAGCTTTTTGCCAACTAGTTTATTGCTAGCGAGCTGCTTCAACATCTCCAGCTAACATGGCTAATCTAACGTTTTGGTTGTAGTTATTTTCTCTATAGACGTTAGCTGACGTTACTGTGCTCTGATAGCTGTGAAAGAATTTTTCCAAGAAACGTTTACATCCTTTATTTAGCCTGGACTCCCACATTGTTGTGTGTTTGGTTCTCCAAAAGTTCTGGACTCATCCTCGAATTTCAATCTCGGCAACCATGATAAAGTCAGACACCTTTCTGAGGTGACTGAAGTGATTCAAACGCCTACATTTCTGAGGTTAGTAACTGTCCATAAGGCAATAGTGGAACTTGTTTTACCCAGCATTTACACACTTCCGTTTCTTGTGAAAAGGGTCTATAATAAAGGGGTTTCTGCCAGGTCATTGGCTTCCACCTTGTTGTGTTTGCGACTTTAAGACTAGAGCTGTTTCAGCGACCTATCAGCGGTCGGCGGAACAACTGTCCAAACTGTCTCTGACACCCCCACACCCCACACCCCTATCTAGCACATTCACATTGCGAGTACGTCTCATCTGACCCACTTTGCCTTTAAGGGGAGAAGGGTCTTACTATCGGCGATCTGCGGAACAACTGTCCAGCCTCTTTCCGACCCCCCCCACCCCCTGCCCAACGCTCACACATTCACATTGCCACCAAGCTGAATCTCCCTGCCACCCCTGGTAAAATTTTCTAGATCTGCCGCTGGTCATCCAGTCCAAAATGAAATTACCTTTTGTCCCTTCTCTCCAATCTCCCCCTGTATGAACATAAAAAACAACATTATTACAATGATGGACATTGTTACGAGTTGTTTTCTCCTCTACAAATCATATAAAAGTTATTAAGAGTGTTATTCTTAACAGCAATGGAAAACCTACAGGACTAGAGACGTATCAATATTCATATTCAATTCTTTCAGTCATGATAAAGCAAAAATAGAACTCTGATGATATCAAAGCACGCAGAGTGAGGTTGCTGTTCCGCCCAACCTGCTTGATTGACAGTAATAATTTCCCAAGCTAGGGAATGTGGGTGGATGATGTAAGGAGGTGTGGGTGGGATTGAAGCAAAAATTAGATAATGGAGTACAATTCAGAGTCCAGCTATGAATTTGAATGGAGTAGTTGTGTAAAAATAATCACCTTAGGCCCTGGTAGACCATTCTCACCGGGAGGACCCTTAAAACGAAAACAGGTTTTAATTAGCTGACATCCAGAAAGAGATTTGACACAGACATTTTCAACAGGTTTGACCAACAGCTGCAAGAAAAAAACTGAGATTTATCATTTTTATTTACAGGGAAAACAGGGTGAAATATTTTAAAAAAATATATTTGTTTGTTTTTAAAATTGAGAAAAGTTTAAATGGAAAAAAGAAAGAAATATAATTTAAAAATGGTAATCGGATCTGAGAACTGCTGAGGCGTGGCCTAATATTCTAACGAGCACTCTCAGTCCAACTCTCCCGTCCAGCTACACCACTGAAGCAGAACTAAACACAGCTGTGTGAGAGAAGCTGTTCTATATAGAACCATGAACACTCAAAGAACGCTCTACACGACGAAACGGCTCTTTGCATCATGAAATAGTTCTTCAGACTGATGGAGAATGTGTTATAGATGGTTCTATATAGAACCTTTTTGAAAAGTGTTCTATATACGCACTTAAAAAGATGGTTCAGGGTTTTTCAGTAAATAAAATGGTTCTGTATAGAACCATGAACTCTCAAAAAACCCTTTGTGTGACTAAAGGGTTCTTTGCATCATGAATGGGTTCTTTAGATTGTAGATTGTGTTATAGATGGTTCTATTTAGAACCTTTTTAAAAATAGGTTCTATGTCTATGTCTAAAGGGGTTCTTCTATTGTTACAAGCTTGACACTGTAACAATAGAACAACCCTTCTGGGTACTATATAGAACCATATACAGTGCATTTTCGATCAACCTGAAGAACATTTTCACCATGCAAAGAACAATCTAAGCATGCAATTGTTTTTTTGAGTGTTCATGGTTCTTTACAGAACCATTGTCTTTTCTAAAGAACCCTTGAAGAACCATCTTTGTGTACCTAAAGACTCCCTCACAGAAAGTTATTACATGAAATGGTAATAAATACAGCGCATGATGCTGGAGACGTTGTTTTATGACAGCTTTGAGAAGGTTTTCGCTCAGGGTGTACATGAATAAAATGTCTATATTTGTGTTGTAGACATGGCAACCCCTGGTTCCCATCACCACTACTGAAATCTGAGTCAGTAAGTTTCCTTACAATTTCACATCACAACCATTATGGTGACTTTACGTCTCAATTATTTAATTATGTAGAAATTTTGAATATTTGGTGGCATTCCCCTTTAAATGGCCAATTAGCTGGCAACTGTATTTCAGAACCTCGGTCATTTGGCACGGCTGGGAGGATATTAACCACATCCTACCTTCAGAAACTCATACTGAGAGATGTGGGTCCTCATGTCTTCCTCTCTGTCTACCTCTCCTATCCTCCCTCTCTCCATCATCTCCCACTCCATCCGCTCTCTCTCCTCTCGCTCCATCTCTCTCTCCCTCTCTCGTTGGCGCGCCGCAACCTCTTCCCTCTCCACCTCCTCCTCTCTCTCCCGTTCCAGCTCCATCCTCTCTCTCTCCATCTCCTCTCTGTCTCTCTCTCTCTCCTCCTCCCAGTCCCTCTCGTTGTCCTCGTACTCGCTGCTCCTCTCCTCATCTCCGTCCCCTGAGCCGTACTCCTGTGCAGGCTGAGACCCCGTCCCCCGTTCCTCTTCCTCTGGCGTGTCCCACTCCGTCTCCTCTCTTTCTCTTTCGCTCAGTCGCTCCTCTTCCCTTTCAGCTCCTTTGTCCAAATCGGTTTCTGGCTCTCTCTCTTCCCCCCTCTCCCTCTCTTTCTCTCGGCCACTGTATATCTCAGGTTCGGGTTCAGGGTCCTTGTTTTCTTGCTTCTTTTTCTACAAGAGTGAAGAAAACAGTAAAAGTAATGAGGTACCACTTTACAAGTGGCTGCTTTTAAGTGGTGAAACTTTCATGTAACTTTAGTTGCTTAAAACCTACATGGAACTAAGTTGCGCGTGAGTTGCAAATATAAAGACTTCTGCAACTCATTTGAAACTCAGCTGCAACAGTTGCACACCTCTCAACTTTGTGAGACAGCCAATCAAAAGGCCGTTAACCCATTACGTGAGCATCAGATATTCATATTAATCAGATTTTTAAGGTGTAATGGACCCTTGTGTGGTGTTGATGTGTTTGTTACTCAGGGGTCTGCTGGACCCACCACATTATTGTTTTTAAATCAATACAGCCATAACAATTTATGTAAAAATACCAGATGATTAAAATATCACAAGTGTCCAGTGTAGGGTTCTCCTTTAGCAGCTGTAGCCAGTCAGCAGCCTGTCCACGTTGTCCACCCTCACAGACACACACACACATATACAAACACATACACATCTGAGGTGGAAATAATAATAAATCACTTCATTTTTCTTTTTGGAAAACACTGAAAATGGGTCCCACAGATGCCAACACCACACAAGGGTTAATTACCATTAACCCTTTATATGGATTGTCTTATTGTAAAGTGGCACTGTTAAGAGTCAGACATTTGTGCTAGAAATCCTTATTTATTTATTTATTAGGTTAAACCGATCAGAGCCACACTTACATTCAGCTTCTTTCTCTTCTTCGCACCAGATCGAGACTGCACAGAGAAACATCCAGCAGGAAAAGGGTTAAACACACACCGTTCCATGGTTCATTACACATCAGAAGCTACAGCTCATCACAGAGGATCAGTGAAAGTGTAAGACAGAGAATCATGAAAGATTTCCTTCACCTTTCGTCCTTGTTCGTAGCGGTTTTGTCCTCCAGGGGCTCCAGGCATGTAGGCCTACAGACGACAACGCTGGAGTTTGTAATTCAGCTCTTTCTTTATAGCAATTTAAATATTATTGTATTTAATGGAAAACAGAGCACTACCAATAACAGGAGGGTGTACGTATATGAGCTATATTACCACATATTCAAGCGTGGAGACACTCCTCTTCACTTTAGGCATCGCTCGAAGTGCGCCGGAACTGGACACGACACCCTGCTAACACCCAAACAGAGCCAAAATCTAGGAAGTGTTTCACACTGTCAGTTGTAGATGTGAAATAATCCATTGCAATGATTTTCAGAGCAAAAGCCCCTTAAGTTCTAGGGGTTAACCAGGTTAGTGTGAGGTACACTAAATCTAATTTGGTAATTATTTTGGGTAACATGACAACAAGTTCCAAAACAATCTAACTAAATTACACTGAAGTGCAACAGGTTCTAGATATTAACTGGGAATGAATGTACATCACAGTACTGTGTAATTACACTATATGGCCAAAAGTATTGGGACACCCCTCCTAATTATTGTGTTCAAGTGTTTCAGGTGGATAGAAATCAAGCACACAGTCTTGCAGTGTCGACAGACAAACACTGGCAGTAGAGGGTCACACTGACGAGCTCAGTCACTTTAAACATGGCACTGTCATAGGATCCCACCTCTGCCTCTGTTATTGTAACGATACGAGCTTGCAACAATAGCAGAACCCTTTTTGGTGCTAAATAGAACCCTTTTCAAAACCCTTATATACAACAAATTCTCCATCAATTTGAAGAACCATTTCAAGATGGTTCATAATTATGCAAAGGGTTCGTTAAGTGTTTATGGTTCTGTATTGAACCAGTTTCTTTACTAAAGAACCCTTTAAGAACCATCATTTTTAAATGTGTACTACTACTACCACTACTACTACTAATAATAATAATAAAGTACAATTGAAATGTCAGGTTATCATTAATAACAAAACCAATAGTGGCCCCGCAACCAGCCGTAAATAAACAGGACAGGCTCATTGGGCACCAGCTGGACATTACATTAGATCTCCCCACTCATATTACTGTGCACTGACACTTTGATTATACATTTATACATATTACACATTGCACTGTCACTTTGTTTATGCATTATAAATGTCATATTGCACAACTGTTAACATTGGTTATTGTTACAGTACATAGTCACTAGTTCATTCACTGGAGAGACAGGCACCACTGCATTGTCAACTGTATCGTATTTATGCAATTTACTTAGGATTTTTGTTTTTTTATTGTTTTAGTATATTTTATTTCATTATTTATCTTTACTTTCTATTTATGCATCTGTAAATAGTGTATGGCAACACTTTCCTCCTGTTCATTTTGCTCTTGTTTTGCTCTTTAGTGTACTGTGTACTGCTGCAATAGAATTTCCCTCTGGGATTAAAGGATCAGTCAATCATTCAATCAATCAATCAATCAATCTATCTATCTATCTATCTATCTATCCGTCTATCTATCCATCTGCATATCTATCTATCTATCTATCTATCTATCTATCTATGTTTAATCCGTCCGTCTATCTATCTATCTATCTTTCTATCTATCTATCTATCTATCTATCTATCTATCTATCTATCCGTCTCTTTATCTGTTTATCCGTCTATCTATCTATCTATCTATCTATCTATCTATCTATCTATCCGTCTGTTTATCCATCTATCCGTCTGTTTATCCATCTATCCGTCTATCTATCTATCTATCTATCTATCTATCTATCCGTCTGTTTATCCATCTATCTATCTATCTATCTATCTATCTATCTATCTATCTATCTATCTATCTATCCATCTATCTATCTATCTGTATATCCGTCTATCTATCTATCTATCTATCTATCTATCTATCTATCTATCTATCTATCCGTCTGTTTATCCGTTTATCTATCTATCTATCTATCTATCTATCTATCTATCTATCTATCTATCTATCTATCCGTCTGTTTATCCGTCTATCTATCTATCTATCTATCTATCTATCTATCTTAACTCTTCATTCTAATTTTTGGAAGAAAATGAAAGTAAGGTAAAGATCTGTTTCTTCTTGAGGCTAAAAATTCCACACTTTGTTTTGTTGTATATGTTTGTATATGCATCAAGTATCAGGAGATGATGCTAACATAAGCTTGCTGTACACCAGAAATCAGGCGGACTTAAACAGTGAAGGAGTCAAACGTCACAGGAGGCAAAAGAAGCAGACGAAGCTGCTCAGCGCGCTGTCGTGCCAAGTCCTGTGTTAATATTGTTTCCTGTTTGAAAATCATTTTATATTTCTTTCTTGCTATTAAGTCAAATATTTTGTACTGGTTTTTACTGAAAAGTGCCGTCACCCACTGAGAACATGATGGCTTACTTAGGCCTTCATCAGGCCCACAGAATGGCAGCTTTTTATCCTTCTTCAAAGAGCATGGGATTATTTTTACCTGTGGAGTTCTTGCTTATCGCTGTTGGACCCCAATCTCATATCTCCATTTTTGTCATTTTTCAGTTTTTGACATAATTTGAAAAAACCTACTGTCCTTTATATTGTGTGTGAATTTCAAGATGAATGGACCAACAGAAACGGCTCAGAATGACTTGGAAAAAAGTCTGGTTCCATTGACTTACATTAAAAGTAAAGCTTGTTTTTTCCTTCTCCTGTAAAGTTACCATTTTGGATATACAAGGTTTTGGTCCGACAGCAGCGACATGCTTTCTGAGATTCCTACCTACAAGGGACGCACTCCTACAACTCGCCGTGTGAAGCCAAACAATGTCATTGTGTTTTTCTTTGCTTAGTAACAGAAAACACTGATTCTAAATACAGTAATAATAAAGCATGTTACTGTAATAACAGAAGCAAGTCTGTGGTGAATGACCAAAGGCCGCAAAGGGGGCAGACAGAGATTATGCTGAGTATATGTTGCCTCTCTATATAAATTTGTTTGCTGCAACTCGTCCTGCAAATTTCTGCGCTATAGATAATTTGCAAGGTCTTCACTGTTAGTCTTAAACTGTTAAACATGTTCAGGTTTATAAGGGGATTAGAAACACATATGAGAGAAAAAAACACACAAACACTAGTTTAGTGTTAAACTTGAGCAAATTTACTGACACACATGCACCACAGAGGATTAAACACAAAAGAGAAAAGTAACCATATCATTGAATTTCACCAGTGAAAACATGGGAACAGGGGTATCCATGGGAAAGAATACATGTGCTTTCAATATTCTTACTGTAACTATATATATAATATAACACAGAAAACAAAGTAAAAACATCTTTTCAATAAATAAAGCAGTGGTGAAAAATTATATGCAGTCATAATCATGAATGAATACGTTTGACATGACTTGAGTTAATGCATGAGTACTCATGAGCATGTGGCACAGCAAATAAATAAAACTGCAGCATATCACGTGAAACGCTAGTGATAAAGTGTCAGAAACTCTGCACTCTTATCAGGCGCCACTGGGCACGATGAATGTGGCGCGTGACATCATCATTGTGCGATGGAAAAGGAGTCCCTCCCCAAGTAATGCTGGTCAGTCAGATCCTCCCCAGCTTTAACACTTCACAGTTTCTACAGGCCTCTCTCAGGAAGGGCACATGCGCTGCCAGAGCTTGAGTGTCCCTCTAACTGAGTCTAGGCCAACGCCTGCGTTAGGAATTCAGAAAGAGAGTGTATTAAAGAGAGCTAGAGCAGCTGATATTTACCGTTAACGCTGCGTGCCATGACTATGTGAGGAAATTAACATACTTATACTGTGTGAAGCGCATGCTGGGAACTTTCTTTCCACCAAGTGTTCAGTTAAAAGATCATTTAAAATGCTTTATATTATCTTTGCTCTCAGGTTTCAATGCATGTTGTGGAAATTTGGTTGTATTTGGTTTAATTGTCCTTTTTGTATATCTTTTTGATGTATTCCGTTAATGTTGACACTGGTGAAATTCACAGAAGGGTTAGTAAAGGTTCAGCTTTCTAACTGACCGCTGTTTTCATCATTCTGCTCGGCACAAAGCAAATAAAGCAGGCAAAAATGCGTGCTAAAACAATTCGTCAAACACAATTAGTCAGGATAAGTTCAGCAAACAAAGACGACCCTTAACGACAATAATGTTTAATCAGTTCATGCCACATGCCAAGGTCTCATGCAGGACACAGAACGTGTTAATGGCAAATCTACGTGTTTCCTTTGAACAAATGCAGTTCACAGAAAGTCTACATCCTTAAAGGGCCCAAATGATGGTAAAACTAATCGGAAAACCAGGCTTAAAAAACGTACCGCCCACTCCACAGTTCATACAGTCCATATATACACTCTCAGTAATAAAGGTGCTAAACTGTCACTGGGGTGGTTCCCTCAAGGGTCCATCTCAGTACCTTTAGTCAGGGAACATAACTGAACCATAATCCACTGAAATGATATGTTCTAAGCTGTACTGACTCCACACACCCCGTCTCGTCTCCAGGCTTTTATTTTACTGTTCTGTAAAATACAGATACAAACTTTTCACCTGGAAAAACTTATTTAAGGTTCACCGCTGGACCTTAAAACCACTGTTGAACCTTTGAGGTACATTTACATTGTTTGTACTTTGATGAATGAAAAATGTACCTGCACAGAACCTTTATTTCTAACAGTGCATATATATATATATATATATATATATATATATATATATGTATATATATATATGTATATACACACATAATTGCAATAACAAGATGATTTTGTACCTTACACTTACTCAGTACAGTACTAGAACCTGTTGGGTATTTAATTGTCATGAAACCTATCAGTCTTAAAGGAATTCAGCACAACCCCTGTTGTCTAAAGTGGCTGTTTGCTGTGTTCAGCTACACAATGAAGTTCTGTTCATGTTTATCAGTCACACTGTGCTGTAAATCACATGGACAAGTCTGTACAACCTTAATGAAGACCTGGATGCGGTTTGAGTGGGTTGAGAGAAGTTTTGGGGATGAATTTAAAGAAAGGATTTAGGTGACTACTGACATCCAGTCTAGCCTCGTAGCTCCAGCATTAAACTAAAGAGGCAAAATTTGACTCCACACACGTCTTGGCTGACCAACCATATCTGGAGTAAGTGGAAAATTGTGTAAATATGATGTTTCGCCTCGCTATCCTTTTACCTCTGGGGTCTTTTCATTCATTCAGCCTACATTTAAAACCACATTTCTGTTGCTATTATTTATCGTTGTTTATTAGTAAAGCCTGATTGTGTGAACTGTGTTCTTTATTTAAAGCTATGGGCCCAAAAATGTAAACATTCTGTAAGGGTGTGTAGACTTTCTATTGCTACTGTTAGTACAATGAATGGAAGAGAACAGGCAGAGAGAAAGAGAAAGAGAGGGAGAGAGAGAGAGAGAGAGAGAGAGAGAGCTGTGTGCTGTTTTCTTACCTCTTCCTGAGCCTGTGTTGTATTGAGAGTAGAGGGTGATGTGGTCTCACTGTACTTTAGAGATACACAATCACACACATCAGTACAACAACTTCACACACATTCATGAAGAAAGCAGTGAGGTAGTATCAGTACCTGCTCTGTGACCTCTGGTGTGGATAAGGGACCCTCTGTGCTTCTGTAGACCCCCTGAGAATCATTCATATTGAACACGGATTACTGTTGTGATTGACTGCATAGTTTTTTTTTTAATTTGTGAATGAATTTAAGAGTTAAATTAGTGAGCAACACAACAACAAACAGTAACCAGCACACAGCAATGCTTCATAGGGGTCAAACAGACACACGAGAATCACTGCTGCTAAACAAACATCAGAAATAACCACACTGATATTTCTGAATATGACAAAAGCTAAACAGCTAAAAAAGGTAAAGAGCTGAAAAAACTCTTCACTTAAACTTCATACAGCACTGAGTGATTAAATGATATCTAATTCTGATACTTTACCACCAGACACAGTGTTCTCCAGTATGTGTGTTCTGGGATTGTCATTGATGTATATTTTTATCCTCAGTCAAATAATTTTTTTCCCTATTAATAATGATAGTAATACAAAGTAAAATCCTACCGTGATTTCCGGTGTATGAGGGGGAGCTGCTGTTGTGTACTGTTAAAGCAGGAGGAAGAGAATGTACTTCAGTTTTAATTTGGTGACTCACATTATGTGATAAATATAAAATGGAACTGAGCTTCATTCCAAACTGAGCTGGTTCAAAGTCAGAGCTGAAAACACATTTTAGACATTTTAAGACCTTAATTATGTTTATTTTATTCAAATAAATGATTTAACATTCCATTTTGTCACTACCAAAAAAATCATAACACTACCCAAACTTCACTAAATGTAGAGTTGTTTCGGTAGTGATGATTTTAGCTCATTTTGAGCAGAACCCAGAAACAATAGTCAGTACATGACCAGCAAACACAGCTTTGAACAGTTGTACACACAGAAAATCATCATATTTTTCATTAAAACACAAAAAAGTTTACTTATCTGCAGAAAATATGTGTTTCAGTAATGACAATTCTTAATGTTTCACACTGATTTTCAGACTTTGGGACATATTTAGTTCAAAACAATGGCATCTAACTGCTCACCATGTGGCCATGAGGGACAGGGATGCACTCACTTCCTGCTCTAAAAGGCAGGGGCGTGGCTAAAATAAGTCTCCGCCTACTGACTAAAACTCTGTTTCAGTAGTGACATGAAAACATGTTTTTAATTTTTTTTTTATTTTTTTTTTAATTAAAAAATTTAATTCATTGTAAATCCAAATATTTAATCTACACTTTAAAATAAATCAAAATATTTTCTAAAAAATATTAAAAATACAATTTAAAAATGTAAGTATTATTTTCACAAGTGTAAATTTAGGGGTTAGGCTTTAGGACAGACACCTCCCAGTAGAAAGTACCCTATAACGGATGATTTTGTTTATATTTAGCTTATTACTCTCTCTAATAATGCCTTGAGTTAAAGTAGATCATAATATAATCCTTGTTAAGGTTTAATACATAACTATTTTCTAAAAGTGTTCACTCCAGAGAACACAGTTCCACTGCTTTACAGCCCATTGCTGGGGGCTTCATAGTAGCCCATGTTTGGCATTGGGTTTGGTGACCTAAGGCTCAGGTGCAACTGTTCTAGACTGTCCCATGTTTCTATTATATATATATATATATATATATATATATATATATATATATATATATATATATATATATATATCGCTGTTGTCAGAAGAAAACCTCGTATCTCTATTTTTGTTGTTTTTTTATGTAAATTCATGAAGAATGGACCAAAACAAACAGCCCAAAATGACTAGGAAAAAAGTCTGGTTCCATTGACTTACATTAAAAGTAAAGTAGGTTTTGCCTTCTCCTGTAAAGTTATCATTTTGGAGATACAAGGTTTTCTTCCGACAACAGCGACATATATATATATATATATATATATATATATATATATGTCTATAAAATATGGAGAAAACTCACTTTGCTTTGTGAAGACAGAGAGCTTTCTGTTGTTGTTTCGATCTGGAAAAAAGTCAAAGGTATCAGCCATAATTAAGTCTACTTTAGTTATAGAAATAGTCACCAATTGACAAAATTACTGAAGGGCAACAACGTACGGCATTTTGGCATTTCAGAACTGCTGATGTGTAATTGAGTGTTGGTAAAAGAGCACTTACCCTGTCTTTCTTCTCATCTTGAGAATTTTCAGTTTCCTCCACATCCAGCTTATCCTGAGATGATACAAAGCAAACTTCTATAAGATTCCTACAGTGTTTAAACATTGTATGGACAATATTTACTAATAAAAATACAAAACACTGCAGCCAAATTACTCCCAATGAATGATTTCTTGATTTTGTTTTTCTTTCTTGTTCTTTGGTGAGTCAGTTAATACTCAGTTGACACATGGTTGATGTGATTGGTTTTACTGGCTGCAGCATGTGAAAGTGTTTCTAATCAGATGGAGAAGAGAATGTAGGGTGTTTTGTTCATGTCTTAGAGTTCTTGATCTGCACTGTTAACAAATAAATCTGTAAAAACTCCAGCAGCAGGAGTGTCAGACAAAACCCGTTAATTAATAGTAAAAGTATATTCTCCCAATGACGGTAAAAATCTGTAAAATTACAGTCATTTAATTATTTGTTTAGAAAAACTGCCTTTTACTGTAATTTAACAGATTTACTGTTCAACTATTCTGACATACAGTATTTTATCATAATAATAACTGTAACAAGCATTAAAGTAAATAAACATCAGTAACACTTTCTATGAATGTCACCTTTGTAAGCATCTATAAACACATTCATAACATGTTATAATGCATTCATAAGGCATTATAAACATGGCTATAAATATTTATAAAAATGCATTACACATTATAGCCATGTTTACTATGCATTATGAATTGTTAACGTAATACATTATAAGTACTGATCATAACAAATTATAAGAGCTCATAAGTCGTATTTGTCCACTCTAAGTAAAGTGAAGCGTACTGTACTAAAGCCTCCTCCAGTGTTCAGAGTGAGGCTTCAAGTTGAAGTATTTACTGAAGGATTTACTGAAACACTAAAACATTCACAGTAAAGCACATTACAGGCTTCAAATGTCAGAGTTTAAACTAGAGCTGCCATCAGTGTTTTACCCAATGTGGGAAAGGTAATGTACACCACCGTTAGCTTGGTATTTGTCTTTACTTTACACTCTCCAAGCTGGGACTGACTTCTTTGGCACTGACAGTATAACATGTTATCAACACTACTTATAATGCATTATATTAACACTTCATAATGTATAATAAACATGGCTATAAAGTGTAATTCATTTTTATAAATATAAAAAATGTGTTTATAGATGCTTACAAAGGTGACATTCATAAAGTGTTACCAAAACATCTGTGACATAAAGGTGATAATTTGTTTTTTTTTGTAATTTACATTCTATTTCTGTAATAATTTTTACAGTGTGACATTGACTTTTCATTTATTTCATTTTCAAGGAAGATGCACAGCTCACCATGCTTATTTTTCAGAAGTGAACTCACACTGCGAGAGCAGTTTTCCCTTTTGCATCCAAACTTTAAAGACTAGTAAGTCATGCTTATGAATGCAGAAACACTAACCTCATATTCATAGTTATACACTTCATCATAAATCTCCTCCTCCATCTCCTCCTCCTCATTGGCTTGATCTTCCTGTCAATAGAAGACATTAAAGAATACAATCAGAATCTTGACTATGAATGTTAAAAAAATATTTTTTAAGTGTTGGACGGTGCTAACAGGGTTTATAATTACAGTTTAAGCATAAATGAATCTACAGTTGGATGCAACTTTTGAGCTAGGCCTGGCCTAGTCAACATGTGACCTCCTGACCTCAAGCTCTTTCTGGGTATCACTTCCAAATTTGGTTGAAAAGACAGTTAAAAGAAGCGTCTCCTCACCTTATTTACTTCAAACAGACCTAATTATTGTGAATTTTACTCATACATTTTAATATTGTAAAAAAACAGTGAATAACAGTTTAGTGCGATTTCAGGTGGCCTTTTGTGCTTGTATGGATTCAATTCTACACGTAGTTCCAAAAGTATTTAAGTAATATTTATTAAGTGTTCAGAAATAATTAAAATTTAGCAGATCTGTGTTCAATATAAAACCAAATTGTTGAGTTTACTAAAGTGGTTTACAGAATTTCCGTACAGACTGCATGTTCTGAATATTACCCTCATTTTTCTTTATAATTTCACCAACTAAAGTTCTACACAGACAACCTGACAACCTAATTTTTAGCATTTTCCATTCTATAAAATTAAAGTACAACAGCTCAAATTATGCAATAATTTTCCATAAACCATGCGAGGAAACTCAACAATTCAGATTAATAGAGTATATCATGTATTGTACACAAGCACAGTGGTGTTAGTTATGTGTTGTTTATGAAATAGTTAGAATGGCGTTTAGACAGAGGTGTTTTAATTGTTAAATGAGTTTAGATTTGTTTAGAAAGGTTTAAGCAGGGCATTTACCACTCGTTTCCTTTGCCGTTTATGTCGTCCTTTATTCCCTTTACCCTAGTTAAGAGTTTCACATCACACAGTTAATATCACACTTTAATTAATCTTGTTATCACAAAGTAACACATTATAATGCCTTTTAAAAACATCATACGTAACACTTAATATGAAAATACTGATTCAATTATCAGGCAATATTAAAATGGGTTATAGACTGACAAATATAGGCAAAGTATCATAAAATATTGCATATAACAAAAAAGGAGCATGGAAAGTACTGTCGAACATGGCAGAGGTGCCAGGCATGTAATGTCTGGGTCATTTCTTTCAGCTTTGTCACTGAAATGTTTCGTTTTATACAGTATATAAGCAAGTCTCTGCCACACAGTGTGTCCCAAAAAAATTGACATCATTTTGTAGTCTAATAACAGCCAATTCTCCCTCAAATGATCTCAAATTTGAACAAAATGTGTAAAAATTAACCAAGTTTCATTTTTAATGTTTTTTTTTCAGGTTGAAGTAATGGCGTTCACTAGAAATGAAAAGGCATTTTGTGTGTTAGAATATACTCAAACACAGTCAAACAAGAGTGTGCAGTGTGCATTTTCAAGAAAATTCAATAAAAATGCACCAACTGGACAGCAGATTTGGACACAGCAGAAAAATTCAAAGAGGAAGGCTGTCTGTGCAGGTTTATCGGTTATAAAATCTACATCCCTCTGAATTTCTTGTTTGAATTTTGATGAATAAATCTTGTTTTGTTCAACATGAAGCCTATTTAATTTCGTTTGCCTGGACATGTAGTTACTCAGATATTCACATCTCAAATGATGTCAATTTTTTTGGGACACCCTGTACAATACATCATAAGTTAAATACAGTGTTACCATGTTGAAAAAATCAGTAAAAAAATTAATGTTAATATGTTACAGTAAGAATGTCAAAATACTCCTCCCAGTTATGTTTTGTAATATCTACAGATTACAGTTAGTAATGGATATGGAAACGGATATTATAAAACGGATAGTTCTAGTCCTAAAATCTGATTGGCTGAGCTACGTTCGAAGCCGTTGTTAAATCCACGATATATGCACACCTATCACCTATGACGACATTGTGTATCACTGCGCCACCGCACGAAAAAAGCCCTTCTGGTATTAACGGAATAATCTTTGACTCTCATGCGGCTCACATGGACCACCGACTGTACTGATTAAGTAAGAACCCATTTTTTTGTTTAAACTGAGCGGCTGGCAACTTATTTTCTTAACTAGAACTAAGCTGATCAGCTAGCTAACGGATAAAAGATAGAACAGCCTAAACAACTCCATCATTAATATCACAGGCTTGAATTAAAGCAGTTACGGTATGATTAACTGTAAAACGGCAGCATAAAAGTCAAAAAAATGCCACATGAATGTCTTACACGCTTCAAATATCCGTGTTTCAGTCAGAAGTCGCGTCAAACCCAGGCTAAATCCCAAACGGCTCTGTACTCCCTAAATAGTGTGCTAGCTATGGAAGAAATTCTAGCCTCTACAGCCAAATCGTTTTTAGATTATGGATGTGGCTGAATACCAAATGACTATTTCTTGGCTGTATTTTGCACCATTGGGCTGCAGGATCCAGTATTTATTTATGTTTATTTTTACGTAGTGCACTATGTAGGGAGCAGGGAGCCATTTGAGATTCAGCCCCAGCACGAGAAGAGGAGCCGCTGGATTGGTGCTAAATAAGACTCGCGGTGTTAATCTGGTGACTAAAAAGTACTTATAAAGCAACTGTTTTTGCATTAAACAGTGCTGAGATATCATATATTTACTGGTATACGACAAAAAGATTAAAAAAATAAATAAAATGACGGCAATACACAGCGATGTGCGACCGAACATTCTCCTCATTCAGCAGTCCATGGTTGCGTGGCAAAGACACCATACTCTGAACAAACTACATTTCTTGGCAGAATAATGTTTATGCTGATTATTATGAGTCATAACTTAAGTAATTTTCTGAAATGTCACGTATTTTATCATATTTTATGTTGGCTGCCATTTTATGAAAGCAATAAGCCACTTGAGGCAGTGTGTTACACCAGCTAAAGTTCTTTTATCACGGGAAGGGAGTTTAAGAACAACCTTACCATGATAAAACTGCAGTAACGCATGGCCTCTCGTGGCTTATTGCTTTATTGGTCCAGCCATTGAACAGTGTCAGAATTATGAAATTAATTAAATATTATATTAAACTTTTACTTAAGAAATTTACCCCTGATTACTCTCAGCTAAACAGTACTTAATTCATTTAGAAAGGAGGGAATACTGACTATGTAACTCTCTCAAAGGAAAAAGCTTCAGATAAGAGCACATTAGTTTTTCTTATCTTTTAAGGGTAACATAGAACGTTTATTAAGCCTCTGTCTGGAATTAATGTTGCATAATGTTGCATTTATAAGACTTTTAATGACGTTTAAAATGTTTTTAATCACTTCATTCAGAACTTCCTCCGGCAAGAATGTAGATATTACAAAGGTATTTAAGTTCTACATGAAACCTTGTTCATCTGAAACTGAATGACAGTGAAATATCAGCTGCTGATTCATAGATAAATCCACCTTTTTGAAACTGCTTATTTTGAAAGCAAAGCGAAGGTGTACTGCACCTTTCCCCTCTCTCGCCCCTTCTTCTTCTCTCCAGAGGTCTTCTTCCCCGTGTCCTCCTGACTGTGGAGGACTGACTCCATACTTACCTCTGCCTTTACTGAGCCAGCCTGCTACACACACACACAAACACACACTAAATCAGCAGCTGAAGATTTCAGATAATAAAATAGAAAAAACACAAAGCTCTGAAATGAGTAGGGGAGAGTGGGGCACAATCTGATGCATTTAGGCTTTTGCGTAATAATTTTAAAAGGGTTCAAGCAAGATTAAAGGGCCCATTTGATGCTAAAACAACTTTACCTCACTTTTTTTTGGAATAAAATAGTTTAATACAGTATGTAAACATTGTTAAATACAGTCCATGTATGGAAATTAAGCTGCAAAAACAGCTTGTTTTGAATTTGTTTATGTGATGTCATGAAAAACTAACTTATTTACATATATCTTCTTATTCAGACTACAGCACTTTAGCCCCACCCACTCACACTGACGTTATAAGGGGTGTTTCAGGTCTGAGTGTTTTTTTAAATGAGGCACAATAAAGGACAGCCAATCAGAAGAGAGCTGGTTTACATATATCAGTCTTAAAGGCACAGTTTTAATTCTAAGTGATTTAATTTTGGTGGAAACGTCAGGGGAAAAAATAAGATGGAAGAAAAATGTAGGATTTGGGCCCTTTGCTATTTTTACACACATCACTGCTACAAATTAAGACCTAAACTTTGTTCCCAGCACCTATCTTTTACTAACAAATTAGCTGCAAGTATTACAACTAACTCCAGGGTTCACTGTAGCAGACATTAAAAGACAATTATTTTAATACAGTTCTGTATGTTAACTGAACCAGGCAAGCTGTCTAACATAAACACATTAACCCTTTGTTACTCAGTGGTCTGCTGGACCCACCACATTATTTTTGTTTTAAATCTATACAGCCATAACAATTTATGTAAAAATACCAGATGATTAAAATATCACAAGTGTCCAGCGTAGGGTTCTCCTTTAGCAGCTGTAGCCAGTCAGCAGCCTGTCCATTTTGTCCATCCTCACACACACACACACACGCACACACACACACACACACACTAACAGCAGGCCATGTAGGAGGAGAACAGAGTGAAGGACACAGCACCTCCACACTTTTACTCCCCGCAGGTTCAGCCCAACACCACATGTGTAATATAAATGTGTGGGGGGTGAACAGAGTGAAGACACTGAAAATGGGTTATTTTATATGTTCTTCACAGAAAATGAGCAATGACCAAGAATCTGAGGCTGAAATAATAATAAATCATCATTTTTTCTTTTAGTAAACATTGAAAATGGGTCCCACAGACCTGAACACCACACAAGGGTTAAGATATAAATGTGATTATTTTGTGAAAATAATCATATTTGTACAGTGAAAAGAGGATTTGTCAAATGTGGCTAATTTATTTTTGACCACAGAGTAGAAGAGATGATATCAGAACAAAAATGTATTTTTTTTTTATGTCTGTAGAATGTTTTTTGATGAATCTGCACATAAAGAAAATTAAAAAAATGTATATTGACTTCTTCATTATTTACTTCGGGAGGCTTAGTTGTAACACTGTTAACCCACCCCCACCCCCCAAAATGTGTGGAGGCTGCACTTCAGCCTGGCTAGCTCTCATTGGGAGTAGTTTACATCCCTCAAAACAGTGCTATATTACAGCCACCAAGAGATTAAAATAATATAGCAGGGAATTCTGTGAATTCAAGTCTAATCAAAAACACTTATGATGAAAAAAGTTACTTTTAAGGTACAAAAACAGTCTTCAGCATGAATCTCAAGAAATATCGGTGAAGATTCACAGATGCGGTTGCTATGGGAACATGAGACGACTTTACTTAAAGTATAAAATACCTTTTACATTTTACCCCACATTAGTTTGTGCCCTGCTCTCCTCTACACTTCAAAGTCTCGTTTGTGGAGTAGGTAACTGAGAACCCTACCCTCTCTGAGGAGGTGTTGGTCTGCGTGATGTTAGAGGATGCAAGATTTTCCACCACCTCTTTCACTGCCTTTCTGCTCTCCGTTCTGTTCAGCTCTGTCTTCCTCTCTGTGGTGGAGATGTTCCAGATGGTGGGGCCCTGTTCTGTTTTATTCAGGGAATCCTACAAATATATAAAAATATTGGTCATCAAATTTGATCCAATGTCAATCTACTCCATACTGTGTCCTGGATCATGCTATTTTCGTTTAATTTCTTAATTCAAATGCCCATTGTCCTCTTAAACCCACCAACAATGAAGCAAACATGTGGCCACCCTTCATTTATTTAACCCCTTACAGTACCAGGGCTCACCAGCAAGCTCACAGTTTTATTACACACTTCTATAACCTAAGAATAGCTCAACTAGTTTGCACTGAAGTCCCTGTAGTTACTGAATAATAAGCCGTAGTATGTAATATGACTAAGATTTTAAGGGGTTAATTTCCATTAAAAGCAGCCATTAAGTACAAGTTTTTTGAGAAATTACCAGGAAGATTATATATAAAATAATCCACTTGCATAAGGAAGGAGAAAGTCAAAGGAAAATAAGTGAAAAAAAAAAACAGCCAGAGAGAAAATGGGACTCCAAACAACCACGCAAGACCTGGTCGACACCAAAACTGCCCCCATCAGATAAACAGCACTTAAAGCTTTCATCTTTGAGGGAGAGGAGAAAATCAAGCTGCTTCAGATCTGAAAACATCCACAGGTGTTTCTGTCCATCCTTCCACTGTGAGAAGACGACTCAGCGCTGTGGGTCTGAAAGGATGTGTAGCTGTCAAGAAGAACCTCACTGAGAAAAGGAGACGGACACATCAAACAAAGAAGCTGAACAATGGACTGACCACCCCAGAGTCCAGACCTCAACACCACTGAATGTGTTTGATTACTTCAGAAAATGATCAACCAGCTTCTAAGACTGAACTTTGGAGGTGAGTCTGCAGGTTTCTGTGAGAAACTGAAAGCGAGTGTCTCAAAACGAACAGAAGCTGTAATAAAGGTAGAAAAGTGGACACAATGAATACTGAAAAATATATATATATTATACTGGGGCTTTTGTGTCACGCATCCTTCAGGCTGTGAGGTATCTAGGGACTCCATTTCCCAGAACCCCCAGGGGAATCACATGATTCTCAGCCCTCCATCTCGCTCCAATCACTGCTCTCTGTCGCCTGAGTATTAACTGATTACACCTGTTCTCATATAATTAGTTTAGTATAAAGCCCGGGCTTTTAGTCTAGTTCAATGCGAGGTATTGCTTCTTATCCAAGAGCTACTGAGCGGTATTTTCTTCTCTCTATTGTGATTTTCCGGTTTTCGACTCTGTTTTTGACTTTTGCCCTTTTTGCCTTTGCCCTTTGGACTTTGTTCGCCTTATGTTTGTCTTTTTGTGTTTCTTGCCTTTGCTGGATTTGACCTTTGCCGGTTTTTTGACCACGATTTTGGATTACGACTCAAACATTAAAGCCTCACTCTCTTTTTTTAACCGCGAGCGTCTGAGTTATTCTGCCGCGTTACATTTTGAGCTTTTGTATGCTTTACTGTTAAATATGTTTTCTGCTTTCTTCCTGATGCTGAAAAATGAACTTCATGGCTACTTGACTGGAAATTAAATAACTGACTCTGACTTTTGCATAGTACTGTATATATGTATCATCACGCCACTGTTTCATCAAAGACAAGTCAAGTCAAATTTATTTGTATAGCGCTTTTTACAACTGATGTTGTCACAAAGCAGCTTCACAGAAATCCATTTAGGACAAAGTTTCAACATGAAATGTAAATCCTCCAGGTGAGCAAGCCAGGGACGACAGTCTCACTGCCTCAGAGCTGGGGAAGAAACCTTGGGAGGAACCAAGGCTCACAAGGGGGGGACTCATCCTCCTCTGGTCAAACTACCTACAAAATTATTATACTACTAATATTAATAGTAGTAGTAGTAGCAATAATTAGGAGTCCACTTCAGTGTAGAGTGGGCAGCCAGTCCAAGGCAGGTGGCGGTAACTGGGGACCTGGCCAATTTGTGTCATTCACAGAAGGACATTTATCTGCACCTTCACACTGGTGCTCCTCTATGAGACCTAAGCCTGTTAAGGTAGTGAAGCATGCCTCAGGTGCATCCCTCACACTGCTGGATCCAGAAGTCTTCATTTATATTTATATGAACAATATTGTTTTATCAGTGCTGTGGTAAATTCTCCAGATTGCAAATAATTGTAATGAATCATTCAGGAGCCAAAAGAAAAAATTTATAAGAACTGTGTTTTTACTGGATAGGACTCAGGCAGCTGCTCCTCAGTTAGGTCGTCCTCTTCTTCAATTAAGAGCTCATCAGTCTGCGGGTCACTGGAGAGCCCGTAGTTCGCTGAACTCTAGGAATGAAGAGAGTTGAGGCTATATTACTCCTCCAGTTGTCTTAACAGTCGTGCATTGAGTGTAATTACTGTGTTATTGCTTAGAGTGGAAATCTCAACCCAGGAAGCCTCAAAAGTAATAGTAAAATGTAGTAAAACATTTGGACAGTAAAACAGTTTATAACATTGCAACAATTAAAATACAACTTTACAGTGTATTCAGTGATGATGTTGGAGCCGGGGTCCGTCCTCTGCCCTTTGATTCTTTTTTTTGTGGCCATTTCATGCAGAAGCTCCTCCATGCCATCTTGGAGAAGCCTATCAATCAAGGCCTTCAGCAGGGAAAGCTAAGGATGGAAGGTTTATAGTAGCTGTAAGTTAGAAATATGCTGTGAAAAAAAGAAAGTGCCCCTCATCCGATTTCTCCTATTTTTGCTCATTTCTCACATTTAAATGTTTCAGATCATCCAACTACTTTTAAGATAAAGACATCACTAGTAAACACAAAATACAGCTTTAAAATGATGAAAAGGTCATTTTCCCCCTAAACCTAATAACTTTGTTTGTTGTGCCTCCTTTGGCAGTAACGACTGCAATTAAACATTTGTGATAACTTGCGATGAGTCTTTTACATCGCTGTGGAGGAATTCTGGTCCACTCTTCTTTGTAGAATTGTTTGAATTTGGCGACATTGGAGGGTTTTCAAGCACGAACTGCCCGTTTAAGGTCTTACCACAGCATCTCTATGGGATTCGAGTCAGACTTAGTTTCTTTTGAGCCATTCAGAGTTGGACTTGCTTGTGTGTTTCGGATCATTGTCCTGCTGCAAAACCCAACTGCGCTTGAGCTTTAGGTCACGAACTGACAGGCTGACATTTTCCTTCAGGATTTCCTGATAGAGAGCAGAATTCATGGTTCCGTCAGTTATGACAAGTCATCCAGGTCCTGCAGAAGCAAAGCAGCCCCAGACCATCACACTACCACCGCCATGTTTCACTGTTGGTATGATGTTCTTATGGTTGAATGCGGTGTTAGCAAATGGGACCCATGTCTTCTAAAAAGCCCCACTTTGACTCATCAGTCCACAGAATATTATTCCCAAAGTCTTGGGGGTCATCTAGATGTTTTTTCACAAATGTGAGATAAGTCTTTGTGTTCATTATCTTCAGCAGGGGTTTGTGCCTTGCAACTCTCCCATGGATGCCATTTTTGCCCAGTGTCTTTCTTACTGTGGAATTGTTAACTGAGCTGAACATTAACTGAAGCAAGTGAGGCCTGCAGTTCTTTAGATGTTCATCTATGTCCCTTTGTGACCTCCTGAATGAGTCGTTGATGCACTCTTGGTGAAATTCTGGTAGGCCGGCCACTCTTGGGAAGGTTCACCACTGTTCCAAGTTTTCTCTGTTTGTGGATAATGGCTCTCACTGTGTTCACTGGAGTCCCAGAGCCTTAGCAATAGCTTTATAACCCTTTCCAGACTGGAAGATTTCAATGACTTTGTTTTGCATCTGTAGTTGAATCTCTTTAGAACGTGGCATCATGTGCTGCTTTCTGAGACCCTCTAGCTGCTTCACATTGCCAGACAAGTTCTATTTAAGCGATGTTTAGATTTGCCTGGGTTTGGCTGGTGAAATTGTACCCAGTAGTCAACTGAATTTCGTTAACTGGTGGATTTAATAGCTAAGAGGACAGTTACTTTTTCCTCGTAGTGCCAAGTAGGGCTGAACAACATTTTTCCTTCAATAAATGAAATCATCATGTAAAAACATCGTTTTGTGTTTACTTGGATTATCTTTGCCTAATGATCTGAAACACAGATTGATGATTTGAAACATTCATGTGTGACAAATATGGAAAAATAGAAGAAATTGGAAAGGAGCAAAACATTTTTCACTATATAATTTTAAAACTGGTGCTGAAGAACCAAATATTGTGACAATTAATGTTCATAAAGGTTTTTTAGAATCACCTAATAGGATGCTGAGAGCTTACCTTAATGCCATATGATTCAAATAATTCTTCAATGTCCTAAAAGACATAAGAATGGATTTCTCATTGTAAAACTACTACTAAATACAGGTTAGTATACATTTATATTATAAATATGAGAAAATGTGGACATGTATACCTTAATTTCAATGGTTCTCGCTGGTACACCGGCCTCGCCCTGAAGAAAAGACAGAAAAAAACAGTTCTCATTTATCATTGCTTTAAAAACAAGTCTTAGTCAGCCTAAGTGTATGAAACAGAAAGTCACATACTTTCTCTCCTCTTGAGCCTTGGTCTCCTTTTTCTCCCTACAATCCAGAGCAGCAAAAATGAATCATATATATCTTAGAGTTATGTCACTTTTAATTTTGCTCAGAAATGAAGTGATCTTACCTTCATCCCAGGAGGACCCTGTACACACATACATACAGATGCAGAGAGGCAAAAGAATGAATTACAAAATGCATGACAGTAGAAAGCAAGTTGCCAAATCACCCAAAGCTCCCACATGAGACTCCATAAACAGTCAGGCCCATAAAGGGTATTTGCATCCAAATTGGATGAACGGTGTAGGAATTACAACCATTTTCATACATAGCCCCTCCCCCATTTTTAAAGGCACAAGAGTGATTGGATAACCCAACATAATCATAAATTAAATTGCCAATTTTAGCATTTGGTTTCAATCAATCACTACCTGAAGTTTTGAAATGAAATGCACACTCAATTGGACTGGAGTCAGGTGACTGACTTGGCCTTTACAGAACATTCCACAGGCTTGCATTTGCAGTTTTCTCGGGTCACTGTCCATCCACACTGTAAAGCACTGTCCAAAGAGTTTTGAACCATTTGGCTGAATCTTAGCAGATGATATAGCCCTATAGTTTTTTGTCAGCTGTCACATCATCAACAAATACAAGGGAAGCAGTTCCACTGGCAGCCATACATGCCTATGCCATGGCACTACCTCCACCATGCTTGACAGATCACATGGTATGCTTTGGATCATGAGCAGCTCCTTCCCTTCTTCATACTCTTCTCTTCCCATCATTATGATACAAGCTGATCTTTGTCTCACCTGTCCCTAAGATATTGTTCTAGGAATGTACAGGCTTTTTAGATGTTTTCTGGCAACTCTAATCTGGTCTTCCTATTTTTGTGACTTACAAATGGTTTACATCTTGAGACGTACAACTTGACTTAAAGTTACATCCACCTCCTGGAGGGTGTGCTTGATCTGGCCAACTGTAGAGTTTTTTCTTCATCAGGGAAAGGATTATTCTGTCATCCACATCCATTCTTTTTAAGAATATACCACATAGAATTGGTCTTATTTAATGTTTTGCTGTCTCTCTGTTGGGTTTGTTTTGATTTTTAAGCCTAATGATGGTCTTGCTTCACTGTCTTGCTTCATTGCTTCAAATCGAGTTAACAGCAGCTTTAAACCTTTCACCTTTACTTGTTAGTGAAATACTAACAGCCCCTAAAAATGGGAGGGTTATGTATGAAACTGGTTGTGATTCCTTCATGTTCACTAGATCTGGATGTTAATAACCTAAACATAAAATTAAGCTGAAAGTCTGCACTAAAATGACAGCTAAAATGACAAAAACCTTGTCGACATCCATGTGTTTAAGGACGTGACTGTAAGTTCCATTCTTTTTGCATCAGACGGATGCAGCGGTGTAGTACCTATTCTGTTCACAGCAGTGGATTTGGTATGTGCTTAAACAGTAAAACTGATCTGGAAAAGTGAAGTAAGTTGTACTCACCGTTGCTCCAGGGGGGCCCATCGGTATTGGAAACGCTTTTCTTATTTCATCTATTGAAGCACCCTGTAGAAAACCCAGTAGTATGATTGACACTAAACAAAAAGCAAGAAAACTAGCAGCTGGTAAACTCGTGCTTACTTGCTGCTACAAGCTGGAATTCCTCATATTAATCAATATAGCATAAATATATTAGTGCTGTCAGAGCAAAATCCTAAAAAAGTAACTTCACTGAAGGGAAAAACACTCTTCATTGACAACATAAGTTAATGTAACATGATTTTATTCAAATTGAACTATTTCTACTGCTTCCATAACATTTTGACACAGTATAAATAGCAGTCGGACTTTTGTAAAAGTATGTAAACAAAGCAAAACTGGACATACAAGGTTTTGTTCGACAGCGATGATATGAAGGTTCCCTACCTCTTGCAGCATAACAGGAGGGCCTGGCAACCCTGGAGGGCCCATTTCTCCCTTTTCACCACCTTTTCCCTAATAAGATACAAAGGTTACTAAATAAGATCTGAGACGAATTAAATTAAGCACAAAATTCATTTCAAATAAACATAAAAGTTCTTACATCAGCGCCAGGTTCCCCTTTTTCACCCTACAAATATGGAAAAAGGCTCCATGTTAAAACATTATGAAGGAAAAAAGGTTCTACCGAAATTCAAAGAAAGAAATATTAAAATATTACATTATTTTGATAAAAACATTTACAATAGTCTTTCAGCAAACCTTTTTGCCATCATCACCCCTGAGTCCTTGTTCTCCCTGAGCAGAGAAATGAAGAGATTTAGGCGTTACAGAAAATCACATTAATGAAATAGTACAGTTAACCATACATTAGTAAACCTCTTACATCTTTTCCTGCTATTCCACGTTTTCCATCCACACCAGGTTTACCCTGCAAACAATACAACACACAGTGTGATCAAATGTTGTGTTTAGGACTCCAGAAGCTATAAGAGTCATATGAGGTCTAACTATCTAGTGGATTATGCTCCACTAGTGTATATTTTGAGAAATTTTACATGAAAAATGAGAAATTGTGGAAGTTTACTTCATTGAAAGCTATTAAATGTTGGAACATTTTCTTTTGCCAGTACTGGTACCCCCTTTCATTGATTCCAGTCAATTCCAGTCAAAATGGCCATTTAGAAGGAGGTAATTATTTTTCAGGAGAAATTTTTGAGGAGATATTAGATATAAGATAATCCACCTGCATAAGGAAGGAGAAAGTCAAAGGAAAATAAGCGAAAAAACAGAGAAAACTGGGCTCCTAACAACCACCTGGAAGACCTGCTAGACACCAAAACTGTCCCCATCAGATAAACAGCACTTAAAGCTCAACTCTTGCTTCAGATCTGAGAAAAAGAGCTGAACATCACTGAGTGCATTTGGGATTGTCTGCATTGAGAAAAGCAGAAAATGCTAAACCAAGTTCTAAGACTGAACTTTGGAGGTGTGTCTGCAGATTTCTGTGAGAAACTGAAAGCGAGTCTTCTGAAAAGCATGGAAGCTCTAATAAAGGTAAAGAGTGGATAAACTAAATACTGAAAAGTCTGGTATTATATTTAGCTGTTGAGGCTTCTGTGTAATTTTCTGTTAAATATATATGTTTTTGCTTTTTATCCGCTGAAAAATGAATGAAAGAAGGTCTCAGCCTTTGTGCAGTACAGTATATGTGCATTAACACTGAAACTACTGTTTGTGTTGTACTGTACTGCATGTGCCAACAGAATAGAATAGAATCACTACTCACTGGAGTACCAGGCAGACCAGGCATGCCAGCAACTCCAACTCGACCAGGATCTCCCTTCTCTCCTTTCTTTTAAACCACACACAAAAGAACTTTAATGTACTCAGTAATGCAAATCTGTTCCAACGTTGACACAGTTTTTCAAATATGATTCAGTCTTTTAACATATAATATTAGTGACAGTGTGAGAACATAAATTATTTCTTACTTAAATATCACACATCAAAACTGACACAAACTAAAATGGTTCTCTAAGAACATAACGGCTCAGCATAAGCCTAATTACACAACATATAATTCCCTTAATGTCAATGCAGCATTTAAATTATGAATCACACCTTCTGCAATCAACCTTCTTTCTTAACATTAAAAGGATTACTCACAGCTCCTGGCTCCCCTTTCTTCCCTGCTTCACCCTTAAAAATGATGATTACAAAAGTTCAGGATAGAAACTGTAACAATATCACTGACTTAGATTCAGCCTGGAGTTGGTGCATTATGCATTACATAGTATAGTAAAGCAAACGGCACCCTGGGTCTTACTTTTGCTCCAGGCAGTCCTGGTAAACCATCCACACCATCTTTTCCTGTGCCAGATTGTCCCTATGGAGTGAACACACATGAAAACATGCATATATAGATGTCTATATATGACTTTCAATTCAGTATTATATAAAACAGATTAAAAACAAGGTTCCTCCAGAGTTCCTTAGTAAAGGCAATGGATTTACAGGGTGAACAAAACAATGGAAATACCACATGAAGGTCACAATCATTGGCTATTTTATCAGGTACACCTACAATAGAAGCTCACTTAGTAGGTTTCAGTTACTGACTGCAGCCCATCTGGTGATGCGCAGCTCATCAAACTCCCTCTATCCTGTCCATCCGTGGAAATGGACCACCACAACAGATATTATTTGGTTGGTGGTCTATTCTCAGCACAGCAGTGGCACTGACATGGTACAAGTGTTGGTATGAGTGTATTAGGCATAGTGGGGATTTGAAACAATGGGAATGACTGAAGATAAACAGCTAAAGTGAATGAGGATGAATGAAGTTAAACTGAATGGGGATAAATGAAGCTAAACTGAATGGGGATGATTGAAGCTAAACAGCTAAATTGAATGGGATGATTGAAGCTAAACAGCTAAATTGAATGAGGTTGACTGAAGCTAAACAGCTAAATTGAATGGGAATAAATGAAGCTAAACAGCTAAATTGAATGAGGATGATTGAAGCTAAACAGCTAAATTGAATGAGGTTGACTGAAGCTAAACAGCTAAATTGAATGGGAATAAATGAAGCTAAACAGCTAAATGAATGAGGATGATTGAAGCTAAACAGCTAAATTGAATGGGAATAAATGAAGCTAAACAGCTAAATTGAATGAGGATGATTGAAGCTAAACAGCTAAATTGAATGAGGTTGACTGAAGCTAAACAGCTAAATTGAATGGGAATAAATGAAGCTAAACAGCTAAATTGAATGAGGATGATTGAAGCTAAACAGCTAAATTGAATGGGAATAAATGAAGCTAAACAGCTAAATTGAATGAGGATGATTGAAGCTAAACAGCTAAATTGAATGAGGTTGACTGAAGCTAAACAGCTAAATTGAATGGGAATAAATGAAGCTAAACAGCTAAATTGAATGAGGATGATTGAAGCTAAACAGCTAAATTGAATGGGAATAGATGAAGCTAAACAGCTAAATTGAATGAGGATAATTGAAGCTAAACAGCTAAATTGAATGGGATAATTGAAGCTAAACAGCTAAATTGAATGAGGATAATTGAAGCTAAACAGCTAAATTGAATGAGGATAATTGAAGCTAAACAGCTAAATTGAATGAGGATGATTGAAGCTAAACAGCTAAATTGAATGAGGATAATTGAAGCTAAACAGCTAAATTGAATGAGGATAATTGAAGCTAAACAGCTAAATTGAATGGGATGATTGAAGCTAAACAGCTAAATTGAATGAGGTTGACTGAAGCTAAACAGCTAAATTGAATGGGAATAAATGAAGCTAAACAGCTAAATTGAATGAGGATGATTGAAGCTAAACAGCTAAATTGAATGAGGTTGACTGAAGCTAAACAGCTAAATTGAATGGGAATAAATGAAGCTAAACAGCTAAATTGAATGAGGATGATTGAAGCTAAACAGCTAAATTGAATGGGAATAAATGAAGCTAAACAGCTAAATTGAATGAGGATGATTGAAGCTAAACAGCTAAATTGAATGAGGTTGACTGAAGCTAAACAGCTAAATTGAATGGGAATAAATGAAGCTAAACAGCTAAATTGAATGAGGATGATTGAAGCTAAACAGCTAAATTGAATGGGAATAGATGAAGCTAAACAGCTAAATTGAATGAGGATAATTGAAGCTAAACAGCTAAATTGAATGGGATAATTGAAGCTAAACAGCTAAATTGAATGAGGATAATTGAAGCTAAACAGCTAAATTGAATAAGGATAATTGAAGCTAAACAGCTAAATTGAATGAGGATGATTGAAGATAAACAGCTAAATTGAATGAGGATAATTGAAGCTAAACAGCTAAATTGAATGAGGATAATTGAAGCTAAACAGCTAAATTGAATGGGATAATTGAAGCTAAACAGCTAAATTGAATGAGGATAACTGAAGCTAAACAGCTAAATTGAATGAGGATAACTGAAGCTAAACAGCTAAATTGAATGAGGATAATTGAAGCTAAACAGCTAAATTGAATGGGATAATTGAAGCTAAACAGCTAAATTGAATGAGGTTGACTGAAGCTAAACAGCTAAATTGAATGAGGATAACTGAAGCTAAACAGCTAAATTGAATGAGGATAATTGAAGCTAAACAGCTAAATTGAATGAGGATAATTGCAGCTAAACAGCTAAATTGAATGAGGATAATTGAAGCTAAACAGCTAAATTGAATGAGGATGATTGAAGCTAAACAGCTAAATTGAATGGGAATAATTGAAGCTAAACAGCTAAATTGAATGAGGATGATTGAAGCTAAACAGCTAAATTGAATGAGGATAATTGAAGCTAAACAGCTAAATTGAATGGGATAATTGAAGCTAAACAGCTAAATTGAATGAGGATAATTGAAGCTAAACAGCTAAATTGAATGAGGATAATTGAAGCTAAACAGCTAAATTGAATGAGGATAACTGAAGCTAAACAGCTAAATTGAATGAGGATAACTGAAGCTAAACAGCTAAATTGAATGAGGATAATTGAAGCTAAACAGCTAAATTGAATGAGGATAATTGCAGCTAAACAGCTAAATTGAATGAGGATAATTGAAGCTAAACAGCTAAATTGAATGAGGATAATTGCAGCTAAACAGCTAAATTGAATGAGGATAATTGAAGCTAAACAGCTAAATTGAATGAGGATGATTGAAGCTAAACAGCTAAATTGAATGAGGATAATTGAAGCTAAACAGCTAAATTGAATGAGGATAATTGAAGCTAAACAGCTAAATTGAATGAGGTTGACTGAAGCTAAACAGCAAAATTGAATGAGGATAATTGAAGCTAAACAGCTAAATTGAATGAGGATGATTGAAGCTAAACAGCTAAATTGAATGAGGTTGACTGAAGCTAAACAGCTAAATTGAATGGGATGATTGAAGCTAAACAGCTAAATTGAATGAGGATGATTGAAGCTAAACAGCTAAATTGAATGAGGTTGACTGAAGCTAAACAGCTAAATTGAATGAGGATAACTGAAGCTAAACAGCTAAATTGAATGAGGATAATTGAAGCTAAACAGCTAAATTGAAGGAGGATAATTGAAGCTAAACAGCTAAATTGAATGAGGATGATTGAAGCTAAACAGCTAAATTGAATGGGATGATTGAAGCTAAACAGCTAAATTGAATGAGGTTGACTGAAGCTAAACAGCTAAATTGAATGGGATGATTGAAGCTAAACAGCTAAATTGAATGGGAATAAATGAAGCTAAACAGCTAAATTGAATGAGGATAATTGAAGCTAAACAGCTAAATTGAATGGGATAATTGAAGCTAAACAGCTAAATTGAATGAGGATAATTGAAGCTAAACAGCTAAATTGAATGAGGATGATTGAAGCTAAACAGCTAAATTGAATGAGGATAATTGAAGCTAAACAGCTAAATTGAATGAGGATAATTGAAGCTAAACAGCTAAATTGAATGGGATAATTGAAGCTAAACAGCTAAATTGAATGAGGATAACTGAAGCTAAACAGCTAAATTGAATGAGGATAATTGAAGCTAAACAGCTAAATTGAATGAGAATAATTGAAGCTAAACAGCTAAATTGAATGGGATAATTGAAGCTAAACAGCTAAATTGAATGAGGATAATTGAAGCTAAACAGCTAAATTGAATGAGGCTGACTGAAGCTAAACAGCAAAATTGAATGGGATGATTGAAGCTAAACAGCCTAAAAAAGAAAAAATAAACATTTGTGTTTTTTTGTTCAGGACCTTCCTTTAGCTTCGGAAAGCAGAAGGAAGTGTTTTTTTTTTTTTTAATCTATGAAAACTGTATCTTTCCGTTTTACTACACTAAACAGGTTTTGGCCAGTAGTACGCTAACATTACTGCTGCTGAGTGCTGACTGGGTGATGAGCTGATGCTGTACTGTGATCAGAAAATCAGTACCTTTTTCTCCATATTAATCCCTTCATTTTGGACTCTCTCAGGAGCGCCCTCTAGCGTTTGACAAACCCACAGTGAATAATGACTAAAAGTCATTACTGAGCAACAGTTCTTCTAACTACACATTCTCTGTTCCACACTAAGTGCTAGTACGTTGTCAGAAATCTATGCAAACGTCCATGCACAACACCTTCACATGTTCACAGACACAAATATGCAGACATATAAATCAGTTTTAACTCAATTTCTGCATGGGAAATGATGAGCTACAGCCTCTAACTGTACATGGTGTCTGTGCCTGATATAGTCGTAGCAGTACCAACATTTTTTCCCACTAAGACGTTACGCAAAGAACCCTGTCTGACATCTTCATTTTAAAGACCGTATGGTTGTTCATTTCTATTGATAATGTGGTACAGGGTGGCAATATATGTGCAGTAATGGATGGGCTACAATTTGTAACTGTAAACATATACAGTGCGGTATGGCATGGTGGGTGTTTCTGATAAAATGGCCAGTGAGTAGGAGTATTTCATGCAGTCCATTATTTTGCGCAACCCTTGATATAAGAACTCAAAAAGCTAGAATGCTTAAGTGATTGTTTCTGTCGTTCGTCCAAGGCTGGAGAATATGATGCATATGGTTTGTTAAAGAACTTTTTAAAAAATAGTCATCAGTAGCACCAAAAAGGGTTCTGCTATTGTTATATGTCATAGCATCATTTTTTGGGTACTCTTTATGGAACCATTGATATCCCTCTTCTACTGGATAATGGAAAATCTATTGCATGTAGTACACTTATGAATGTTTCAAACAAATTCTATACAGCACCAAAAAGGGTTCTGCCATTATTACAAGTTGGGTTCTACAAAGAAAACACTTAAGAATGCTAAGGATCTATGTACTCTGGGAAATACTGCTATATATAGATTATAATCACATTTATAACCAAATGAAAGCATCTAAAAGTATTTAAGCCAGGTAGACACAATGACGTATCTAAAGTGTTAAGATAAAGCATATGATTCAGCCATCAGTGACTCACCAAGGAATTCCCTGGAGGTCCTGGTTTCCCTGGTGGCCCCTGGAGAGAAGGAATAATCATATCAGCAAGCAAGAGATCTTCACAGCCTTTAGCTCTGAACCTTATGTGCATGTGTTACTCACTGGCGGTCCTGTAAGCCCTGTCTCTCCTCTGAGGCCTGGGAGTCCAGGCTCACCCGGCTCACCCTGAAAACAGACACACATTTCCGGTGTAGAAAATGCACCCATAACTTTATTATCCACATATAAAAGAATGAAAGAACTGCTCTTCTACCTTGATGGCTCTGGTGAGGACGTTGTTCTCTGACACGGAGAACTGAAATGGAAGAAAAGCCATCTCATAAGATATTACAGATAAACATGCACAAATACACTGATCAGGCATCACATTATGACCACCTCCTTGTTTCTACACTCATTGTCCATTTTATCAGCTCCACTTACTATATAGGTGCACTTTGTAGTTCTACAGTTACAGACTGTAGTCCATCTGTTTCTCTGATACTTTGTTAGCCCCCTGTTCTTCAGAGGTCACGACCCCCATGGACCCTCACAGAGCAGGTACTATTTGGGTGGTGGATCATTCTCAGCACTGCAGTAACACTGACGTGGTGGTGGTCTGTTAGTGTGTGTTGTGCTGGTCTGAGTGGATCAGACACAGCAGTGCTGCTGGAGTTTTTAGACACCTCAGTGTCACTGCTGGACTGAGAATAGTCCACCAACCAAAAATATCCAGCCAACAGCGTCCTGTGACCACTGATGAAGGACTGAAGGATGACCAACACAAACTGTGCAGCTGCAGATGAGCTGTCATCTCTGACTTTACATCTACAAGGTGGACTGACAAGGTAGGAGTGTCTAATAGAGTGGACAGTGAGTGGACACAGTCTTTAAAAACTCCAGCAGCACTGCTGTGTCTGATCCACTCAGATCAGCACAACACACTAACACACAGCACCACATCAGTGTTACTGCAGTGCTGAGAATGATCCACCACGGATCATGAAAGGGGGCTAACAAAGTATCAGAGAAACAGATGGACTACAGTCTGTAACTGCAGAACTACAAAGTGCACCTATATAGTAAGTGGAGCTGATAAAATGGACAATGAGCATAGAAACAAGGAGGTGGTCAGAATGTTGTGCCTGATCAGTGTATACAGCATACAAAATGAAGCATTTGGGAGTTGTGTGTCAGTAACGACTCTTCCTGAAAGTTCCTTGAAGCCTGTGATAATCTGCTTATTTGAAACAGTGATGAACAGTGATGAAACTCACCTGAGAATGTCCAGGTGGGCCAGGTTTTCCCTGCAGGAAGGCAAATATGAATAACCATGAGGTATGAGACAACCATTGCTGCTTCTTGCATTTAAAACAGACACGATCGATGACAATTCAAAATTCATTACAGCAATCGATCATCATAAAGTTCAGGTATCTAAGAATTATGCGTTGGAGCCCTGGAGAGATATTAAATATTAAGTCTGGCTCAAAACACAGAACAAAACAAACCACTCCCGAAGACTGATTATCATAATATAGAACGTACCGGCTCGCCTTTCTCTCCTTTCAGTCCTTCAGGGCCCTGAGAAACAGTGAAAAGTAAGACCAACTGTTAATTACAGTAACTCCTCAGGTATCACTGAATACTGCAAGACACTACAATAACTATTTCAAAAGCATTAAAAAAACAAAAATGGTATGAAACGGTAAGAAAACAAGCACAGATGCTCACCGGTAACCCGAGTTTTCCAGGATCACCTTTCTCACCAGGGTCTCCCGGCCGTCCAGGGAGACCAAGAGAGCCCTGATGATGGAGAGAGAGAAATGGAGCTTTAATAATGGATGTTAGACGCAGATGTTTCATCTCATCCATAAGAAGGTTATGCTACAAGAGAAGAGCACTAAGCAGTAATGAGAGGCTTTTTCAGACAGGAGGGGAACAAGAGGGCAAAGAAAAGTCTGAGTCAAAGCAAAGACAGTGAAGAGACATTACCCGGATGCCTTTCTCTCCAAGCTCGCCTGGAGAACCTGGCTCGCCCTGTGGAAAATAACCCATATTTTTTGCTTTTTTTAAGCAGAGATTGCATAAAAGTACACTATTTATCATACATGAAATAAAATTCCAAGGAGAGTACATAAAACACAAAGAAAAACAGAAAGCAGTGATTTATAAATAAACCTTGACCTGTATTGAAAAGAAAACAGTACAAAGACAAGATACGTAATATTCTACTCTCTTTAAAAAAAGATTCTTCAAGGGTTCTTTAGGGTTAAAGGGGTTCTTTGCATTGCAAAAGTGTTCTTCAGATTGTTGGACAATGTGTTGTACATGGTTCTGTATAGAACCTTTCTGAAAACAGTTCTATATAGCAACAAAAATCATTCTTCTATTGTTACAATGTCAAGATTGTTACAATAGAAGAACCCTTTTTGGTGCTATACAGAACCCTTTTCAAAAAAAGGTTCTATGTAGGACCATCTACAGTACATTCTCCACCAATGTGAGGGACAACTTCACAATGCAAAGAACCATTTAATCATGCAAAGGGTTCTTTGAGAGTTCATGGTTATGTATAGAACTAAACTAAACTTACTAAAGAACCCTTGAAGAAACATCTTAGTGTGTACTCTATCAACTTCATTATTTTATGTAAATACACTCTTATTCTAAGATTGATGCCCGCAACACGTTCTGATGATCATAAACAAGTACGATAATTTTGCTTGAGCATAAAAGGTGCGTCCAGGAAAGGCCTGGTCCTTTACGAGCAAGGATATGTTGAGGCTCACCACTGCCAAAAAGTGAGTCAATGAATAATCCAACAGTTTAGGAACGTTTTTCACTGAACATTAGCAAAGATTTTAGGTATTTCACCCTCTATAGTGCATAATATCATCAACAGATTCAGGGAATCTGAAGAAATCTCTGGCCATAAAGGACAAAGCTGAAAACTACAACTGTATGACCTTCGATTCTTCAGATGGCACTGCATTAAAATCCAGCCTGCTTCTTAAATGGAGATCACTGCATGGGCTCAGGAATACTTTGAAAAAGCCGTTGTCAATAAACACTGTTTGCCACTACATCCACAAATGCAAGTTAAGACTCTACTATGCACAGCTGAAGTCATAAATCACTAACATCCAGAAACGCCGCTGAGTACTCTGGGCTCAAGCTCATCTGAAATGGACTTATGCACAGTGGAAACATGTATGGTGGTCCAACCAGTCAACATTTCCATTTTTATGGAAATAATGGACGTCATGTTCTCTGGGCCAAAGGACCATCCAGACTGTTACCAGTGTAAAGTTCAAAAGCCAGGGTGTGTAATGGAATTAGTGGGTACCTTGCACACTTCTGAAGGCACCATTAACACCAAAAGAGAGCAGCAACATATCGCTGCTGTCAGAACAAAACCTTTACGTATGTCCAAAAAAGTGACTTTACAGAACAAGAAGAAAAGTTCTTAACTTTTTACGGAAGTAAATAGATAAATAATTTTTTCCAAATGATTTTGGACCATTTCTGTTGGTCTGTTCATCATAAAATTTTGACACATCATAAAGGGGAACTGACCTTTTCAAAATAGGCCAAAAAATGAACAACAACAAAAATGGAGATACAAGGTTTTGTCCCGACAGCAACAATATTATGCCTTGTAGACAAAGTTTGGTAACACTTTCTATGAATGTCACCTTTGTAAGCATCTATAAACACATTTATAACATGTTATAATGTACTCATAAGGCATTATAAACATGGTTATAAATATTTATAAAAAAGAATTACACTGAATTACACTTTATAGCCATGTTTATTATACATTATTTATATAATGCATTATAAATAGTGTTAATAACATGTTATACTGTCAGTACCAAAGAAGTCAGTCCCAGCTTGGAGAGCGTAAAGTACAGACAAATACCAAGCTAACGGTGGTGTACATTACCTTTCCCACATTGGGTAAAACACTGATGGCAGCTCTAGTTTAAACGCTGACATCTGAAGCCTGTAATGTGCTTTACTGTGAATGTTTTAGTGTTTCAGTAAATCCTTCAGTAAATACTTCAACTTGAAGCCTCACTCTTAACACTGGAGGAGGCTTTAGTACAGTACGCTTCACTTTACTTAGAGCGGACAAATACGACTTATGAGCTGTTATAATTTGTTATGATCAGTACTTATAATGTATTATGTTAACAATTCATAAAGCATAATAAGCATGGCTATAACGTATAGTGCATTTTATAAATATTTATAGCTATGTTTATAATGTCTTATGAATGCATTATAACATGTTATGAATGTGTTTATAGATGCTTACAAAGGTGACATTCATAGAAAGTGTTACCCAAAGTTTTTCTCAGGGACGTCCATACTACGTCAAGCTACATTCCGCATGTATCACAACAGCATCGCGAGTGTGGGTGCTAGACTGACCTGCCCGCAGGCTCCTATTGAAAATGTGTGGTGCATTATGGAATGCAAAATGTGACAACAAAGGCCCTGTATGCTTTTTTACAGAAATCATGGAAAAATGACAAAAAAAATTGTTTTCAAAACTGGATCAGCTGGTCTCCCCAGTCCCAAACAATTATTAAGTGCTTGTAAAAGGAAATGAAGAGTGACACAGTGGTAAACATGCTCCTGTCCCAACTTTTTTGGAACATGTTGCAGGCATCAAATTTGGAATGAGCGTAAATTTACAAAAAACGATGTGGTGTTCAGGTCTGTGGGACCCATTTTCAATGTTCACCAAAAGAAAAAATGTGATTTATTATTATTTCAACCTCAGATTCTTGGTCTTTGCTCATTTTCTGTGAAGAACATATAAAATAACCCATTTTCAGTGTCTTCACTCTGTTCACCCCCCACACATTTATATTACACACGTGGTGTTGGGCTGAACCTGCAGGGAATAAAAGTGTGGAGGTGCTGTGTCCTTCACTCTGTTCTCCTCCTACATGGCCTGCTGTTAGTGTGTGTGTGTGTGTATATGTATGTAGTTAGTGTGTTTGTGTGTGTTTGTATATATCTGCATGTTCTTGGATAAGGGTCTTTGCTCACCCTTGCTCCTGGGTCTCCTTTTGATCCTGGCAAACCCTAAAATGGATTAAGGAAAGAATTTAATCTTCTTTTTTCACATAGTCTTTTCCAATGTAGCAATATATCTCCTCTCCTTACATCACTCACTGATTCAGGACCAAGCCATCCCTGATCCCCTTACTGAGACCTTAACTACCCTGCTCATTAAGTGTGTCAAGGAAATGGCTCAGTGCAATAAAATGACTGTGATTAATAGCATAACACATTTCCCTTTTGTCACTAATAGGGCTTGCATTTAAGATAATTTGCTGGGGTAGAGAACTCCCCTAAGCAATTTAATGCATTTCTAGAATTTAGATCTCTAAGTCTGTTGGCTAGTAGTAATAACACAGAACTTTTTCACCAAGCTTTGCACACCAATCGGCCGAATATGTGTCAGTTGTAGCTTTAGAATATCAGGCAAGAATAGAGAAAAACACTGTTTTAACCCTTGAACATTCACAGGTCTGACAGGTATCTAATACTAACTTTCAGAACTTAATAACTCAATAATTTCATATTGTTTTCATGTCATTGCTGAATAATAAGCCTTAATATATGGAGATCTGCAAATGCTAAGGGGTTAGCACCTATTTTAACCACAGATTTCTTTAGTAAAGGGTTTTATCAGGTTCTCTGGGGCCAGTTCAGAACAAAGTATAAGGGAAACGCCTGATAATTAATACAGATATGTATGACTGTATTTAACCCCTTAACAATCCAAGTTTATTTCATATTAAGGCGTATTATTCAGTAACTACAGGGACTTCAATGCAAACTAATAAAACTATTTTTAGGTTACAGAAGTGTGTAATAAGACTTTGGGCCTGCCGGCGGTCCCATGACTTGTTAAGGAGTTAAAAAAGCTTTCTCTCTGAAAACAAATGGTCTTCATTTGGGATGAAACAGGGAGAACCTGAATGAGAACTACACATTAGCATATACATCTCTTCCACGGTTTACTTACATCTTTACCTCTTAGTCCAGGAGCTCCTGGGTTGCCTGGGAGACCGATGTCACCTTTTTCCCCCTTAGAACCATCAATGCCCTAAAGAAGAACACAATTGATTGCAGAGGACATTTGGTTAGGTGTAAACCATTACGTGCTCCAGAATATAGTCCATGAGCAACTGTCCAGCAAATCCACTGGTTTGGAAACTCTAAGCAAAGTGGTATCAGACATATCATACAAAAAAACACTTTGGGACCTATTTTTGTGATCATAAGAGCTGAGATCCCAATTGCCAAATCCCATTTGAACATCTATAAGAGGTTTTAGGCCGACATGCGTTAGACAGGGCCTTGCATCATCGTCAAAACATCAACTGAGGGAATATCTTTTGGAGAAATGGTGTTCGATCCCTCCAGCACAGTTTCAGAGACTTGTAAAGTCTATGCCAAGGCACACTGAAGCTGTTCTGGCTGTTTGTGGTGGCCCAACATCTTACCTTTACACTTTATATCAGCTATTTTTCCTTTAAGTTGTCACTGGTGAGTAGCAACCAGGCACAAATGGGAAAAAATGTGCTTACACCCAAATTAGCAATACATTGGTGTTAGACCACTAAGCGTTGCCCTATGAGTCTAAGGGCTCAGAGCACGGCCCAGTATGAAAAGACTGAAATACAGCTGAACATAGTCATCTATCACGCAGGACACAGTATTAAGAAGGTGAGGGGAGTGAACTTACTTTAGGCCCAGGCTTCCCTGATAAGCCCACATTGCCCTGTGTACGAATACACAAAATTATAGTCAAGAAAGAACAGAACGCTTTAGATTAGATTTAGATTAGGTGTGGAAACTCTTAAAGACACTCACCCTCTCACCGCTCTCACCCTTAGGACCTGGCTGTCCAGGAATACCAAAGCCAGGACTGCCCTTAAAAGAGAGAGAAGACAATAAATCAGTACCAAATGAGGCCAAATCACTGCTGAATCAATCAATTGCATCTTCAGGATTACCTTGTCACCTTTGTCTCCTTGGACCCCTTTAATTCCCTGAGGTCCGGGAGGTCCAACTGGTCCAACATCCCCCTGTAAGATGGAAGTGAGTAAATAATTCATGGATTTTGGAATTTACATTACAAAGCTGCAACTGGTGAAGTATGGCATTACCAGAAATCAGACAGGGCAGGGATAACAACATACAGGTGAAAGTAAAAGATCACCCCCAGTGTTTTTTAGCACCAGCGCTGCAAGTACGAAAAGCCCCCCCCCCAACACACACACCCGCGTAGATATGTGTAGATACATGTCACGCATCCCTCCGGCTCCAGCTCACACATGGACTCCCAGAATCCCGTGGGAGATCACGTGACTGTTGGACTTCCACAATCATCCAATCACCGTTCACACTCACCAGAACACTGATGTGTTGCACCGGCACTATGCGTCATATGACCAGTCTTAGTTTAGTTTATAAGCCCGGGATTTGGATTAGTTTAGTTGCGAGTTTAGTTTGCCATTTAGTGGGTTTGTTGTTTATTAAATAGCGATGATGTGAAGATGATGAAGAAGTCTCCCCTGACACTGCCTTTCTTGTATAAGATGTTTATTACAAAGTAAAACTGTATCATATCAAGCACTATAAAGTACCTGAGAGGGGATCCGTGCCAATTCTAAAGTGTCCCCCCAGAACAGTATGACCTACTGCTTATATAGGGTGGTTGTTATGGAAAAAGGAGACGGAACGTATATCAAATCAAATCAAATCAAATTTATTTGTATGGCGCTTTTTACAACTGATGTTGTCACAAAGCAGCTTCACAGAAATCCGTTTAGGACAAAGTTTCAACATGAACTGTAAATCCTCCAGGTGAGCGAGCCAGGGGCGACAGTGGCCAGGAAAAACTCCCTCAGAGCTGAGGAAGAAACCTTGGGAGGAACCAAGGCTCACATGGGGGGACCCATCCTCCTCTGGTCAAACTACCTACAAAATTATTATACTACTAATATTAACAGTAGTAGTAGTAATAATAGTTAGTATAGTCCTTCTTAGAATAGTCTCATTCATCTGGAACTAAAGTGGAAAGGGACCTTTGGACGAGGGGCCCCCTCACTTAAACATTCCAATCCTGCAACGTCAGATTACACCTGGAGCTTGGATACTACAGGTTTAACCCTGTTTCTGGATTTTCTGACTTTGCCTTTTTGCCTCTGCCATTTTGGACCTGGTTGCCTTCGTTATGTTTGTTCTTTTTCGTCTTTTTTGGCTCTTTTGGATTTGACCTACGCCTGTTCACCGTTCACGATTCTTGTCAAACGCTTTATACTTAAAGCCTCATTCCTGTTTTTATTTTACCGTGAGCGTCTGGCTGGTTCTGTCACGTTACAATACGAGCATGCCCAGCAGCCAGCACAAGCCAAACAATACAAACTATTTACGCTGTTTTTGTCAGATTTGATGAGTGATTTCAAATTTGTTTTTAAAACATGTTGCTTTTAGTATCACCTTTATAGGTCTTTCCCCATTCAAAGAGATAGAAGCCTGGACTTCTGTGAGTGGAAATAACTGTCTGTCTGAGTTGCCAAGATGGCCATTGAGTTGACTTTCTATACGGACTTTAGCTCTGTGCTCTGTTTATACATCTGTTTAGTAAATAGTGTTGAGCAGTGAATTGTGTTAAAAATGTTAAACTTTCAATTTTTTATCAACATATTCCAGATAGATTCTAGTCTGTGGACGTGGGCCACTTCTGGCAAACATACCGCTCTGCTGGCTCACTGTTGGCACAGCTAAACTGCATGTGAGCCAAAAGTGGCCCACACTGAAACATGCTTATTTGGCCCACATGTCTTAAAACAGGTCTGGGCCACTTCTGGCAGAGATATGGCAATATGTTGGCCTATGCAACACTTTTTCTTAACTGAAAAAACAGGTAGTCCAGCACAATCTGCCTTCCGAATTTAGTTTTAGATTCATGGCTGAAGTCATCATCATCATTTTACAGTGGTATGTGGGCTGGATGAAAGTAGTAGGTGTGGGCCAGAAATGGCCCATCATTCGCTTGCTATCTTGGTAAGCACTAGAAACAGGCCTGTTTTCTCTACAGGCTCTCAAGGCTCTGTCACCTTTTTGTTTTTTTTTTAGAAAAATAAATAATTCAATAAAGGCCAAACACAAACATGCCCAGTACAAAATGGACTGTGGTGTTTCTTGAAACCCACTGAGCCGTCGTTCTCGTCTCTGACGCTTTTATAAAAAGCACAGAGATGTCAAGTTGAGGTGCCCTAAGAGTGGAGCTCAGACATCTGGTTAGATTGCACACAATACTTAAAGCTGTACTACTTTTTGTTAACACCGATATAAGTAGCATTACTGAGTCAGGAGCTAAAATATGGTACAGCCTGAAATAATAATTTAAAAGTCAGAGGTGTTGGGTCAGATGTTGACGCAAAATGAACAATATACTGATGAAAATTTGAAGATATGATGACAATAGAAGATAATTCACTCGCATCCTCGGAAGACGCGACCCTCACCAAATTTTTATTGAACCAAGTTCTCTTTCAACACGCTTACAATCATCAGACTCATCCACACAGGGGTCTGAAGCACAACCCATGTCACAAAATGTTCTTCCACATGTTGCGTGCAATTACACATTTCCTCCAGAGAGGCCTCCAAATCCCCAAAACTTACACAGTGCAGCTTCATAAGTTTCATAAGATGCAATGAGCCATATGAAGTAATAATGTATAGTATTTATAATCTCTACATTGTACTTGTAAAGATCTGGATTAAATTGCAGGCAGAAAAGACAGTTAAGTGGCTGTAGGTAAGTTGCCCTGGTGTTTGCTGCAGTGTATGACTACACACTTTGCTGAGATGACAGTGCAAAAGGCCAATACAAAATGTATTAGTGGCCTTAAAGACATTCAAAAAGTGTGCATTTGTATTTTATTCTATACTTTTGCTTGTTGTGATTCTAGTCATGCAAAACATGAGCAGCCACTAAAAGATCCATGCTAAGAAATCTAATGCAGACACACTTAAGTCATACCTTTTGTTGTATTGTCTGTGTTTATCACATTTTGTCTTCCCATGGTTGCATATTTTGTATTGTAAAGTTTTACTTTTTAAATATACAAAGGTGGCAAACTTTGTTTGGATTGTAAATAGCATCTTTTGAGAATCGTGTTGATCGTCATGTAGACCTTAGGGAGCCTTTAGTTTCACATCAACAGCCTTTTCACTAATTAATTGCGTATGAATCATCATCAGAGAGACAGATATATTGCTTGCTTTTATCAACATAGATGAAGGGATCCCACAGGAAGAATAACTGTCAGATTTGATTCATAAGTTCAGACAAAACCAAAGACAGAACGTGTAGGAGGAGAGCCTCCCCCAGACGGCCTATCTTCGGCTCAGAAGATGGTTCACCTGCTGAGGATTTGGATCTTATTTAAATTTGTTACTGTGTTTGATGTGAGGAAAGCAATATTTGTCTGCCAATATGTCTTACCCTAGCACCCTTTTTCCCAGGGGGCCCAAGCACCTGTGGTGAACAAGAATATTATGAGATTCTGTTTATGTGAAAAATGCATAATGTGTCATATGAATTTCTGGATTGATTCTACAATGTTTACCCCTTTAGCTGGATCCCCTGGTGCTCCACGCTGTCCCTGTAGATCAGACAGAATATTTAAATGCAGACATGAACAAACACGCATATATATATATATCGCTGTTGTCTGAAGAAACCTCCAAAATGATAAGAGGAGAAGAAAAAAAACTATTTTTTTTTCCAAGTAAGTTTGGGTCATTTCTTTTGGTCTATTCATCATGAAATTTACAAAAATGTCAAAAACACAGAGAGGAGGTTTTCGGTAACATTTTCTATGAATGTCACCTTTGTAAGCATCTATAAACACGTTTATAACATGTTATAATAAACATAGCTATAAATATTAGAAAAAATGCATTATACATTATAGCCATGTTTATTATGCATTATGAATTGTTAACATAATACATTATAAGTACTGTTCATAACAAATTATAAGAGCTCATAAGTCATATTTGTCCGCTCTAAGTAAAGTGAAGCGTACTGTACTAAAGCCTCCTCCAGTGTTAAGAGTGAGGCTTCAAGTTGAAGTATTTACTGAAGGATTTACTGAAACACTAAAACATTCACAGTAAAGCACATTACAGGCTTCAAATGTCAGAGTTTAAACTAGAGCTGCCATCAGTGTTTTACCCAATGTGGGAAAGGTAATGTTCACCACCGTTAGCTTGGTATTTGTCTTTACTTTACGCTCTCCAAGCTGGGACTGACTTCTTTGGCACTGGCAGTATAACATGTTATTAACACTACTTATAATGCATTATATTAACAATTCATAATGTATAATAAACAATTCAGTGTAATTCAGTGTAATTCTTTTTTTATAAATAATTTTAACCATGTTTATAATGCCTTTTGCATTACTATAACATGTTATAAATGTGTTTATAGATGCTTGCAAATGTGACATTCATAAAAAGTGTTACCAGGTTTTCTTTCTAATATATATATATATAAGCCATATTATCTATCATATTTTATTATTTTTTTCCCCAATATATTAAATGTATGAAATAAAAAGAAATCATGCATTAAAATTTCTAAAAATGTGTCATATTAATGCTTAGAAAAACCCCAACACAACAATAATTTGAGCAGGGGTGCCCAAACTTTCACATGCAACTGTAGTTGCCTAAAACAAAATTGACATTCACCTCATCACCCTTCGGCCCAACAGCTCCAGGCAAGCCCTAGGTGTAAAACAAACACAAGCATCCTCAAACTGACAGAATTTGCATTTTACAACTGCAGAACTTCAGGTGCGTCCAAACTTGTAAGATAACGAGGATTCCTGTTTCCCCTCATACCAAAGCCTCATCGTGACTCAAAGGTTCTGTGAGCATAACGATCGGTTTAATCACTTGAGACGCATTTACTAACCAACTCAGGCTTGAATTTAACTTCAGTGAAGTACGTTTCATATTAAAAAGTGACTGAAAGTTCAACTACGGCATTTCCAGCAGCATCGCCGTGACGGAACTGTAAATAATTCATCACAGAGATCACAGGTACTGACACACGGCTCCCGATGGGCTCAGATCTTTATCGGGCTAAAGCTCCGTCCAGGTATTTTTCTTTTTAATCATCTTGATTAAAAAATGTGGATCCGGCGCACATAGGCTGCGGTTCTCCACTGCAGGGCTTAAATCCATGGCTGACCAAAAGGAGCCGTGAGGAGGTGGTGCTCCCTTCACTAATCATCTTCTTTAATTTCCCCAGAGGGCTCTAACTCATTCTCTCTTAATAGCATGCTGTATCACTAAAATAGCAACAGGGGGCAAAACTACTGTAGATGTGTCTGAAGAGGCAACTGAAGAAATAAAGAAGTACATTAACGGGTTTCTGACAGTTATGGCCAAGAGTTTATTAATACTGTACTTATGCCAGCCCAATGCATTCATTTATTTCGTGGTGTTATGTAATGTTATGTTCATCTCAGCACCATGAAGCACACCAAGTTGTGAGTTTGGAGCCTTTATATGTAGCAATTTACACAGTAATGTATGCAATGATGACTACTACCAGAGAGTAGAAGAACAAAAAAAAAAAAATCCTTTACTTACTGCTAGTCCCTGAGGTCCCACAGGGCCTGTATCCCCACGATTACCCTGTGACAGAAATGTTTAATTGAAAAACAGCAATTTATACAGCAACAATACATTAATCTTTCTTCTGTAATCACATCTAGTGAAGAAACAGTACTATTTTCACTGATTTGACCAAGACCTTATTCGCTTGCCGAGTGTCTGAAATGTCATTTTTAAATGCAGAGCTCAAAAGCACTTTCTTGATGGTGACAGATACCAACACCTGTCGCTTCTGTACTATTCACAATTCCTTCCTCTAGTGCAGAATTTTACATTTTTCCTGTTCCAACTCTTTTTCCTGTTCCAATTCTTTTCCTGTTCCAACTTCATTCAACCTTGATATTTACATTAAAGGGCCAAAATAGATATATCTATATCTACATAGTAGATATAAACAACAGATCATCATATCAGTATGTGTTTGTTGAACACCTCATTCAAAAACCTGAACATTAATGTAGAGCTGGTCCCCGTTTTGCTGCTGTAGCAACTTCCACGTTTGTGGGGAGCCTTTACGATAGAGTTTGGAAACAAGGCTACAGGGAATCATTTCCATTCACAGTTCCTGTGTTGATGTTGCTTCCAGAGGCAGTCTGGAACTCTCTAGTGAGTGTTGTAATTGAGCACAGGTGAAATTTATGTGCTACACATTTCAGCACTCGACAGCTCCAAGCTAGTTGCTCCTTGTTTCCACTTCGTAATTTCAGCACTTACAGTTCACCAGGGCAGCTCTAGTAGGCCACAAATCTGACCGTCTGAGTTCAGTATGACACACTCTACTGCCAGTGTTTATCTATGGGAACTGCTGCATTTTAGCCAAATACACTCATTACAAAATAATTTTGGCCACACAGTGTATCTGATGAACTAAAACAAGTGTGTTACAGCAGTGAAAAAACTCTAAATTATGGAAATCACTACATTAGTATGTCAAAAACTTCATTCTAGCAGTAACAGACCTTCACATGTCCTGGCTTACTGAACAGAAAGTGTGGTTTACAATGAATACATTGAATTCATCTCTCTTCCAAACGACAATGATCTCATGCAGAAATGCATATGATCTTTGAACACTGGGTGTGGAATTTTTGTGTTTACAGAGTTAGGCAGAATCTTACCTTGTCTCCTTGCTCCCCTTTCAAACCCCTTTTCCCCTGAGCACAAATCAAACAAACATTTAAGAAAGCATCACCATGTGCACACTGATTAAATGCTGCAGTCAATATATGGCATCATCTTGGCTTATGACTGTTTAGTCGAGCAAGAAAGCAAAGAAAAGCAAGAAAGCATTCAAAGCTTTGAATTATCATAATAATAACACTATTTGCATCAATTTGATTGAAAATAAAGGAAATATTTACATTTATACAACAGTTAGTTCGGCCACACAAGCTGATCGGGTTGAGAAGCGTTCTAACAAACACTGTATCACTCCGCCGAGATGCCGTTGCTAAGCAATGACTTTGACAGCTGTAGGAGACGCTCAAGCCATTTGAACATTTTCACTTCTTACTTTGCCACAAACAGAAAACGGACACTTTTAAGATCACATTTGACCGACAGCCGATTTGGTCAGACTCTGAAGATGAGACTACACTAAATTCCCAAACTGTCAGTTGGTCTGTGTGGAGCAGGAGAACGAACTACTGGCTGTGCAGCGAGTGGGCGGAGCTCGTTACTCTGACGTAGCAACAAGCTGGTTGTTAAGGCACTATAATTCAGCGGAGGGAACTGCAAACATATTAAATGCCGCGTTCACGGACCAGTTTTTTAATTTATTACTTTATTAATTTAACTGTTGTATAAAAGCAATGGAACACTTGAGGAGAGTGTTATCGTGAAATAACATCATGGCTGTGATGATCTACTGTGACCACACTCCCTCTCGGGTTCTGTTCCTTAAATATATCTATATACCAAAGAGTCCAACATACTCTGGGTCCAACAGGTCCTAGCACTCCTTGAATTCCTTGCTCACCCTGTAAACGAATGAGAAAACTGTGACTTTGAGATATACATCCCTTCAAAGGAAGATTCAGTCCAATATACGGCACAGATTTGGTGGACTGAAGAGTTACCTTTGGACCAACAGGACCTGAAAGTCCCATATTTCCCTGAAAGAGGAGAAAATCAATATCAGCAAATATTCAACAAGTTTAAAAGCAGAAATAGAAAATACGAGGATACTTCTGAAAAACGCTGAGATGGACAAAAACCTATTCTGAGATATTACAGGTGTTAAATTTGTGAGAAAGTTTGCACCTTTGATAAATGTACACAGTACCTTTTCTCCAGGAGGTCCATGTAAACCCTGGACACCTGGAATTCCAACTCCCTCTTCCCCCTGCATCACATCAAAGAACACTCAGCCTGTGTTTGATTTCAGAGTGTTTGATTCTAACTGCCTAATTAACAACCTAATTGTACAGAGATCTACTGCACAGGTTCTCAGAGAAGATTAACAGTGGACCACAGATGTGTATGAAGAGAAAGCACAGGTTATTAATATAACTGTCCCTTCCTTCGTCCCTTTATTTTGGTTTGTGTGCTGTGTTGTGGTGGTAGAACTACTCTATTTCAATTGTACCCACTTTTTCTCCTTTCTGACCAGGCAGTCCAGGGGTTCCATCCACTCCTATTGGTCCAGGTAAGCCTGCTTGACCCTTGTCACAAAAAACAGTAATACGTTAAATTAAAGGGAAAATACACTGAAAAAAGTGATGCATTAAATCTCCTTGATTTAAATGTGCATATCATTTCCACAATAATGAAATATGTTACTTTAAGGGTTATTACTACCAAACGTGAGATGTGAGTATTTTATTCATGTGGAAATGTAAATTGAGCAAAAACAATGTAGAACCACTTCAGTGTTTAAAATATTTTTATGCATTTTGCTTCTTATTTAATACAAAATTATTTAAGATGCATCCGTTCTTTGAAATAATCTAGCCTATCAGTTTTCTACCACTGCAAGGCAAAGGCTACACACTGCCTCCTCTACATTGTGTGAGATTTGCATAGCTTCAAGAAGAGGATTAACAATTTACTATAGTTACATTTCCATCCATAGATTTTTTTTAAAAAATGTTTTAAAGGTACAGTGTGTTAGATTTAGTGGCATCTAGTGGTAAGACCGCAGATTGCAACCAACTGAATACCCCTCCCTCACCCCTCCCTTTTCAAGCATGTAGTAGAACCTATGGTGGCCGTCTGTTAGATTGGTACGCCAAATTACCTGTCATTTGTCTTTCATCAGCGATTTCCATCTGGGAAAGGCAACGCCGGTGTTTATCCTTGTTTGCTTTATGTTTTCGCTTCTTTGACAATGAGGATTCACCCTTCCTTAATTTTTCTTCTGATCCTCCATTTGTCAAAATTTGAAGTTCTCAAGTTCTCAAACTTCTTACATAATAAAATGGTCAACCAGCACCAGCAGCAGAAACTGATTCTTCTTCTTTCTATGTCTTACAACTGGAGCTATGGCATCACTGAATTCAAGCTGGCGCTTCAACATAAAAACATGAAGGGCATCTCTAGAGCCAGTGTTCAGATTGTCTGTTCTGGGCTACTGTAGAAACATGGCAGCACCACAGTGAGTCTGTTGGAAGAGGACCCACTTACTATGTAGATATGAAGAGCTCATTCTAAGCTAATGAAAACACAGCGATTTGAAGTTACAGGTGATTATACACTAAGGAAACCATGGTTTTGTATCCTATTTTCCATTTCTGCTAAATAGATCCCCCCAAACCTTACACACTGCACCTTTAATGCTACAAAAAAGTTTGTCAATAAGTTATGGAAATGGAAATCGTCAGTAATATTTTATGAATGTTGACTATTCTGTTCAACTTCAGCAGATAGACTGTTTGTCGATACCTGACATGTCATGAAAACCTACACTGGAAACTTTTTGGGGGGAAAATAATGCATTTATGCATAGATTTAGGGTCGTATGAGAGATTTTTCTCACAAGCCTCTCACTGGAAACAGCATGGTGGAGAGGTAGAGCTGCACTGAGGAGGAGACAAAAGTGCTTTTATGGAAACACTGCCACTTTTCATCCCTTACAGAGAGAGATGACCCAGAAAGACCACAGCCGAAGGTATTGCCTTGTGCCTGACAATTAACGATGGAAATAACCGAAAAACAACTTCTTTCTTTATCAATAACAGTCATTTGCAGGAGATGATGTCCAAATTTTGGTGGAGAAGCATAAATCGCAAACATTTTTTTAACAGATTTTCATTTTTTGCTTGGATTTTTAACTGAAAGTTGATGGAAACATAGCTTTGGGGATGACCTGAGAGTGTAGATCTGAGATTGTCCTTCATTGATCTCTGGTCACAGACAGTGCACGAACCAACATGGAGCAAAGGCACAGTGTGCATCTCTTCTATATGGGCTTTGTTTTCACCAAGGTAACAGATTCTGAGGTACTAATATTTTGGCACGGTACGAGATTAAATATTGGTGTTACGCAGTACAATAAAGAATCATTTACAAGGCCTGCAGAAGTCGTGTCAGTGATGCTTTGGATATGACTACATATATATATATATATATATATATGTGTGAAAAAGCTATGGAATGTCTGTTGTGGTCTGAGAATCGATGTAAGGACTAACAGTTTGTCCATCTTCCCCTTTTTCTCCTTTAGGTCCTGGTTTTCCACGTGGACCCTGCAAAAACCAAAGACATCTAATTTAAAATAAACCACATCAACCAAATGTTAGTTTACATTAAATTGATGGGAAAAAGAGGCAACTCACTCTAAGCCCAGGCTCTCCAGTCTCACCCTGTAAAATAACAGAACCAGAATTCTCAATCAAACAGTTTTAAACATAAAATCACAATTTTCACAGAAATTAAGTTCAAATGTCATGTCTTGTTGATTTCCTGAGTGAAAATACATTAAAACACAATCTACAGAGAACACACTTCTGCACATTTAATGTTTATTTACTGAATTAAACAAAGAAAAATGGAAAAAAAGGACATTAAATGAGATCTGTGAAAAAGTTATGGCACATTTAATTTTTTATTTTTTTTCCTAATATGTTAAACTCAGCAAAGAAATAGAAATTGTGCACTAAAATCTGCAGAAAAGATACATTTATATATGAATACATTTATTTACTTTTTAAAATATGTTCTCTGTAGAGGATGAGTTAACTTATTTTTACTTAAAAGGGTTTTAACTTTTGCGTACAACTGTATCCACAAAAAAAGGAAAGAACAGTTCTAGTTAAAATGTTTGGTACATTTACTGGAATAAAATACAAAATACAAGAAGCATCAAAGCAACGTTCAAGAAAACTGAAAACTGTCTAAATCTGAGGTTCTTAAAAACAGCTGCGTATTTGAGGGATCCATTCCACAAACGATAGGCGTCCATTAGACAAGTTTCAGAAGGAAATCACCTGAAATGTCTTTACAACTCTTTCCAGAGAAGCAGCTAACTTGGAAATGTCTTTGTCTTTAACTCTTCTGTCTGGCTCATGAAACAAAAGGCCCACAGGGTTCAGGTCTGGAGACCATTAGCCTGAGTTTGAGCCCTTGACTTTCCCTTAACTCCTTCACCTGAATGGACGTCAGTAGAATGGATTTCCTGATCAGCCACAGCAGTTACAGACACTGCTTCCAATTTGTCTTAAGGACTGACCTTTGTAAAGTAATTATGGACTTCACTTCACTTCGCTTCACTTTACCGTCTGTGCTGTATTTATAGCGGGGATTCCCACCTATTGCCAATAACTGTTCACAAAAAGGTTAATTAGGTCACATGCTAGTTAACTCAGAGACCATCTGACACTTTTATACTTAGTCTATTGTTTTTATACCTTGTAGTCATTTCAGGCTTAATTTATTGATTTATTAATTAATATTATTCCACTATGATTACATATTCATTTAAACATAGATATTTACTGTATCGTAATTATTTTCTAATTATATATCATTCATTGTAGACATGTTGTACTAATTAAAATGTAGATAATCATGAACAATCAGACATCAAACAGGTGTTTTCAAAGTTCTGACTGGTAGTGAACAGTTAAGTCAAACAGTTCACAGAACTGCTTCAGTGTGAGGATTAAATACATAATTTAACTAAAAGTGAATGTATAAAAGCTTTGAGGCGACAGCAGCCATGACTTCATTTGCATAAAGCGAATCAGTGGCTATTCGCTTTATTAATTAATTCAAAACAGGGATGCACGATGACATTGGATTCATATCAGTATCAGCAGACAGCTGCTAAAATATCTATTTTTGTTGTTTTTTGTTTTTGTTTACATAATGTGAAAACACCAGCTGCCTGTCACGATGCGTGAAAATCTCATGACAAATGAACCAACAGAAATGCTCTAAAATGACTTGGAAAAATACATGTATTGTGTATTATCATGTATTGTACGTAGCATGTATTGTGCAAAAGTCACAAAAAATGGTTAAAAACATTTATCTGGGCAATAAGAGTCTGTTTGCATGTAAAATGTAACATAACATTAGAATAAATAGTAAACATAAACACGTCCACATATTCATGAAACACTTGAATATCGCTGCTGTCGGAAGAGAACCTCATATCTCCATTTTTGTCATTTTTCAGTTTTTAAGATAATTTGAAAATGCCTGTTGTCCTTTACATTGTGTGTAAATTTTATGATGAATGGACCAAAAGAAATGACCCAAAATGACTTGGGAAAAAGTCTGGTTCCATTGATTTACATTAAAAGTGAGGTAGGTTTTTTCCTTCTCCTGTAAAGTTACCATTTTGGAGATACGAGGTTTTCTTCCGACAACAGCGAAATGTAGGTTAGATGAATACAGTTAGAAGAAGAAAGCTTTGGTTCCTTCTCGCTTTACTCCAGCCATCACATGGATTTGTTCAAGTCCATCAGCAGCACCTGATTTAATTTAACTGATTAGATAAAACAGGTGTTGGATGGAAATGGCTAAAATAAAACATACAGACATAATTACAAATAAATCACCTTAGACTTGCACAGTACTGTATGTAACAGCATTGAACAGATACTTAGATTTGACCAATATTTAAATATTTTAAACCAATATTTGATGACATGTTTATTGTACTCTGGAAAAGCAGAATGTTTAGGCAATGTCTGCATATTATTCATTTTATGTACACTATATGGCCAAAAGTTTGTGGACACCTGCTCATCCAATGTTTCTTCCAAAATCAAGAGTATTAAAAATATCTTTGTTCCCCCTTTGCTACAGTAACTGTCTCTACTCTTCTGGGAAGGCATTGCACTAAATGTTGGAACACTGCTGTAGTGATTTGATTGCATTCAGCCACAAGAGCATTAGTGAGGTCAACTACTGAAGTTGGATTACTCCAACTCCTCCTGAAGATATTGTATGGAGCTCCATCACTTCAGAGAATGCAGCTCCTCTGCTCAAAGCCCAATAATGCAGGGGACTGTATACCCCTCTAGCTGACACGTAGGCTCATGTGTATCTGCTCAAGCGTGTCCTATTCTACTGGCAATACTCCTCTATGGAGATTATACAAGCTTTGTGTGCATTTGAACTCCTGTGTCAGCAGTGGATGTACCTTAATGCAGCTGAATTCACTAATAAGAAGGGGTGGCCACAAACTTTTGGACATATAGTGTATTTCCTACATGAATACATATTATATTTTTCTGTAATGCTAATTCAAGTTTAGTCCATTCTATAAACGTTATTGTATTGAAATTGGCATCATACATGAAAATATCGGACATCGGCATCAGCTCAACAATTCCCATATCAGTGCATCCCTACTTCTAAGACTTTAAGATAAATTTATCCAAACCTAAAGTCTTTTACCTTTATAGAAACGCCAGGAGAGCCAGCTGCTCCAGGCTGCCCAGGGAGCCCTGGAGGCCCTGCGACTCCAGGTAACCCAGGAGCCCCTTGGGGACCCTGTAAACAAAAACAGAACAATGTGAAACTGTAAAATGTTGGCAGCCTAAGGCAACTGGAGTGCACACAAACTTTAAAGGAACTGTATGTTATAATCATCATAGATGCAAGAAATAGTTTCATATAAACTACCATGACAACAAGACTTACATTAGATCCTGGTTCTCCTTTACGTCCAGGAAGAGCTTCCATACCTCCAAGTGAATATCCAGGCTCTCCCTTCAAGAAGGGATAAGATATCGTTAACTTTCACGGTAGCACTTAATTTGGAGTGGCTCTTTCTATATGATTAATAAACTCTTTCCAGATTATCAGCAACACATCAACAACATTTCAGTGACGTAGCAGTAGTGAAACGTCTGAATACACTGAAGTAAATATCTTGGAGATGTTCTGTTTATAACCCAACCTTACCAACCTTACCCAAAACTCAACCCTAACCCTAATCCTTAATCTCAACCCAAAACCTAATCCTAACCCAAACCTTAACCAAAACCTAATCCAGTGAAGCTCCAGGTACAGGATGGTGTCAGTGTGTGTGTAACAGCCTGTTGAGGATGTTGATGGTCTGTATTAAACCTGTTACCTGTTCAGTCACTTTTCGGGTTAAACATCTACAGATCTGAACTTGGACACCAAATAAAGTGAAAAACACCTGAATTCAGCAAATTATAAACACATTTTATTTACACAGTTAATTAAAACTCTCTTGAGAATCTACTGAATGTATTCACTGCTGCTACATCATTGATGATGATAATGTTGTTGATGTTACTGAGAGTCTGTTTGGTGTCTATTTAATCTAAAAACGGCCAATCAAAACGAAGTATCACCACTTTCACTTTAACAAGTGCTCCATTTTTCCCCAACTGAAGCTCTAATAGAGCAGTGTGAGCAACAAGCTCGTCATGATCGTAAGAATTCTACCTTCTTAATTCAACCTGAGTTGAATTTTTTGGTACTTTTTAGTCTGAATGTCTTGCTGTAGTAAGTTAAACTATACAGTAACATCTAGAACAACATCCTGGTGTCTGAACAAATGTACTCACTCTCTCCCCCCGCTGGCCTTTTTGTCCGGGAATGCCAGGCGGCCCCTGTGAAAAAGTTTAAAAATATATATCTATGAGGCCTGAAACAGGCAGCACATTTGTATTAAAACCAGTGAACTATTATTGAATTAATTACTGCTCTTGATTAAACCTCCCACCCACATCCTCATCACACCTCACTTACTAATTGCACCTTTCAAGATTCCTCCATAAGAAGAGAATGAATAAAACTGGGCCATGCTTCATACCATCATGAACAAATGAAGGTTCTAGATAGAGCAGCACAAAAGCATCTTGTTTTGCTTAAAATATCATCAGGGTGGGCAACTGATGTCAGCCTGAAATCAAAACTGACCTTTTTGACCTTGTTAGTTTAATCGTGTTCCTGGTCATATTAAGCGTGACTCATCATAACATTTAAAAGGCGTCACAATGTGCCTTCAAAGCTCTAAAATAGTTCTATATATTAACCAAATGTTCCCCAATAATATCATGTTTCACCTTCCCCTCCTATCATCGAGCATAATGCTCAGCTGGATCAGAGACCCTCAGTGAACCAGAGCTTTCCTCACTAATACATAAAGAACATGAGATTTCCTATTTACTTCGTTTAGTTACTGTACTTAAGCACTATTTGGGACGATTTGAACTTAAATATTATTCAAATCTAATGTTCCTTTATGTTTCTCAAAGAAAAACATACTTTTTACTTATATTTTTATTTAGACCTTCAAAGTACCCTTTCACTTAAGTACAGTTTCTCTCAGTTTTTCACTCCTGAATATCACGATGGACATTTTTCATGAACAGAGCAAGTGAGACACTCACCATTTCCCCGCCGACACCAGGAGGACCCTATGGTATAATTAATACTATGTCAGAAAATGATCAAAGATAATTTTATAGAAGAAAGTGCAGAATTGTACGAAATTATAGATTCCTTTTGGAAAACGGCGGTGTCTTTACCCTTAGTCCAGCAGAACCAGGAGGTCCAGTTCGACCCGGTCGCCCTGGTAACCCTGGTATGCCGTCCGTCCCAGGAAGCCCCTTAAGAAATATTGAAAGACATTGTACTGTATTTCAGAAACAAAACAAAGACCGCTGATGGCATCAGTGATGGCAAGACTCCACAGAATCAGGAAAAACATAACAGCGTACCAAAATAGGACATATGTAGGTAAGACCCCTACATAAGCTTTTCATGACACCTGACATAACTCCTACATAAATGTTTATTAATGTTAATTCCAACAGGCATAATTCACTGTAATGTTTATATTTGCCAGTTTTGATCTAAGTTAGCTAAAGTAGTCTTTATAACAGATGATGCCTGTTGGTATGAGCAATTATAAACAGTTATGTAGGTTTATATCAATTGTCATGACATGCTTATGTATTTGTCATGTAGCCTTCTGAACTATACCCCACAGTAAAGTGTTACCACATTTTTTTATTTATTTACACATGCATCTTACAAACAAACACAAACAGCCTGGTGGAGAGGAAGAGCTGCACCGAGGAGGAGATGAGAGCACTTTTAAGAAGAAAGCCCTCTTAGAGAGAACTGACCAGAAAAGGCTACAGCCTTTGTAAATGGAAACAACTCAAACAGCTCTGTATGGCAGTGAGACATAATCTGTCATATAACTATTTCAATGAAAAAATAATAACAAAATATTAAATAAAACAAACAGAGTGGTCTTATAGGTAAATTATGGTTATGTCAGACTGACCAGCTGGCCACTTCATTAAGCACACCTACCTTGGATCTACATTGTCCATTTTATCAGCTCCACTGACCATATAGGAGCACTTTGTAGTTCTATAGTTACAGAGTGTAGTTCATCTGTTTCTCTGTATAGCTTGTTACCCTGTTCTTCAGTGGTCAGGACCCCCATGGACCCTCACAGAGCAGGTACTCTATGGGTGGTGGATCATTCCCAGTGTGCAGCGTCCTGTGACTGCCGATGAAGGACTAGAGGATGACCAACACAAACCGTGCAGCAGCAGATGAGCTATCGTCTCTGACTTTACATTTACAAGGTGGACTGACAAGGTAGGAGTGTCTAATAGAGTGGACAGTGAGTGGACACAGTGTTTAAAAACTCGGCACTGCTGTGTCTGATCCACTCGTACCAGCACAACACACACTAACACACCACCACCACGTCAGTGTTACTGCAGTGCTGAGAATGACTCACCACCCAAAGAATACCTACTCTGTGGGGGTCCTGTGGGGGTCCTGACCATTGAAGAACAGGGTAACAAAGTATGCAGAGAAACAGATGTATTGTGGTCTGTAACTGTAGAACTACAAAGTGCACCTATATGGTCAGTGGAGCTGATAAAATGGATAAAAATGTGTAGATACAAGGAGATGGACTTAACGAAGTGGTCGGCTGGTGTGGGTGTGAGGGTCAGGTGTCCACATACTTTTGGCCCTCTTGTGCGGTCAGGTTTTCCTACTCTCAGCCTTTATTCTATCCACAACAGATGATATCAAGAGCGATTGGACATGTCTTTACAAAGTAAAAACAAACAAATACAGGAAACCAGGGCTCATTACCAGCACCGTCACGTTGATATTCTGACAGACAGTCACTTTGATAAGACAGCAACTTTCATGTGCCTCCATTTCAAACAGAGAACAGGGGAGTACGAACGGAACCGCATGCAAAGAACATCTCTGGCAGTGATAACTGTTCTAAATCTTTTAATCAGCTCAAATAACAAGGAAGATGCGAAAGCATTCTCGCAATTAACAGGACGGATCAAGTCTGAAAGCAGATTAATCTACTAAAGCCGAAGATGATGAGGTTTGGCACACTGTGTACTCACCCTCTCTCCTTTCTCCCCTTTGATCTTTAAGGTGAATGGATCGAAGGCATCACCGCCGAGCTTCGGGCGCTGCGAACATGAGCTCGCAATTAATTTTTAAAATGCTCGGTCAAGAAACACAGATGGATACAGGAATGAATAAGAAAATCACTACAAAACAGCAGCTCTTGCCTAACGTACCAGTCCACCGTGTCCAAAGCCGTCCCCCTGTGAGTGAGAGATGAGGGCAGCGCTTCAGTACAAGTTTAATCACATTACATACGTTAAAATAAATTAAATAAGAAACAACAGTGAACTAACCTTCTCTCCTTTTTGGCCCTGTAAAGGAATAGAGAACAAATAATGGGTTAAAACGTTTGTTTTAGGACATTATGGAGGTGAAGGGTGAGAAAAAGAAGCATACTTAAGTACATCAGTAGTATACATTAACTACATGAAGAACAGTAAAGTTAGATTTTTTAAGGTTATGTTTTTTTAAGTGATGTTTAACATCTTTTATTTCTTTATTTATTCAATAATTATATTTTTATTACCTTTATTTTACCTTATTTTACTTTTTAACTTATTTACTTTATTACATTGTTGTAGACTTAATGGTTAACCTTTGTTATGTTTTTACTATTTAACTTCTTAATTCCTGATCTCTGTATTGGCTCAGCTACACTGTAAATGAGGGTCTCTCTCAGTTTAAATAAAGGTTGATTGATTGATTGATTGACTGATTGATTATGGAAGTACATCTAAAGTACACGTTTCTGTATTTTTCATAAAGTATATTGCATGTATACCCTGCATGTATCTTTCCACCATGAAAAGTAACACATTTTAAATGTTATATATGTTTTTATATATATATCTAACGTAATGTTTATATGGCCATTGCAAGATAACTACCAAATATGTGTATCAGTACGCCCTTTTACTTTTAAAATCTATTCTAATGTGTATTTAAGTGTAATTAAATGCAGTTAAGTGTGGTATTTCTGAGTATAGAAGATGTATTTCAACATTATGTTATCATTACTTTCAAATTAAACATAATTCAGATATTTATAAATTGTGTTATTCCCAATAATATATTTAAGTGCATAATTAATTTTTACAAAAAAACACTTACATACATTTCATTTGTTGAATGTATTTAAATATACTATGTTATACTGAAATCAAATTTTAAAATGCACTTAAGTGCATTTTAGATCACTTAAGTGTACCAGCACATCCAATAGTATATGTAGAATATATTCCCAGTTCCCAAATTACATATGTATATCTAATTAAGTTTAACTTAAGTTGTTCAAAAATGCACTCAGAAGCAAAAAAATGCATATAATACATATTTAATAATACCTTCATTAAAATGTAATACACTTAAGTTGTCATAACGTGTGTTTAAAGAGTAAAACAGGCTTTTTTCTTTCACAAGGGTTTTACCTTGCACTGGATTGGACAGGGACCCTCAGGTTTGGGAAGAGCCTCTGGGTCACCTGTGGGTGTGTCCAGCTGGGCAGACTACAAAAAAAAAAAAAATAGATAAATAAATAAAGGAGCATAAACACAGGTGCTGTCTGAGCTGCAGTGAGTATTCGTACCTACAATGTTCAGTTCAAGTACCATTCAGTATATTAAACTAACAAACTGTATGTTTGGATTTACAAATAAAAGTCGTTACAGAAGAGGTACACCTCTTTCTACAAGGCCAAAAGTATGTGGACACCTGAACATCATATCTGAATGTTCTTGTTGAACATTTCATTCTAGAATTATGGGCATTAATATGGAGTTTGTCCCCTTTTGCTGCTATTACAGCGTCCTCAGCTGGCTGTGAGAAAGCACTTCCATTCAGCCACAAACTGGCCAACAAGGAGAGGCGTTCCAATTCTTCCCAAAGGTGTTGGATGTGGTTGAGGTCAGGACTCTGAGCAGGCCATTCAAAATTTTCCACACCAAACTCAGCAAATCAGTTCCACCTTACGTGGTGCAGCAGATACAGGTACCGGAATGCTACTGTGGCACGTTTTAAGGTGCAACGGGAAAATCCGAACTTCAGCTTCGTTTGAGAATGACCTGCCTTCTCAACACAAATTTCCAACCCTGACCGACTGTGGCTTTTAGTGCTCTAGTTCTGGGTTTAAGTTCTTTAAGTGCTGGAGTCACTGAGTGACAGCGGTGGTGTGTGCACCTTCATTAAAAACAAAGGTTTTAAGCTTTTGAACGTCGTGTAGACCTGTAGGGCCCAAGACCACCTGTAGCCCCAGAGCCCAGCAGGTTAAAGCGCCCCTGCAAGGAGGACAAGCTACTTAAATCTGTCATTGTGATTTATCACATCAAATATTTCAATGGATTTAACGGTAACACTTTCTATGAATGTCACCTTTGTAAGCATCTATCAACACATTCATAACATGTTATAATGCATTCATAAGGCATTATAAACATGGCTATAAATATTTGTAAAAATGCATTACATGTTATAGCCATACTTATGCATTATGAATTGTTAACATAATGCATTATAAGTACTGTTCATAACAAATTATAAGAGCTCATAAGTCGTATTTGTCCGCTCTAAGTAAAGTGAAGCGTACTGTACTAAAGCCTCCTCCAGTGCTCAGAGTGAGGCTTCAAGTTGAAGTATTTACTGAAGGATTTACTGAAACACTAAAACAAACACAGTAAAGCACATTACAGGCTTCAAATGTCAGAGTTTAAACTAGTGCTGCATCAGTGTTTTACCCAATGTGGGAAAGGTAATGTACACCACCGTTAGCTTGGTATTTGTCTTTACTTTACGCTCTCCAAGCTGGGACTGACTTCTTTGGCACTGACAGTATAACATGTTATTAACACTATTTATAATGCATTATATTAACAATTCATAATGCATAATAAACATGGCTATAAAGTGTAATTCATTTTCATAAATGTTTATAATCATGTTTATAAAGCCATGTGTTTATAGATGCTTACATATGTGACATTCATAGAAAGTGTTACCGATTTAACTACTGAAGAAGAAGACTGGATTGGAAACAGTTCACATTCCCATCAAATTACAGTACCTCACTTACTTAAGCTTACTTTGTTTGCTGTTCACAAGAGTCTCACAAGAATCAGGAATCTCTTGTGCCAAAGCTCTTCTCTGGTGCATGTCGGCACAATTTAACCCCTGGCTGTAGCATTAAGATTTCCATTGAATGAAATTAAGTAACCCAAACCCTGTAAAAAAGCCCAGCCATCCCTCCTCCACCTAACTTTACTGTTGGCACTATGTATTCCAGTATGTATCGTTCACCTGGCAACCACCAAACAGACTACCAGATAGTGCAGTGTGTTTCATCACTCCAGAGAACATGTTTCCAGTATCCCAGGGTCCAGTGGAGGCGTGGTTTTACACCATTCCAGCAGACGCTTGGCATAGCGCATGATGATCTTAGGCCTGCATGTGGCTGCTCGGCCACGGAAACCTAATCCATAAAGCTCTTGATGAACAGTTCTAGTGCTCACATTGCTTCAAGGGGCAGTTTGTAGTTTGTAGAGCAGATGATTTTTATGCACCACAGAACTTAGCGGTCCTGTTCTGTGAGTTTGTGTGGCCTACCACTTTGCAGCTAAGCTGTTGCCACTCCTGGACATTTCCACTTCACAATAAAAGCGCTTACATGTTGGCATTCTACAAGTTTTGAAGAAGGAACAGTGAAAAGACACTTAAGGAACTGAGACAATAAGCACACATACTAAATATCCACTGGTATACTATTTCTCTTAAAATGTCCCTTCATGCAACTAACCAGCCTGAAGAAAGTAGTCAGAGTCTCTCTTTGCTCACACCCTGCAGATCGGATTGATCAGAACAGGATCCTTAACCCTTGTGTGGTGTTGATGTGTTTGTTACTCAGTGGTCTGCTGGACCCACATTATTGTTTTTAAATCAATACAGCCATAACAATTTATGTAAAAATACCAGATGTTTAAAATATCACAAGTGTCCAGCGTAGGGTTCTCCTTTAGCAGCTGTAGCCAGTCAGCAGCCTGTCCATGTTGTCCATCCTCACACACACACACACATATATACAAACACATACACACGCAGACACACACACACTAACAGCAGGCCATGTAGGAGGAGAACAGAGTGAAGGACACAGCACCTCCACACTTTTACTCCCCGTGGGTTCACCCAACACCGCATGTGTAATATAAATGTGTGGGGGGTGAACAGAGTGAAGACACTGAAAATGGGTTATTTTATATGTTCTTCACAGAAAATGAGCAAAGGCCAAAAAAGCTGTGGTTGAAATAATAATAAATCACATAATTTTTTCTTTTGGTAAACATTGAAAATGAGTCCCACAGACCTGAACACCACACAAGGGTTAAATATGTGTGGTCCTATTTATCAACTTGAGATAATTATCCAGAACTCTGTCTGACCCCCTATTGATCAGTCAGCCTTCTCTGTCATAAGACATCAAAACTACAGGACTATTTCTGTTGGACAGCTCATATTGTGTCATAAGTCCTCTAGGTCTCAGTCAGAAACCTGAATCAAAACAACCCGAGGGCACACACATACTGTGAATATATATATAGAGAATATGTATTTAATGAAGTGCCAGTCCTGAGCTGGTTTACAAGGTTCAATCATTAGGAATCTGTGAACAAAATGAGGAAACTGTAGATGAGTCCAGAATGATGAGCAGAGCTGTAGCAGATTATAAAATGCTGAAGAAGGCTATACAGCATAAACAATAATTTATATTAAAAATATCCAGAGGGCCATGTATTTCAAAAGTGGTGACGTCAACTAACTTGAAAAAAAATTATAGACTATATTACTTATAATTTAATATTTTTATATCTTGTTTTTCTCAAAATGATGAAAATGTTGACTAAAACATTTAAAAATAGATTTTGGTGGCTAGTGTATTCAAATACATATAATACACACAGTGTTATACATATGAAATAAAATAAATTAAAAATTGTCATTATTTTAAAATTGTCACACACACACAATTTCTAAACCGCTTATCCTTCTGGGTCACAGGGCAGGGCAGAAACACAGACATATACAATTACATTTATAGTGCTGCTGTTGGGACAAAACCTCGTATCTCAATTTATGGCGTTTTTTAGTTTTTGTCAGAATTTGAAAATGCCTGTTGCCTTTTCGATTGTGTATAAATTTCATGATGAATGGACCAAAGGAAATGCCCAAAAATGACTTGGAAAAAAGTCTGGTTCCATTGACTTACATTGAAAGTAATGAATGTTTTTTCCTTCCCCTTTAAAGTTATCAATTTGAAGATACGAAGTTTTGTTCCAGCAACAGCAATATTATATATATATATATATATATATATATATATATATATATATATATATATTGTTTAAAAAGTTCTGCTGCGTACCATCTACACACTGGAACACTGGAAGAGTTGCAATGTCAAGAATACTTCACAATACAAGTTACACTTCCTAAAAGATAAATGATTATCTAGGTCACACTGGTGTTAAAGGTACCAGCTGTACTGCAAACAAAATCTGTTTGCAAATCTGCAAATAATAGAGAACAAATTTGAATAATTACATTTACCTCTTCGTGCTGTTTGAACTCCGAGAGCAAAGCCTCACTGCAGAGACTGCGGATAAACTCTCTCTCGACGGAGGGGAAGTCACTGAAGTCAGTAGCGAAGAAAATGTTCTTGTAGGTCTTTGGCGAGGCGATTTTCCTTAGTTCATCAATGTCAGCATGTGCTACTCCAATGGCCAGTACACTCACACCTAAAGCACACGAAAAGCTCTTTCCTCAGCCTGTTGTATCAGCGCACTGTGCAATTACTTTTGCTGTGAATTTTGGAAAACCTATATCTTACAGGCCCAATAACAACCCAAACCAAGCAGCAGAGGAAGAGAGAAGTAGATGCAATGAGTACACACTACAAATTTGTGCTCCAGCACATTAGATTTGAAATAATTAGGAATCAAATTCATCTCTAGACATTTTAAGCGTGGCATGAGCGACCAATTGTCCAATTACTTATGGTAGACCAGTGCAAACTCACTGCAACTAAGAAAAAGCAGTTCAAACTATTGTTTTGTAAGTCAGTAGGGTATATAAAATCACCCTGGATTTAATTTAGACACTAATAAAAAAAAAAAACGTAAAAATAGTTTGAGATCTTTAATAGACATAATGTAGAAAAACAGAGAACATATTTCAGTCACAGTAGACTTTCTTCAGTGCATGAGCTTTATTCCTTTCTACTAAAGATCTGTGTTGATATAGCTATGTAAGTTTTTCTGATTAGTGTGTGGGCCTTTTGTGAATTCAGTCCAATTATTTATGGGTCACTGGAATGTGAGTCTATATATAAAAACAGCTGTGATTCTTATTTGATTTAGTCAATGCAAATGTAATGTGTCCTCATATTAAAGCTGACACTATCCTTCTCATAGTAATTAATTCTCTAAAAAGCCAAAAGGAGCCTAAAAGTAGGTTGCTCTTATGGGCTCCCAATACACATGTACAACTGACCTTTTTCAATGTCCAATGTCTTTCAGTGTAAATTAGGTGGTCTTAGGCCCAATCCCATTTTACCCATTACTCCTACCACTTAGCCCTTACCCCTCTGTGTTGACGTCTAGGGGTAGGGTGTCCCGATTGTTGTTGAGATAGAGGGGTAGGGCAAAGTGTTAGTGCCATATGGCCCTCCAAACGGATGTTTTTTAGAGACACACTCCAAACACACCAGCATGAAAAATCGCTAGCAGTTTGCTGATATCTCCGTAGTTAGCTAGCTAAATTTCCCATTCCACCTTAAATGGTGCAGCAGTTACATTCTGGCACCTCAGGCACCAGAACTGCTGCACCATTTAAGGTGGAACAGAAAAATTCAAATGAGAAGCTAACAAATATCTGACTTCAGCCTTTTATCACTGAAGAATTAGGGGTGGGTGACAATAAATAATTGTCCCCCCCTTTGAAGGCATATAAAGCCCTAAATGTAACTAAAGCCCAGCAGTGAGGAGCTGAACTTTACCCTCCTCTGCTGTCACTGCAGACTGGCAGGGTCGCCTACAGAGCAGCGCTGGTAGCTGTTAATGAAGTGATGCTCTTTTTTATCTGAGGGTCCCATTTCAGAGGGAAGATTTCAACCACTACTCCTTGTAACTCAGTTCCGACGGGCAAGGTGGCACTCGAAAACAAGGGGTAGGGGTAAAAATAAGAAATGGGATTGGGCCTGAATCTTGGGTAATGCATGTGTAAGCAGTATCCTCACCAATCACAAAGCTAATGTGACTCCTCCCACCCACACACTTTTAATAGACCTGTGTTCCCCAATGGTATCTCTCTCCAGCCATACCTGCATTCCCTGGATGCACATCCAGCAGTGACATCATTAAGAACTTTCTTTAAGACTTCACCGTATAAAAGTTGGATGTTTTTAGTGGGCTTGTTTCACTCATTTCTCCCTGCTCACACTGTTATATTTAGTTCTGCTTCAGTGGTGCTGCAGGCTGGACTGAAGGCTGTCAATCATGCTCATCAGAATATTAGGACCATCAAATAGATGATGAGTGATGATGAGTCTGATGAGTGATGTTTAAGCTATGTTTTATTATATTTCCATCTTGTTTTTTCAAATTTTCCCTGGGATTTTAAATTCCAGTGTGCCAAAACAACAAGATTTGTGTTATTGTCCAGTTTTTATGGACCACACTTTGTTAGAAGATCCACTACTTCAGTAATTAGTTGGGAAATTCAAAATAAACAACCACATTTGAGGCATTGTGTCATAATTCAAACCTGTAATTAGCGTCATGATAACTGATTTAGAAACGAGATATAAACCTATGTTGGTTTATCAGCCACTCGAGTGTGAGTGGAGGATCATAAACATCTGATTGTCGTCAGATTTTTCCTTTAAAGTCTACAAGAGAGAGGGAGATGAAGGTGTACAGCAGAGAAGCTGATTCTGACCCAGAATATGTGCTATCCTGGAGGGCGGCTCCACATCGTCCTGGGCTCTCCCATCTGTCACCAGCACCAACACGTGAGGAACATTCTGCCTCATTCCCAGAGACTCCTGAAACAGCTCCCTCAGCACATAGCTGATCCCTCGACCTGCGCGCACAAACAACATTCAGATCCTTGAAGCTTCTTTTAATCGTTATCCAGCTTCATATGAACAGACTTGTGTGTGTGTGCACCTGTTTTGGTGTTCCCTCCTCCATAGCGGACTTGTCGAAGAGCTCTCAGCACAGAGCTGCGGTCTTTGTGGGTGTTCAGGTTGAATTCTATCCTGGGCTGATCACTGTAGTGAACCACAGCTATCTGAGCAAAAGAGAAACACACCAGTGAAGAAACAAAGTCAAGACCAATGCATGCAGCAGATGCTATTACCACTTGATTATTGGCCAGTATGACCACCTGGATCAGCCTTCATCTGTAAGGCAGTGAGAGAAAATTGAGAAAAAGAGAGGAAGGAAAGTTGGGACTCCATGTAGCAGCATTTCGAGGACCCCCATGGACCCTTACAGAGCAGGTACTATTTGGGTGGTGGATCATTCTCAGCACTGCAGTAACACTGACGTGGTGGTGGTCTGTTAGTGTGTGTTGCGCTGGTCTGAGTGGATCAGACACAGCAGTGCTGCTGGAGTTTTTAAACACCTCAGTGTCACTGCTGGACTGAGAATAGTCCACCAACCAAAAATATCCAGCCAACAGCGTCCTGTGGGCAGCGTCCTGTGACCACTGATGAAGGACTAGAGGATGACCAACACAAACTGTGCAGCAGCAGATGAGCTATCGTCTCTGACTTTACATCTACAAGGTGGACTGACAAGGTAGGAGTGTCCAATGGAGTGGACAGTGAGTGGACACAGTGTTTAGCTCCAGCAGCACTGCTGTGTCTGATCCACTCGTACCACCACAACACACACTAACACACCACCACCACATCAGTGTTACTGCAGTGCTGAGAATGATCCACCACCCAAACAGTACCTGCTCTGTGAGGGTCCATGGGGGTCCTGACCACTGAAGAACAGGGTAAAAGGGGGCTAACAAAGTATCAGAGAAACAGATGGACTACAGTCTGTAACTGTAGAACTACAAAGTGCACCTATATAGTAAGTGGAGCTGATAAAATGGACAATGAGCGCAGAAACAAGGAGGTGGTCATAATGTGATGCCTGATCAGTGTATAACCTTCACTTTAAGGGGCAGAGAAAACATACCAGAGTGTCGATATCAAAACCTTCACAGTATAACTACAATTTAGCAGTGCTGCTTCTTTTTTGTTTGGTTTTGCAGCCTCACTTGTCAAATTGTGTATCATAATCAACATTATGTGTCTGACACACCAAATTTATGAGAACTGCTGCTTATCAAAATAAGCCTTTATAAAAATGTATGTAGCTTTATGTCAGCTGTCATGAAAGGTTTATGTACTTGTCATGCAGCCTCATTAAAATGAGCCACAGTAAAATGTTACCAGTTACATCAACTGATGAGAAACCTTATATGTGAACTGGGCTGATATTCGTACTCAGGAGAAGTGCTGATCTAAGGCCTGATTCCTCTCTTATTTACTGACAAAAACAGATCCTAGATCAGCATTCCTGCTCTGTAGGTACCCTTATGAATATGGACCTTGATCTAAGATCAGTGTTATACTCTGAGATGCTTGATAAATATGGGTCCAAGACAGTTGAGTAGCCAAAATCAGAAGCATACTTGCTGCTCTGATCAGTGAAGGTGGACTCATGTCACAAACAAAGAATGACGTAAACGCAAAAACTCATTGTGCCTCACAATTTTTTGCCTGAAAAAATCTCAAACTTTTAAAAGGTTTACATGTGTCTGGAGATATGCTGATAGAAAATAGCAAGGCTATAGATTTCAGTTATGTAGTGTCATTCTCATACCTGTGTGCCCTGAGGTCCAACTGATGGGAAATAAGTCACAATCCTAAACAGGAAGTCTTTCAGCTTGCCAAAGTTATTGGTGCCGATGCTCCAGGACTCGTCCACCAGAAAAACAATATCTGCTTTCATCCTGCCACACACTGAGACAGACGTACAGTCCACACTTTAATAACAAGCATCTCAGGGCTGCTGATGTACTGTACACCCTACACTGTTCTGCTCAATGTTCAGATCATACAGTGTTAAAATCAATACAGTACATTTGGGTAAAAATACCAGTAGCCCAGCTTCTTAACAGTTAATTAGAGACAGAATGAGTGAATTTCAGTAATAATTACAGGGGAATTACAATGATTTTGTAAATTTCTGCATAATTAAATGGTTAAGATGTAAACAAAGTCATTCAGAGTGGTTTGGTGTGAAACGCTCTGTTCTGGAGAAACTTACCAAGTCAGAATTGTTCACAGTGGTGGTGATAGGAACCAGACGTCTGAAGAGTTTAATGCCTCTAAAACCTCTCAGACAGTTATTATGTAAAATAGTTACGAGCATATTGTTTTGAGAAGGGTTTGGTCTATATTAAAAATTCTATATTTTTAGAATACATTCATTTGGGAGAAGTACATGCAAAGCAAAATAGAAAAAAAATCAGATTTATCACTATTTTACCATCATCAATATTCCATCTAAACCTCAGAGGACTCATGTAGGTTCACTGGTGGTTTTGGATAGTAAATAAAATGGCTACATCTGTGTTGTAGTCATGGCGACCGCTGGTTCTTATCACTACCACTGTGAAGAAATGCAGAATTTATCTATGTCACATTTACAAAATCTGCAAAATGATCATCTTTAAGCACCCGTTGCTCACGGCTCTCTGAACAGAACACTAAAAAAGTCCTGAGAAATAATGCATCTGCCTGAGCTTCAGCCAAAGAATGACCGCTACATCAAAGGTTTCTGATGAACAAGAACACATGAACCAGAATCTATATATACACAGCTTTTCCCATCCATGTTCTGCCCACAAAATGTGCTTTGTCTTAACCACAGTTGTGAGATTGGACTAGCTTTACAGAATGATGGCAAAAATAATGAATTTATGTTGGAGTTTGGGTGTTTATAATCGCTAAAAAACACTGATTTTCCTACATTGCGCTACTGAATTGAAATCTGTTGTTAAAGCTAAAGAAAAGTAGTCGGACATTACAATCACAAACAATAACCATTATCTCAATTTTTAATAAAAAAATTCACTTTTCCTGTGATATATATTTTGTATAGTAGTGTGACCTTTCACATGTATACAAAAAATATCATTTGCATAAATGTAAATTTTGAGTTGCACCCTACATTCATTTTCCATTAATTGAATACAATTTTTACTATAATTATGTACAGCTGTCAATAGTTAATATAAAAGAATGCAGAGAAAGTCATTAGAAAAATCTGTCCACTCAACAGCCACCTTTGCATCACCCACAGGCAGTTATTTCTAGCCATACCAGACCAGGCTCCTTTGAATGGGAAAAGACTTATAAAACAGCCACTTTAACGTTTCCATCACTGCTAAATTCAGACAAAAACTGCATAAATAGTTTGTTATGTTTGGCTCAAATAGCATGTGATTAAAAAATGTGATTTTTTAGCTCGTTCTGGCTCCTGCACATGTGCATATCTCTACAACGAGGGGCAGCCCTTCCTGCTTGTGGCTTATAGAGAAAGCTGACTGGCTCAGCTTATTGAAAGACGGGACTTTCCCCCATAAACAGACGTTGTGCTGAGCATTATGAGTTTTCCCATTCATATTTCAGCCAGTGACCTCTCTCCTCCTTTATAACATCTCTGTATTAAATCAATATAGAGGTGCTGTCGGAAACAAAACCTCATATCTCCAAAATGGAAACCATGTTCTTAACTTTTAAATGGAGAAATTATTTATTCCAAGTAATTTCTGGGTGATTTCTATTAGTTCATTTGACACAGCACAAAGGGCAGCTGGCCATTTTAAATTATGTCAAAAAATGGAGATATGACATTTTGTCCCAGCAGCAACATTAGGCTACTGTAGGTTGTGTCTTTTTCTATTAACTGACCACTGAAGATCTCCCAGTATAAGCATACCTGGCCCTGGTGGAGGAGTCTCTACAGAGAGAGTGCTTTGGTCGTTCACTGTGGTGGTCAGCAGGGTTAAAGCTTGTGCCGTTTTAGTGATGGTCGTGTCAGGTTTGGCACCAGGCTTCAGAGTAGTGGTGGTGGACTTGCTAGTTTCTTTTCCAGCAGGCTTCTTAGCTGTACCACTGTGAGATGTAGTGATGGTGTGGGCTGGAACAGGGCCCAGCGTGGCAGTTTGGACAGGAATGAGACGAGAAGCCCCCACTGTAACAGAATTACACAGATTCCAGTGTATCTACGTAGCACATATTCTACAGATAATAGCACAGATTAACAAGCTTCTTCTTAAAGTATAACATAGTAAGAATTAGCTCATACATATCCTTTTGGTGATGGTTGTGACGGGGCCCTCCACCTCTCTATAGAGCGGCCGAATGGTGAAGATGTAAGTTCTTCCATACTGCAGATCTTTGATCTTATACGAGGTGAAACCTGGGCCCAGTACGTCAGTGGTACTCTCAAGTTCTGCAGGGGTCAAATATTGTAAGGCAACTAATTGATATAATAATAATAATAATAATAATAATAATAATCCCTTATTTATACAGCACTTTTCATTTTAGTTATAATATCTCAAATTGCTTTACACAGGAAAAGACACTGGAAAGAAAAACATGTTTTTTTAACCTCTGCTTCATTTGGTTATCAGGTAAAAATGGAGAAAACATTAAAATTGTCTATTAAATCTACAGTATGTAAGTTTTATGGATTTGGAGACCTCTCTGGTGGAAATGTGTAATTGCATGCAATGTGCAGTAGAACATTTTATAATGTGGCTTGTGTTTCTGACCCCTTCACTGAGCAAATGAGACTGATGATTGCAAGTGTGTTGAAAGGGAATTCAAAGAGAACTCAAAATTTCAAAACTTGTGACGGACGTGTCTTCCAAGGATGGGAGTAAATTATCTACCGTTGTCATCTTCATCGGCATAATGTTAATTTTGAATTGAGACCTAAACATCTCCACCTCCAGCCTGTTGTAACTCGGCCTTTGTTTACAAATGGTCTTTAACAAATTATCACTTGTACTGATAGTCAGGAAAATATCAAGACTATATCCACACATATGCACGATTTTGAGTCAAATTTTTTGTTGATTATGATATAAGGGTTGTTATAATATCCCTATCGTTTTGTTTAACCACAAAAATTAGTTATAATATAGACATTTATTGAAATGTAATTATAATAAATTAAAAATATTGCTGATTATTTGCAGAAATAAAACGTCATATTAATATCAATCTCAGGGAGTTTTCTGGCAAAATGCTAGCAGTTATGTTTATATTTTCAGAGCAAGTCAATGTAAAAACATTTTACTTTTCAATCATATGGAACTCATCCATCGTGAATAAATGGTTATTATGATCCAGAGGCTGGATTATCTAAAAGTGAAGCATCCACCGTATCTCAGACAGAGAAAACCAAGCGTAAACCAAAACGAAGAGAATACAGCAGTGAATGTCCAGTGCTGGGCTTTACCTGTGTGAGACTTGAAAATGAATAACAAATCAAGGTTTATTTTATTTATTTACATGGTGGTTTTTACAACAAATGCCTACAACATTTGTAGAAAAGGTTGCTATACCTCCACCCCAGCCACGTAACCAAGGGCTGTGCGCATAATTGTAGCCTGTGGGGGTGTCTTCATTTAGAGCAAAGTATTTATCAGGTCTAATCCACATTTCTGTGAGGCACAGAGCATCAAAATCATGATCAGTAATAATTTAATTTACAATGATGGCCTTAGATGTAAAAGCTCTTAAGCCATCCTAGTTTTAGACCAAAGGTGCTGTCATTGCAAACTGGTTTAACTGGTCTGAAATTGATTAAATTAGTAGAACAAATAAACTTTTCGAGGACTTTTGATGCTTTGTTTTATTCGGGGAACTGACACAACTGGGTGGAAGCTATGCTCTGCTGCCTGGCCTTGGCCCTGGTTTGTCAGCAACTGACTGTCCTACACTGATGGCTACCTAAGAGACTACGACCAATGCTACAGGAAATGAGAGCAGCACCCTCCTGCGAGGGGTGGACACCATCCCTACTCAAAAGACCAGGCTTGCCCTCAAAACCAATTATCTACAAATCCCACATTGTTTTCTGAGCACCACTTGGACAACCAGCAGTTCAGCGACCATAACCTGCTGTAGATTTCGGTGCCACGTCAAACTGGGATGGGGCCAGAGCATACTACGGTATCAGACATCGTCGGGACTAATTTACACACCTCTTTTAAAATAAGGTTTTGAAATCCATCAATTTTCACAGTCACTTGGCAACAAAACATAGTAGATATGCATCTAGACCTGTCAGATAAAGCTAGAAGCAACTTTCCTCTCTTCAGAATGACATCCAGCTTCTCGGTAGCTGCCAAAAAAGCTTTAGGTGAGTCAGAGAAAAAAAATCTGATCAGTTAAATATTCCTGTGGACCGTATAAGCTTTTGTGGTTGTTTTTGTGGGCCATGAGTCGGAAAAGCTCAGGATATGGCTTAAATAAAACACACATTTTTGCGTTTTCTTATTTAGTAATAGATTTGGTAACATATTTGGCAACACAACAGATTCAGTGAAGTGGAAAAGTGAAATGAAAAAGTGGCTCCAGTACACTATTTTTTTAAGAGGAGGAGCGTGTCTCAGACCTGATATATGCCTCCAGGAGAGGAGGTACGCTGAAACTCCTGTGACGCTGGTCCAGTTCAGTGTAGTGCTGTCATCAGTCGTGTTCAGAGCACTGAAACCAGTCACTTTAGGCAGGTCCACTGTACCATGAAAGCAAACCAGATCAAATAGTTCAAACAGAGCAAACACAGTAACTCAGATGAAGCTATTAAAAACCACATATAATAAAGTTGCTGTTATTTAGTGGTTATTTCATCACTGTCATAAGGAAACCTTGTAAACCAGTTTTGGTTAGTCGTGCAGCCATGCCACTCGTGCCCTGCAGAAACAGAATGGGTTGCCAAAATACATTCAAAAGACGATTCATTTTCATTTGCAAACCTTTTTCTGTGGCGGCATTTCATTTAGAAAGTTGTTCAAGCAGAAAACGCACCCACAACAGTGTCATTTCCATCTGCACTGCACTTTTGGACTAACAGGAAGTTTTGGGAAAGCTGCAAATCTGGCAACCCTGTGTGACGTGTTCTGCAGCTTAAAATCCCTTTGCAAAGGAGATAAAAGCACTGTTGTCCCCTGTGTACCCAGCCAGATGGAGTGAGGAGGGGGAACGAGAGGGATAAAAACCATTTCGTGTTGCTGTCGATTTGCGGTCTCTTGAAATGACTTACATTACGCATTCATCATCCCAGGGAATGAACCCAGTGCTATGATTGCTTGACCTCTTCTTCTTTTTGTTTTGTTTTTCGGAGGGCTAGACGCTGCTGGCTCTAGCTGTTACATTTGAGTACTGCACATGCACAACTGAACTCACAGGCATCACCAGCTTTTAGCATAGAGTGACAAATCATATCAGCATAATTTGACGTCAAAATTAGCAGTTGTCCACACAAGTTAGCTCACTTAACCCCTTAACATTACAGGCTTATTACATACTAGGGCGTATTATTCAGTAACTACTTCAATGCAAATTAAAGGAGCTTTCTTAGTTTATAGAAGTATGTAATGAAACTTGGCCTGGTAAGGGGTTAACCTCACACGCAAACTAGCTACCGTAATAAATAACCTATGAGCTCCGTATAGTTTCAATTTTGCCTTCCTGCTCATACACCTTAAACATCCCCCTTCAAATCTTCATTGTCAAGAGTTCCATATAAAGCCCGATATTTCCATGATTATGGTTTAAAAGAAGAGAAAGAGGGCTGTAGTTTCTTCTTCTCATCCCTCTGCCATTTCACTGCGTGGCACAGCTCTTCACTGAAATGAACAGGATGAGGTGAAGTTCTAAGTGGATGTGCAGCATTGATAGGTTGTGTTCTCCTTCAAGCATGTTGAGGTGTCCAATGACATTGTGTTAGCAGCCGTTCAAGAAGATCTGGTGGAGCTCCACACATCTCAGAGGAAACCCATGTTAGCCTTCACCCTCCCAGCTTGGGAACACCGTGTGAGCAAGGGAAACCTAGCTATTTGGGAAATGGCTATGGCCAAATTAGAGGAAAATTGGGTAAAAAAAAAAGTACATTAACAGATGTTAAGGCAGCTTTTCCTCTCCTCTAAAAAGATACTGTTTTGGAGATTTCAGCAATTTCTACTTTCAAGCCAAGTATTTCTACATTCTTCCAAATACAATGTAAGAAAAACAGTACATATGGAAACGTGCATGTAGTGTTAATAGTTATAAAGCAGTCATTTTATCAGATTATTCTTCATGTTTGAAGGGACTGGACTCACAGGTCCGTGCTGTCACCGTAGCGGAACTTCCTTCTCGCTGCCCCACCACTGACGTGACCTGGATCTTGTAGGCAGAGCTGGCTGGCAGTCCAGTGATGGTGTATGACGTGATGGACGAGGAAACCATCTCACTTTTCTCTTCTCCTCCTAAGGAAATGAGGGACAGCATTAAACAATGGACAAAGTATAATATGCTTATGGAAACATCAATCAATGGGAGTTAGAGATCTTAGTACGCACCATGAAAAGGGCTCCAGGTGACTTTGTAGCCTGTAACCCCAGGTGTTTTCCTCCAGGCCAGGGTGAAAGAGTTCATGCCAATATCAACCACTTTCACTTCCCTCACTGTCTCAATCTGATCTGAATCGGTCAAGGAAGCTGCCAAAGGAAAACTGACCAAATTAGATCAAACGGAACATCACAACAAATGTGTAAATGTATTATTATTTCACAAAAGTGCCAGTCAGGAATTGCTGAAACTGCCATCTAAAACCAGTCTCTCTGCTGTAACAGTGCAGACTGGCTGATCCTCACTGACTAGCATTATATAAGTTGCAAAAGTGTAAATTGTAAAATATTCCTATAGTGTAAAGATTTTCGCTGCTGTATTTATAAAGTTGGTATTGTTAATTCATCACAATGCCCATGTGCAATATAATCAATACTCAATATTGATTGCAATACATGTGCAATTCAGGTAAAATATCCTTGTTATATATGTCGCTGCTGTCGGAACAAAACCTTGTATCTAAAAAATGGTGACTTTACAGGAAAAGGCAAAAACGTACTTTATTTTTAAAGTCAATGGAACCAGACATCTTTTCCTAGTCATTTTGGGCCATTTCTTTCGGTTCATTCATCATGAAATTTACACACAATGAAAAAAGGCAACATAATTTTTAAACTATGTCAAAAACTGAAAAATGACAAAAATGGAGATACGAGGTTTTGTTCTGACAGCAGCGATATGTTGTCTATACTGCAATAAGTAACAAACTGAAATGAACTGTTTGTTAATTCTCATCTTGGTACTTCTTTTCTTGAGTGCCTTGCTCTCCCTTTGCTGCTGTAGCACTGTGAATTTCCCTGCTGTGGGACTGATAAAGGATTATCTTATCAATAAAGTAAAACACTTAGGATGATGATTATCTTAACGAGAGAAAGCCATGATTAGTTAAAATGAATGGAGCAAAGAGGGAGCCTGACTACCATAAGCATATCTTAAACATAGGCTACGTAAGTTATGTACAGTACGGGGCAAAAAGTCAGAGACCACTCTTCATTTATTTAGTTTCCCATCAAACAGACATTAAGTACAAGTTATTTGTTTTTCACCATAAGATAAAAAGCAGAAAACATATTATAATATTTAGCAGAAACAAACAGAAATAATTACACAGAAACCTCAAGAACTAACTATATTTTTTCAGTATTCAGTGAGTCACTCTTCACCTTTATTACAGCTTCCTTTCTTTTCAGGAGACTCACTTTCAGTTTCTCAAAGAATCTGCAGACACACCTCCAAAGTTCAGTCTTAGGAACTGCGTCTCACAAACCAAGCAGTTCCAATTACAGATTTCTACGGAGCCCCGCCGGTGACATCCTGTATAAATAAAAATAATGTGTGGCCACGACTTAGTAAGGCATGGGAACAAGATAATTAAGTCGTGGCCTTGACTTACTATGGCATGATCTCGTTCCCATGCCTTCTTAAGTCATGGCCACGACTTAATTATCTCATTCCTATGCCTTACTAAGTCGTGGCCACACATTAGGATGTCATTCCCACACGTTAATATGGTGTGGGCACACATTACGTCACCAGCAGGGCTCTACTGATCAGTCCACAGAACTTTGCTCCAGATCTCAGACGCCCAGTTTCTGTGTTCTTGTGCAGGTGGTCTTCTTTTGTTCCTGTCTCCTTTTCTCAGTGAGGTTCTTCTTGAACAGCTACACATCCTTTCAGACCCACAGCGCTGAGTCGTCTTCTCACAGTGGAAGGATGGACAGAAACACCTGTGGATGTTTTCAGATCTGAAGCAGCTTGATTTTCTCCTGTCTCTCAGAGATGAAAGCTTTAGGTGCTGTTCATCTGATGGGGGCAGTTTTGGTGTCGAGCAGGTCTTCCAGGTGGTTTTTAAGAGACACATTTTCTCTATCTCTTTCTCTATTTTTTCTCTATCAGTTTTCGAGCTCCAGTTCCAGGGCTTTTGTCATTTTCTTTTGACTTTCTCCTTCCTTATGCAGGTGGATTATCCCATATCTAATCTCCCGAAAGCATCTCCTTCAGTCATTCACTCTCATGTGCATTTAAAATTTAGTGTGGGTTGGTATAGTGTAGTGGGTAACACCTCTGCCTTACACGCTGTAGACTCGGGTTCAGTCCCCCGCCTGAGTAAGCACTCAACATTATACCAACAACAGTCCTTGGGAAAGACTCCTAACACTACCTTCACCTACCTGGGTAAAATGATCAAACTGTAAGTCACTCTGGATAAGAGCGTCTGCCAAATGCTGTAATTGACAGAGAAATGGGAAGTTTGGGTAGTTGCTCATGTGAATGTTAGGGTCTCTTTGAAGGACAACATAATGTGACTCATTTGTGAACAGCTTTTGTTGAGAGGATGCAGCCGTAACTAGTTGGGAGATTGGAAGATTGGAAGGACAGAAGAGTTACAACTGCAATAGGTTTACAAACATAAAGACAAATTAAATACTGATAGATTTGATATTATACTTATATACTTATTGTACTTATGTAGTCAAGCCACTTGAAGGCTTATGAATAATTTCCTGTTAAATACATGTTTTATGTTTGTTTACCTGACACTGAAAAATGAATAATGTTTACTTAAAGACTGTTTTGACTGGAAACTGAATAAACAGAGTGATCTCTGACTGTATTATGAGTACAGTACGGCTGCTGCTACCCTGTATTCTGACTCATGAACATACATTCCAGAATTTAACTACCTAAAACTGTTAGTTGTAGTCATTATTCACTAGAAATGTAAGGTACAAATAGATGGTTTATCTTCTGATACTATGTTATTTTTCTCCTCTGCTATTGATAGAAAGTGTAAAGTGTCTTGCTAAAAATGTTGCATTTTAGATGAGAACAAAAATGGGCTTAGTTTAGTCTTGAACAGTAGGTGGTCGCTGCTTTTCACAGTGAGCAGCTCTGAAAAAAGTACAGACGCTTCAGCGCAGGACGGGATGATAACAGTCATGCTGACAGCAGTCACACACACGGAACTAAAGTTAAAACACACGCTGCCTAAGACAGCTGCAGCTTGAACTTGGGGGCTAAAAATACAGGAGCTGTCAATCAATCAGCCAATATCAGGCGTTGCTGTGGGAACAACAGGCGGAACCTGTCCGAATTCTTCCTTGTCTGTTCCTGAAACCCTCAATTAACTGATCAGCTATTTCCTCTTATGGGTTTGTTAAGTAAGAGCTGTCACCAAGTCATTCATCGCGCACTGATGCGCACAGACTGATATGCAACCTGATATGTGGAGGAGTCTATGAGGACTCCACACAGAATGGAGGGCTCAGTCAATCAGCCTAGAGCTTTAAATATGGGATCGGATTTGGACATAATTTCCCAAATATGTGTCAAAAATCACGTTGATTTTTTGACATATTTTACCTACATTCCCCCTGCAATTGTTTTACTCCTTACTTTGTTCTTCTCTACTTCATGATACTCAAATCTACTTGGCCCTCTTCCCAAACAACTATGGTCCCCTTGACTCACTTTGTAAGTGCCTAGTCACTACCTGGATGGGATAAAACTTTCTGCAGTTGAATTAATGATTATTTTATTTGGGAATAGTAATGAGAGGCACAGGCTAGCTGTCTATCTGGACTCAAGAGCCCTTGGGACCACTGGTGGTTCCAAAACGCACTTCATTCAGAAGGTGGGTGTTGTATGAGAGCTGTAACTGTCTTCTTTCCAGTCAAATAGATGGGTGATGTCATTTTAAACCCTTATAATAAAAGAAGCTGAACTCAACAATTTTTTCTTTTCTACTGAAAGTCGACCCATTTTTCCACAAATCTGAGCTATAAACTATAAACAGATGGCGTCTCTTCAGTGATCTGCTCTGTAAAAATTACTTTTATAAAAAAATACAAAGAGCGTCTAAGATTTTTGGCTTTTATCAGTAAATTGTAAGAATACAGCAATATGTGTGATCATAAAACACATTTTCTGTTCAGCTGAGGGAAACTTTTACAAAAAAAACATAAATTTACAGTTATTTCATGCAGTTACTGAATAATTTGCCTTACGATTTGGGCATGTAAATTCAGATGGAAAAAACGAAATATGCCTACGAGTATAAGTGGTTAAATCCAAAGAACTAGTATGTAACCTTGGTGTACTAATGGACTCGGATCTCAGTTCTAGCAGTCATGTCAAAGCAGTGACCAAATCAGCTTTTTATCACTTTAAGAACATCAGCAACATCCGAGATGTTCTGATTAAAGCAGGGCTGGAGAAACTCATCCACGCCTTTATTTCTAGCAGGATTGATCACTGTAATGGTCTCCTAACTGAACTCCCAAAAAACACAATCAAAGAGCTTCAGATGATTCAGAATGCAGCTGCCACAGTCTCACTAGGAGTAAAAGAAGGAATACACAATATTTTTAAATCCTCACACTGGCTACCAGTCTGTTACATAATAGACTTTAAGATACTATTAATCGCTCAGTGGTGCAGGAGCAGCGGATTTATTTCATATGCTGCAGCGATATGAGCTGAGCAGAACTCTCAGATCATTAGGAACTGGTCAGTTAGTCCTGAAGGTGAAGACTAAACATGGAGAAGCAGCGTTTAGCTACTACGCTGCTCTTAAATGGACCCAGAGAGCATCAGAAGAGCCCTGACACTGGACACTTTAAATCCAAGCTCAAAACGTTCCTGTTTGAGCAGCTTTCAGCTCAGTTTAAACACTGTTAGCATTTCTAACCCCTTTTCCTCTGTAACGGCACTTTATTATCCTAATCTAACTTTTAATTTTCATTAATTTATTAATTTAATAATTTTATCTTTTAAATCTATTCTTTTAATCATGTTTTTAATTTCTATTCTTCTTTACTTTTTTAAACGACTCTGTATTTTCTTTGCACTTTGAATGACAGCAGTGTATGAAAGGTGCTATATAAATAAACTTGCCTTGCCTACTTTCATTACCTGAAAGTAACCTTACTTACCATAGTTTTAAATCTGCCATGCTGAACTCACTCAACTCAAAAATTTAGCACTGAAGTGCACAAGGTCCACAAGGCTTGTGAGAAAATGGATGAGTGGGAAATCAACAGTGAATCAATACAGTTTAGTGCAGCCAAAAGGACGTTTAATGTTCAATGTATTATACGTAACATGTTCTATGTTAAAAATAGAGCTTTGAGATTTAACAGGTGAACAACTCTATATCAGCACCACACAGCTTGGGAACAGCGCTTGCTTGATGAACAAATTTGTTAAAGTGGGATTTAAATTTTTTTTTTTTTAATTTGCTGCATAATTAAATGGTTAAGATGTAAAGTCGTTGAGAGTGGTTTGGTGTAAGACGCTCCATTCTAGAGAAATGAGAGTCAGAATTGTTCACAGTGGTGCTGATAGGAACCAGACGTCCACCTCTAAAAGCTCCCTCACAGAAAGTTACTACATGAAATGGTTATGAATTCACTGCCTGATGTCTGATGCATAGTTTTACAATAGCTTTGACGTTTTTGACCTAAATCACTTAATGGTGGAGAGATACATGCATGGCAAAAGGCAAAACAGACCCAAAGAAAACTTCTTTTTTCAGATTTCACTATTATCAACATTACATCAAACTCAGAAGACGCATGTAATATAACACTGGTGGTTCTGGATAGTAAATAAAATGGCTATATTTGTGTTGTAGTCGTGGTGACCCCTGGTTCCTATCACCACCATTGTAAAGAAATCAGAGTTGGTAAATATCTCCACAATGAACCTTTTCACACCAAACCACTTTGAATAACTTACGCAGAAATTTAAAAAATTGGTGGAACTCTCTTTGAATTTTGGACAGCTGATTATTTTATCTTATCATACTATTTTGTTTTATTTTACCATGATCTAATTACGACTAATGCAGTAATTTAACTGGCAATAATCTTTAGCAGTACCAGGTTTTATTCAGCACTTTGAGAGATGGTGGGCCAGTTCAGGTGAGTTTTAGACAGAATTTTATGTATACTCTGGTCAGGTTTGGTGCTGGTGGGTCGAGTTGGTCTCGGACAGAAAGGTCCTGTGCTGTATTCTGTAATTTAAGCTTTAAATTAGTGTCCATGAGCCACAATCAGTCATTTTGTCCTGTTTTGATAGAATCTCCCATTCATTTAGGTGCTGTGTACTTTTAAAGTGATCAGCAGTGAACAAAGAACTGCAGTTTGGATTTAAAACATCCACCCAGGACCATCTGAACTGCTGTCATGCAAAGCAGACAAAGTAACCTGTAGCAATGCACATCAGTCTAAAACATCCCATCTCAGCTGAAGAATGTCTAAGGAAGATAATGAGGAAAACACCAGGCGCATAAGAGGACACTTTCTCAGGAAGACGTTTAGTTTTCACTCACTTACTTTGACCACTTCTTTGTATATTTATTGCTGTCTGGTAAGCCACAAAATGCATAAACTTTACTACTCTCATCTCTTCTGCTCCAACTATCGACAAGACTGAGATTCCTACACAGTTAGAAATCAAGGTACTGTGCTGGTACATTTTGGTACAAACAATGTAATTGTACCTTCAAAGGTACAACAGTGGTTTTAAGGTCTGATTGTGAACCGTAAATAAGTTTCTCCAGGTGAAAAGTTTGTATTTGTACCTTTTCATAACCGAATGTTTTAAAACAGAACAGTAAAATAAAAGCCTGGAGTCGAGACGGGGTGTGTGGAGTCAGTACAGCTTAGAACATATCATTTCAGTGGATTATGGTTCAGTTATGTTCCCTGGAGGGTCCCACCCCAGTGACAAGAGGGGAACTGCCCTAGCTACAGTTTCAAACCTTCTTTTCTGAGTGTACCTATAACAATTTGACCATTATTTCACCTGTAAGTGTTGAGTTCTCATGCTTGTCAGTACCTGTCTGTTGCGAGAGAGAGATTTCCGGCCCCTCTGTGTTGCCATAGAGGGCGTGGATGCTGATGAAGTAAAGTGTGTTGGGCTGGAGACGAGTAATGCTGTGCTGTAAAACACTGTGGTCCAGATAATGGTGGTGTGGACTTACTCCCTCTGAGAGACAAAACACAGAGGTCACAAGTCAGTGTCATAAAGAAAGCCAGTAGAGCTGTTGCAATCAAAATGCATATGGCATGGATTAAAGGGCTCATATCATGGAAAACGAAAATTACCCTCACTTTTCTGAAATATAAGAGCTTAAGTAATATGTAAAAAGATTTCAAAGTGTATCTTTTACCCCCCCCAGTCCACATAGTCTATATACAAAGTTTTGAATTCACTGTATCTGTGATGTCATGAAAAACAATATGTTTACATACATTCACCTACTCAGCCTACAGCAGTTTAAACCTGCCCAGTCAAACAGAAGTTATAAGAAGTGTGTCAGCTCTTTTTGAATGAGGTACAATACAGGGCAGCCAATCAGAACAGAGCTCATTTACATATGATCTTACATGTGTCTTAAAGGCACCAGCCTGTTTAATTCTAAGGGATGAATAGAAGTTGGAAATTGATCATGTATAAATGAACTGTGACTGTTTTTGGTGCATTGACCCCTTAAAATCCCAGGCTTATTACATACTAAGGCTTATTATGCAGTAACTACAGGGACTTCAGTGCAAACTGGCTGAGCTATTCTGAGGTTATAGAAGTGTGTAATAAAATTTAGGAACCTGGCGGTGGGCCCCGGCCATTTAAACAAACAGAGCGGATCTTAAGGGAAAAAAATAAAATACAAGAAAAAGTGTAGAATATCAGCCTTTTAAGTAAAAAATCAAGAGTGTCCAATAAGAAAAGACAAAAAGAGCATTCATATTAGATAGTTTTGATGCTAGCTATACTAAGACGTCCTGTTTTCGTGAAATACTTGCATAGACATGCTCTTCAAAGGTGCACGTCGATCAGTTTCAGCTTTACCTGAGCTCCAGGTCAGTTGGTACTCCGTGGCTCCTACGATGGGGCTCCACTCCACGTTGATAGAGGAACTGGTGTAGGATGTCACCTTGAAATTTGACACATAGCCGAGGGGAGCTGGGAACAATCAGGCAGAGGGCAGCAGCTTGAGGTTCAGCTATACTGATGCTAAACTCTACACTCTATTCACTCACTGCAGAATACCTGATAGGGCTGCACAGTAGGGAGGTGCTGGTATGAGAACTCTGGGCCGATTCAAATATCCGATATTTTTTGATGATCAAATTTGCAGAAAAATGCCACTTCCAAGTGTGTTCACTGCAGAAGATGCGTTAACTTATTTTCACCCAGAAAATCAACAAAACATTTTTATATGACTGTATTTATTGTACATTATTGTACAGAACATTAAGATGTCGCTGGGCTCCTACACTGAAATGCCTGCATTGTGTTCATTTTACTTTATATATGATCCTCTATAAATAAAGGTCATGTTTCTATGTCATGATAATCCAGATAGATGTACACCAAATTTCCACATTTTATAAATCTGTATGAATTGGCATTGGCAGATATGTACATTACAAATATCTGATATCGGCATTGGCCCACAGTCCCCCTGTTTGGTGCATCCCTAACCAGGATCATGATCTGAAAAGTGAGACTGTGTAGAACAGGGGTTCTCAAACTTTTCCACCTCAAGGCCCACCTATTTATTACTATAAAGCATGAAGGCCCCCAGGGTGGTGGGGGGTCATTTTTGCTTTAAACCCTCTTGAATGTTGACACAGAAAACTTGAGAGTTATTACCTGAACAACAGCTTAAACATTAGATTGTCCATTTCGTGCACTGTTAGAAATAAAGGTTCTGTTCAGGTACATTTTTCGTTCATCAAGGAACAAACAGTGTCCAATTGTAAACCTTAAATCAGTTTTTCCAGGTGAAAAGTTCGTATTTGTACCTTTTCATAACCGAATGTTTTAAAACAGAACAATAAAATAAAAGCCTGGAGTCGAGACGGGGTGTGTGGAGTCAGTACAGCTTAGAACATATCATTTCAGTGGATTATGGTTCAGTTATGTTCCCTGACTAAAGGTACTGAGATGTACCCTTGAGGGAACCACCCCAGTGACAAGAGGGGTCCCACCCCAGTGACACGAGGGGCTCTACCTCAGTGACAGTTTAGCACCTTTATTTCTGAGAGTGTGTAGTTTATTTATTATTAAAAATAAAAACAACATCAACCTAGCAATCTCTTGAATCTATTTTTGGATGCAAATGAGGGCAGGGTATATTTATTTCTCTGCTCCTTCTTGATCTTCACGTTAGGCTAAAATAAAATGCATGTTCATTAACTGAATACCGAATGAGGAGAGCACAGCAGCGACCTGATTTCCCCTGTTATTTCATCTAATTTCAAACATTTTGTCTGTTTGAGTGCATTGTTGACATTAAGGCTGTTGTAGTTGAACACTGTAGCACAGTTATGTACAACATGTAACACAGAATATAATATTTTAGCAGATTAGACTATCGAAAGCTTGTTTTATACCAAAAACTAAGCGCAACAATGGCAAATTAAGATGTTTCGGAAACCCAATGTTTATACCAGTCACTTGTGAGTGAATGAGTGAAGCGCTGGGTGTTAATATTGTCTACTGTTTCATATTTCCTTCGTATTATTACGTTAATTCTTTTATCACTGACTTTTATAACATAAAGTGCCATCACTGGCCTCTAAAGACCGCTGGCTCCCCCCTCCGTAAAGGCCTAAGGACCACCAGAGGGTGCTTTTATGGACCACTGTTTGAGAAACCCTGGTGCAGATGACAGGTAGAGGGCATAAAACATTTGGTCATTGTCACAGGATTGGCAGTGGTAAACCATGCTATGGGCACTGTGCGTGTGTCTGAGTGCTTACAGGTCCTGAAGGTAGCAGTGATGCCGGGTCCCACCACAGAGCCGAAGAGCACATAGAGGGAGATCACATACTCCGTGTCATAGGCCAGGTTTTTCAGTACATACTCCGTGGTGCTGCCGTTCAGAGCCAGCTGCCTGGGACGATCCCTTCCAACAAATTCTATAAAGTACACACACTGGGTTATACAAACTATCGTCACCGCCTGCTATTTTTAATATTTCCCTTTCCGGATAACTCAGATAGGCAGGGAACACAGAGATGAGTTAAGAGTGAGACGTATACGACATGAAAGCAACTTCAAATATAGACATAATTATACACGCACAAAAAAAAAGTGAAGCGATGTGAGGTGAACTTGGCCATCTCTGATCTTTCATCTTGTCTTGATCAATCCCCTCAACTCCTCCTCCCTCCTCCATTTTTTTCTTTTTATTTCTCCTTCCGCCCTCTCTCTCTCTCTGAAGCACAGGTCCTGATTTAAACTTATCTTTATGCCAGGCCCGTAACTGTGAGTCACCGTGTTTCCTTTCTTTACTGCGTGTCCACAGGTTGCTCGTTTTATGTGGAGGGTAACAGCGCGTCAGCACTGACAGGCGCACGGGCTGCCGGAGCTTTCTTCAAAGGCTCTCTTTTCAGAGGGGGGGATTCAGAGGTGACAGCAAATTCATACTGTGGTTCCCCTCCCTGTAGTGCGTACATGCAGTCCTGCATGCATATGTACAAACTCTTAGTAGTGAGTGATATGGGCTAAAATTTATATCATGGTATTATTAAATTTTCTCACGGTTTCAATATATGTAATGTTATACATAGAATTCAAATGCAATCATTTTAGATGCTTAAGTAAACTATTTTTGTAGGTAAACAGTATTCCCTTCACATTTAATAAGAGACATTTTCAACAACCAAAGTAAATCTGAAATATTTTTATTGTGCAAATGAAGATAAGCCTATGTCATTATTGCTTTCTAACACAGCAAAAACGACACTAAATATTTCAGGTCTTAATTTCAACAAGGCTGAAGTTAGCTTCTAATTCACCAGCTTTATGTTGGAATTTTCTGTTCCACCTTAAATGGAACAGCAGTCCTATTCTGGCACCTGTAGAAGCATCTGAATGTAATTGGTGCACCATTTAACATGGAACAGGAATTTCAAATAACATCCCAACTTCAGCCTCGGTGAATTTAGTAGAGGTGGGCAATATGACAACGTTACTATTATCATGATAAATTAAGCCGTGATACACTTTCATATAGTATATCACTGGTATCTTCAATTCTTCTAGCAGTCTGAATGATTGCATGTACACTATATAGACAAAAGTATTAGGACACCCCTCCTAATTACTGAGTTCAGGTGTTTCAGCCACACCCATTGATAACAAGTGCCTAAAATTAAGCGTATAGCCTTACAGTCTTGATAGATACACATTGGCAGTAGAATGGGTTGTACTGATGAGCTCATAGGATGCCACCTCTGCCACAAGCCAGTTTGTGAAATTTCTGTCCTGCTAGATCTGCCCCAGACAACTGTACATGCTATTATTGTGAAAAGGAAGCACCTCAGGGCAACAACAGCTCAGCCATGAAGCGGTAGACCACACAAACTCACAGAGAGGGGCTGCCGAGTGCTGAAGCACACAGTGTCCATCCTCTGTTGAATCTCTCACTAAAGAGTTCCAAATTGCCTCTGGAAGCAACATCAGCAAAAGAATTGTGCATTAGGAGCGTCACAGAAATGGGCTTCCATGGCTGAGCAGCTGCACACAAGCCTAAGATCAAAATGCACAATGCTAAATGTGGGGGGGGGGTGCAAAGCCCGCCGCGACTGGACTCTGGAGCAGTGGAAACTTATTCTGTGGAGTGACCGAATCACGCTTCTCTATCTGTCAGTCTGTTGGACGAGTCTGGGTTTGGCGAATGCCAGGAGAACGTTACCTGCCTGACTGCACTGTGCCAGCTGTAAAGTTTGGTGGAGGAGGGATAATGATATGGGGCTGTTTTTCAGGGGTTGGTCTAGAACCCTTAGTTCCAGTGAAGGGAATCCTTAATGCTTCAGCAGAACAAGACATTTTGGACAACTGTACACTTCCAACTTTGTGGGAACAGTTTGGGGAAGAACCTTTTCTGTTCCAGCATGACTGAGCCCCAGTTCACAAAGCAGCTCCATAAAGTCATGGAGTTTGGTGTGGAGGAACTTGACTGGCCCTCACAGAGCCCTGACCTCAACCCCATCAAACACCTTTGGGATGAACTAGAATGGAGATTGTGAGACAGGCCCTCTCGTCCAACATCAGTGTCTGACCTCACAAATGCTCTTCTGGATGAATGGGCAGAAATTCCCACAGACTCTCTCCAACTTCTTGTAGAAAGCTTCCCAGAAGAGTGGAAGCTGTTACAGCTGCAAAGGGTGGACCAACTCTATATTAATGCCTATGGATTTAGAATGGGATTCATAAAAGCTCCTGTGGGTGTAAAGTGTAGGTGTCCCAATACTTTTGTCCATATAGGGTATCACAAAATACAGATTTATACCAATTATGGAGAACCCTACAGTAGCTGCATAAACTGCATAGTAACAAGTCATCAATTTTATGCCCACCTTTTATGTCAATGTCTTATTTTATTTATTTATTCATTTTTCTTCTCAGTAAAACTAAATATTGTAGATATCGTGATTAAAATGTCTTCAGGTATCATGATGTTACATTTCAACCATATCGTCCAGCCTTACTGAGTAATGACAGAGTTTTTACTGTGGTACCTGCTGTTGGACCCCAAGCCAGTCTGTATCCGGTGGCTCCGGGAACAGCGTTCCATGAGGTTACAGCACTGCTGGTGCTCACAGCCGTGGCCCTCAGGGTCTGCACTGCACTGCTCTCCACTGAGAAGAAGACAAACAGAGTGAAAGAGAGAAAAATAGGTGGATATAAAGATAAATAAACAGAGAAAAAGAGACAAATACACAGATACAGAGAGACTTATTTACTCTGAGACAGCTGCTCCCATCTCTTTTTCCTAAGCTCACTGTGTTTTGATGTTACTCCATCTCATGATCTTGCCATAATTGCTTCTTTCCTGTAAGAGCTGAAGCTATTCAATCGAGTGGTCTTCTGTCACTTACGTGTCTTTGCCTTGGCGGAGGTGACAGGCCCTTCAATGTCCACAAAGATGGGGTTGATAGTGACCGTGTACTCTGTGCCAGAATGAAGCCCCTGCACCATGTAAAAGTTATAGTTCTCTCCCAGGTTGACGCTCTCTATGTGGCCCTCTGGAAACAGAGGAAGACACTGCATGTAAGAACATGAAGTCCTTGGCTGCTATGGATGAGTCAGTCAAACCCCTTAAATTAAACATTTTTCTCTCCAGAACTACAGATCAAAACATCTCCTTTTCCATCGACATTCCAGCTCAATGAAAACACCTCAGTTAGAAAGTAATTAAATTAAATGATCCATGTCTGATGTGATCATTATGAGCTTTCGCTATTCGGTATTTGTTATATTTACAGCCGTGTGCAACAGTTTGGCACCTCTGGCCAAATTAAAATATGTTGTTTTACGCTGATTTTTTAAAGCAGAACTAAGTTAACACATCCTCTACAGCCCATGTGTCAAACACAAGGCCCATGGGCCAGATCAGGCCCATGACACAGTCCCATATGGCATATACTATTTTAGTTTTCTCTTCTTATTAGCCCGTTTCACCCTGAGATGCACTACAGTCCCCATCATGCACTGCAACATAGTGTGCATTCTGACCCCCCTTCCCCCACAATATATGGGCCAGCATTTACACAAAAAGCAAAGAGACAGTTTAACGAAAACTACCTAAAACTACTTCTTTTTATTTAGAATTATTTTTGAAGTATTCAGTGCCTATTTTGCTGGTGCAGTTTTGGCAAATTGTGAATAACAATGGCACATTCGGCAAACTGTTAAATAAAAATGAAATAAAAACACTGCCAGCCCACTGATTTGCTGAGATTTTTGGTAACACTTTCTATGAATGTCGCATTTGTAAGCATCTATAAACACATTTATAACATGTTATAATGTATTCATAAGGCATTATAAACATGGTTATAAATATTTATAAAAAAGAAGTACACTGAATTACACTTTATAGTCATGTTTATTATACATTATGAATTGTTAATATAATGCATTATAAGTAGTGCTAATAACATGTTATAATGTCAGTGCCAAAGAAGTCAGTCCCAGCTTGGAGACTGCAAAGTAAAGACAAATACCAAGCTAACGGTGGTGTAGATTACCTTTCCCACATTGGGTAAAACACTGATGGCAGCTCTAGTTTAAACTCTGACATTTGAAGCCTGTAATGTGCTTTACTGTGAATGTTTTAGTGTTTCAGTAAATCCTTCAGTAAATACTTCAACTTGAAGCCTCACTCTGAACACTGGAGGAGGCTTTAGTACAGTACGCTTCACTTTACTTAGAGTGGACAAATACGACTTATGAGCTCTTATAATTTGTTATGATCAGTACTTATAATGTATTATGTTAACAATTCATAATGTATAATAAGCATGGCTATAACATGTATTTTTATAAATATTTATAGCTATGTTTATAATGTCTTATGAATGCATTATAACATGTTATGAATGTGTTTATAGATGCTTACAAAGGTGACATTCATAGAAAGTGTTACCAGATTTTTTTATATGGCCCTTTTAGTGGTGGAGTTTGACACCCCTGCTCTACAGGAATGCACTTCTGCACAATTATTGTGTATTTGCTGAATTTAACATAAAACTAAAACGTGGCCTGTGCTAAAGCTATGGCACATTTTGTTTCATATATTATGTTTTATTTTTTCCAATATGTAAAATAAAGCAAATAAACAAAAATTCTGCATAAAATTAGCAGAAAAATGCCACGTTTAAGTGTGCTCTCTGTAGAACATGTGTTCATTTCTGTTCACTTTCGTTCAAACCTTTGCATACATTTGTAAATGTGTGCTCAAATCAGTGAATTAGTTCATTCAGGCTATCCTGTCTGGCTGGTGGTTATAACCCAGTGCTGAATACCTGAAGAGGCCCAAGTGATTCTGTACCCCGATGCTCCTCTCACTGATGGCCAGCGAGCCTGCACTGTGTCTGTAGTGGCATTCTGCACCAGCAGCTGCTGAACAGGAACCAGTTTCACTGCAACACATAAAGCACAGTAACTGTGGTCACAAATCACATTTAATAGAATACAGAGAGAATCTGCAATGATTTACAAAGGTCTTTCACACCACACACTAATTACATGGATGTGATTAAATGTTATACTGCCACCTAGTGGTGAATCCCCCATCACTGCATGTTACTACATACATGAAACACCAGTCTGATTTCATTGTGTCCTTATTGGTAAATTAATGAACCGACACTGATAACACTCAAAATTGTACCCTTTGATATTATACGATTCTGTGGAAAGAATTAAGAGTCATACAGTTATATGCAAAACTTTGGGCACCCCTGGTCAAATAACATGTCTAAGTGAAAGTAAGTGAACACATCCTCTTCAGAGGACACACATTTTAATGCACAGTTACTGCTTATTTGCTGAATTTAAACGATTGAAAAAATATATAACGTGCAAAAAATGTGGCCTGTTATAGTTTGTTTTTTTTTCAATATGCTAAACTCAGCTAATGGATAGAAATAATAGAAATTAGGCCCTAACGTTTGCAGAAGAATGCCATATTTTAGTGTATCATATCTTTCTTTAGAGGGAGTTTTACTTATTTTTACTTAGAAAATCAATAAAATATGTAATTTGACCAGGGGTGATCAAACTTACATGAATATGACTATAGACGTACAACAGTAAGAGAGAGAAACGAGACACTCCACAGCCCTCATCCATTTTTGTTGAGGTAAGATATGACTCGACCCTGTTACAATAAATAACTATAACTGATTAGATACTTAAATGGCATTTCAGGGTTTGTCTTCCTATGTTATGTATAAAATCATTTGAAAAAATCAACACGTTGACTTGCTAAGGCACAGCCAGATGCACTATGTGGGTGACCTATGGGGCATCTAATGGCCAAAAGGTAATAGTACTGCACAGTAACATGTACAGTAATGTGAAAAAGTCAGAGACTACCCTTAATATCCAGTATTAAAAGCCATTATAACATTGGATATAAGAAAAGAGCAAATTCAAAGATTCAAAGGAAAATAATATACTCCGAATAACCATGTAAGACCTGGTCGACACCAAAACTGCCCCATCAGATAAACAGCACTTAAAGCTTTCATCTCTGAGAGAGAGGAGAAAATCAAGCTGCTTCAGATCTGCAAACATCCACAGGTGTTTCTGTCCATCCTTCCACTGTGAGAAGACGACTCAGCGCTATGGGTCTGAAAGGATGTGTAGCTGTCACACTAAATACTGAAAAGTATGATATTATTCTGCTTTTTTTCTGACACTGAAAAATGATTAACTTGTACTTAATGTCTGTTTTGGAAATTACATGTATGAAGGGTGGTCTCCAAACTGTACTCAGTACTGTACATGTTTAAAATGAATTGAAATATCTGTTGACATAAAACCTGTTAACACACTCAGTTTGCTTCAACTCTATTCACATGCCAGGCTAGTTAGTCTCTGTTTAATAAACCAGCTGTATATAACTAATAAGCATCATTATGCAAAGGTGGATAGTAACTAATTACATTTACTCAGGTACATGTGCTTAAGTAAAATACTGAAGGACCTTTTTCACATCATAATACTTTTACTTCTACTCTAGTACATTAGTGAGTAAAGGAATCTACTTTTTACTCAGTTACATTTTAGCCATGCATGTTTGGTTACTAATTCCTTTTTTTGTTGATGACAACATCTGCTTTGTGATTGGTCACATCTCTGACTCTGGAGTTTTAGCATTTTATTTTAGACCCAAATAATCCCAAAATGAGAAGAACAGAACTGTACTAACTTCTTTTCCTGTGCTGATAGATGCTGGAATTACTAAGAAGTTGAACTGCAGCTCTATATGTTACTCAGTACTTAAGTAGTTTTTCGACCCAGTGCTTTTGTACTTCTACTTTTGGGAAGGTAGTTTTACTTGATTTAATAGTTTACCCAAGTATGAATACATTTACTTGAGTATGGATTCAGGCTGCTTTACCCTTTTCTGTCTTCATGCATGCCTTAAATCTATTGGACAGCAGTGCACATGTGTAAATCACGAATAAAATTATCACTTAACGTCTAATTTGGCGTGTATTGTAACATTACTGATCTTCATGAGTGAGCTGGTGCCCTCTTGATCAGGATACCAGGCTGATCTCGGCAAGGTCTTAGCTGAGGAGCGAGCATTAGTTCACTTTGGATATTCTGTGAAGAGTAAAAGCTTTTAGGTTATTATATTATATCACATTAGGTTATTAATGGTGTGTGTAATAGAGAAAGTGTTATATATACAGATTTCACTGGGATGGAGAACAATAAATCAGATGCCCACAGACACCACAGGGTCTTAATCTGCCCCTCACTGGAGGGCCGATATTTATTTTTACGAAACTCAGTTGGATTTTAGTTTCTTAATTACCATTTATAGGTACAAGCGATCAATAACGCTACACGCTCTCAACGAGGTGAGACGGACATAATGAGGAACAGAAGACAAACAGAAAAGAAACTCCTACATGTTCTCCCAACAACAGACACAGGCTCGCTTGGTCCCTCAGGGTAAATGGCATAGATGCTGACTGTGTACGTCTTATCTTCCTCCAAGCTGTCAATCACGTGAGAGGAGGCGTCGCCCTGCAGGACTTGCTCGTAGGTCAGCCCGGGTCTGTCAGCTGAGGGATTAAAACAGAATTAATCAGAAACCAGATCCATAATAGAAGCAGTAAATAAAACTCTGCATCAGTTTCCATCACAAATATGAATAATTGTTATGTATATACAGTCATACGCAAAAGTTTGAACACCCCCTGTCACATTACTGTCACGAACGAGACGAGACTGGATGCAATCGCCGACAGTTTAATACACACAAAAAAGGTCATATAATCCAAAATCAATATAAAAGCAGAGAGGCTAGTGATGGATAAGCGGGTTCAAGGTAAGAGTAACAACAGGCCAGAGTCAAAAGATCCAGAGAAACAGTCAAATCAGAAGAATACAGGCTCAGAACTCAACAGACTTCTCAAAGTGTGGTGAGAACTGGGAGTTCATAAAGGGTGGCAGGGATTACTAACAGGTGTGGGGCTGGAGGGGGAGCCAGTGATCAATAAGTTGGAGTTCTTTCAATCTCAAAACTTTGTGCACCGTTTTGCTACGGTTTCCAGGTTCAACAACATGTTTCATATGGTCTGAAACGGTGTGCAGCGGGCTTTGAGGTACATATTCTCTCATTTGATGGGTGTGACAGAGGTGTTACCCGATCAGAATGAGTGACGTGTATATTAACTCCATTTTAAAAAGGCAGTGCACACAATGGATTCTAACAAAGTCACCTACAATGCAGCCAATGCAGCTTGGTGTACGCGGTTATTGAGGACGTTAGAAGACATATTTGTCTTAAGTATTGCAAAGTTTTTTAACAGAATAATCTAGAAGGATGCCAAGAATGGCCTTCAGCTCCCACAGATGCAACGCTTGCGTACCACAACAGAGGGTTAAATGCACCACTGATTTGCTTAAACGTTTCCCATGTTTTGTCAGGGCCGAATGCAGCCCTGGTGATGCAGAGTGCTGGAGAACAGATAGGCGAAGAAAGTTACGGTAACACTTTCTATGAATGTCACCTTTGTAAGCATCTATAAACACATTCATAACATGTTATAATGCATTCGTAAGACATAACTATAAAGCTATAAGCTATAAATATTTATTAAAATGCATTACACGTTATAGCCATGTTTATTATGCATTATGAATTGTTAACATAATACATTATAAGTACTGTTCATAACAAATTATAAGAGCTCATAAGTGGTATTTGTCCGCTCTAAGTAAAGTGAAGCGTACTGTACTAAAGCCTCCTCCAGTGTTCAGAGTGAGGCTACAAGTTGAAGTATTTACTGAAGGATTTACTGAAACACTAAAACATTCACAGTAAAGCACATTACAGGCTTCAAATGTCAGAGTTTAAACTAGAGCTGCCATCAGTGTTTTACCCAGTGTGGGAAAGGTAATGTACACCACCGTTAGCTTGGTATTTGTCTTTACTTTACGCTCTCCAAGCTGGGACTGACTTCTTTGGCACTGACATTATAACATGTTATTAACACTATTTATAATGCATTATATTAACAATTCATAATGTATAATAAACATGGCTATAAAGTGTAATTCAGTGTAATTCATTTTTATAAATATTTATAACCATGTTTATAATGCCTTATGAATACATTATAACATGTTATAAATGTGTTTATAGATGCTTACGAAGGTGACATTCATAGAAAGTGTTACCAAAGTTACCTGTTTTCTGGATTTTCTAGGTGAAAATAAAAATAGCGCATCTCATTCTGGGCATTTTTTTTGCAGTGGGTAGCGCTGTCGCCTCACAGCAAGAAGGGCCTGGGTTTGGTTCCCCGGCTGGGTGACCAGGGTCATTTCTGTGTGGAGTTTGCATGTTCTCCCTGTGTCTGAGTGGGTTTCCTCCCACAGTCCAAAAACATGCGGTCAGGCCAGTTGGAGATGCTTAATTGCCCCTAGGTGTGAATGCATGTATGGATGTATATCTGCCTGCGATGGACTGGCAACCTGTCCAGGGTGTATCCTGCCTTCCATCCAATAAACACTGGGATAGGCTCCAGCACCCCCCGCGACCCAGAAGGATAAGCGGGGGGTATGAAATGTGTGTGAGTTTAACATATAATATGCGATAACAGGCCACATTTTATGTTTTTTGTTTTATTTTCCCAAAATATGTTAAATTGAGCAAATAAACTGTAACTGTGCATTAAAATGTGCAGACATTTGTGTGTTCTCTGTAAAGGGTGTGTTAACTAAGATGCATGTAATTTGCAAACTTTTGCATATGACTATATATAAGTATTAGTGCTGAAATAGCTGGAAAAAAGTATTTTGCACAAAACGTTTGTATTGTTTGCCCTTAAAACACCTTTTTTCCCCCCTCAATTAACCATCAATAAATCACTTGATTACTAATATAATCTATATGAACACAGTGACAGTGCTACATTTACAATGCAAAAGTTTTAGGCACCTGAAAAAAATTGATTTATTTATAAAAAAAAATATTTAGCTGTGTATGTAAAAGATATTTATCTGGTCAAAAAGCATTTATTTGCTCAGAAAAACCATAATAATAAAATAAACACAAATATAAAATGCAATAAGTGAAGGGCTGCTTACATCTTGGGATGTAGATTTTGTACGAGTTAACTTGACCAAGTGGAGACGTCCAGCCCAGACGCAGAGAGAACAGCCCCTCCTCGATCACGCGGAAGTTTGCTACTGGCGGCACCGAAGCTGGATAGAACAAGAGAGTAAAAGGTTTTTGGATTCTAGAACATCGTTCTAGAGCAGCACTGCCTAAACTGGCCCTCATAGACCCTAAAGGACATCTTCTATGAGACTATCAGTCATTGAATACTCAAATATAAACAATGTAAGCTTTTCTCTGTGCCACTCACTCGTCTCTATGCTGATGGAGGAGGATTCTCCGATGAGTCCAGGGTAGACGGCGTAGACAGTGAGGGAATATTCAGTCTTCGGAGTCAACCCCGTTACCTTCGTACTTCCTACATCTCCCTTCAGATCAATCTGAGACAGAACGGGAAGCTTTACAACACGTTTATGTAGAGCTGACTTAATTATTCAATCAACAAAAACAAACAAACCAGAAAAACCCACTCACTTAATTCTAACTTCTCTATTTATCTGCATTGATTAGCTGGCAACTTGCATAATGAGGGTCAAATGACATGTTGTGTTCATTTTCTGAGTGAAACTAAGTTAACATAACCTCTACAGAGAACACAGTTAGGCACATTTTAATGCACGATTCCTGTTTATTAGCTGAATTTAACATATTGGCAAATAAAATGAAACATCAAATGTGGCCTGTGCAAAAATAAAAATAAATAAATAAATACATTTTGTGTTGTTTTTTTTTCCAAATATATTAAATGTGGCAAATAAATAGAAATTTTGATAAGAAATTAGAGAAAATTAGAAAATTAACAAAACATGCCATTATAAGGTATGCATGGTTTGTTCTTGTTTATTTTTATTGTTTAGCCTTATAATCATTAGATTACTCATTACTGTTATAATTCATAGTCACTATATCGCTAGCACTACATTCACATTTACGCTGTACTTTACCTGAAGTGTGTCTACATAACACATTCATAACATCTTACATAAACACTTCACAACATGTTCATGAATGTTTAAATCAACATTCATAAAGCATTCAAGTTTTACATAATATTAAGATGGAGTACCATGCCATTTTACTGAGATAAATCTTTCAAAATAAAAGTCTTCATTCTTCATGTAGTAATACAGTTTTGAAATACTATATTGTATTCATTGAAACGTCTCATTTCACGACAGGCAAAATAAAAATGACCTTGTACCCCTTTGGTCATTAAATGCTTTGACACTTAGGCACATTTTGCCTGTACTTTAAACTTCATATTTGTTTCTTCTTAAGCATTTGTATTTCGCACTTTATTACTCTTATTAGAGGAAATGGATGAGTTTTACGGCCCTGTCAAATTCCTTTGAAATTCCTTCATCCAGCCTACTAAGATTCAGTCGAATGATTGTTCATAGCATATTTATGAGTAATTTCCTCAGTGGAATTCACTGTTTTCATTGTTTTTCCCTCCAATTTTCCAATTTATGCTGAAGAAAAAAGAATTCTTAAAAAGAAGTCAAAAGTGTACATGAAACATGCCTCAGTGTCAAAGCACTTCATGGCATTTTACTGAAAATAGCATACTTTGTCAGAATAAAAAATGAAGACTTTTATTTTGAAAAATATTTCTCCATAGACATAGTACTCCACATTAATATCATGTAAACATGAATGCTTTAGGAATGTTGATTTAAACAGTCATGAACATGTTCTGAAGTGCTTATGTAAGATGTTATGAATGTGTTATTCAGACACCCTTCAAGTAAAGTGTTAATTTACATTTACAGTACTGTGCAAAGGTTTTAGACACCTGAGAAAATAAGATCTAAGAAGCTATTTATTGGCACTATGCCAGTAAACATATGTTTTTTTTTATTATTTATTACAAAAAATACACTTTTTGACCACGGCAATAGATAAACTTTTTAACAAGCAAAAACACACTTACTGCCAAAATAAAAGGTTTTAAACAATGTGCTTAGGTACCTAAGACATCTGCACAGTACTGTATGTTTCCCTCTCAATCATATTAATACACACGTTAAAACGATGCTGCAGAGAAACAGATTCATGAGTCATACGAGCCTAAAATGAACAAATGTAAACGAAAACACAGTGGAAGGTCTGCAGTAGGATGCCCTGCCTGCGGTCCTGCCCTGCCAGGGTGTGTGTGGGTGTCACCTGTCTGTGCTGAGCTGGGAGCAGATGGCCCTTCGGGGACACAGGGGCGATCAGCAGCCTGTAGCCTGTCACGTCTCCAGTGGCCAGACTCCAAGAGAGCTGCAGAGAGCTGTAGCTCAACTCACTCACCTGCAGGTCTCTGGGGCCTACCACCTTCTCCACCACTGCGAGAGGGAGAGAGAGAGAGAGAGAGAGAGAGAGAGAGATAGACAATAAGACATGGAAAAGACACCAAGAGGAAGAGAGGGACCGAGAGAAAAAGGCAGAGATAAGGCAGGGGAAAGACACAGAACAAGATAACGAGAGAGAGATCGACAGGCACAATCAGACAGAGCCACAGAGAGAGAGAGAGAAAGAGACAGAGAGAGACAGAGAGCAGAGAATCTAGCTAGTCTAAACCATTCTGATCTCAAACTGTGTTGCAGGAGGGTAGTTAGAGAATGTTACAGCTCCTGTTTAACCCTTTTAATGCACTCCTCTCTGTTAAAAACATGATTTCTCAATGATATTATTGCATTTCGTCGCTGTCCAAGGAAAAAAACAAGTACCTCCAAAATGATAACTTTAATAAATTTTAATAATTTAAAATAAAACCAAATTGTTTTAAATAAAACAATAGACTACATTCGCTGCAGATAACTTGAACCTCTTTAAATGTCCCCAATGTACAGTAGGTTTTTTAAAACTGCCCAACTGCCCATTTGCTTGAACTAGACATCTGGCACCTCTTTGTTTTGTTTTGTGCTTGTGGTGCTGACCCATAGATTGTTGTTAGGGGAGGGGGTGGGAGCACGCATTATGTTGAAGTGCTTGCCGAGAACTGTGGTGCAGCTTATGGTAAAATAGACTAATATTAATAGAAAATATTTTTAAATATTGCGGGCCGAATAGAATTGTGCCACAGGCCTGACTTGGCCCACGGGCCTTGTGTGTGACACACAGGGTTTAGAGGTATTAAACTCTCATGTCTGGTTCCTCCTAAGTCTAGAACAAAGCATTTCACACCAAACCACTTTAAATGACTTTGCTTATGTCCAGGGCGACACGGTGGCACAGTGGGTAGCGCTGTTGCCTCACAGCGAGAATGGCCTGGGTTTCCTGGCTGGGCGACCAGGGTCATTTCTGTGTGGAGTTTGCCTGTTCTCCCCGTGTCTGTGTGGGTTTCCTCCCATAGTCCAAAAACATGCAGTTAAGCTAATTGGACTCGCTAAATTGCCCCTAGGTGTGAGTGAATGTGTGTCTGTCTGTCTGCCCTGCGATGGACTGGCGACCTGTCCAGGGTGTATCCTGCCTTCCGCTCAATGACAGCTGGGATAGGCTCCAGCACCCCACCGCGACCCAGAAGGATAAGTGGTTTAGATGATGTATGTTTATGTCCATATAATTATGGTCGTTTACAATTATGCAGAAATTTTGAGAAATCATCTAAAAGTAGTCTACTCTTTTAGTACTCTTCTACCTCAGAGGAAGAACTCCTCAGCTAACAACAGTGTGAGTGAGTGCTATTTCAGGACAGATTTGTTACATTATTGGACCGGATTCATTCTGTTTTTCCCTCTGATATCCCATCCAGCATTTTCTGTCAATATTGGTCTGATACCAATACCTGGTGTACCTAGATTGGTGCCATCTCCAAAAGAAAGCTCCGAATCAGTTCTTTCACATGCTGATAGATGGACATGCATGCATCGTAACCACTCCGGGGGCAGATTTTAATAAGTGGCCAAACAAGCTAAAGTCACTGTATATATGTACATATATGCGGACAACATGTTAGGTAAGACTCTGGGTGTGTCTCAAAACCTAGTGAGCTCTACATAGACAGCATTTTACGTCACAATACGCGCGCTCCCGACAAGAAGGCTGTCCCAGTTCTTAGATATCTCAAATATGCTGCCTACTGAGGTCTCATTTTGGCCCAATATCAAGTAAGCATCGGATGTTTCCTCAGCTGCTGAGGCAATCCCACAGTGCAGTGCGGCGCAACTGTTGTTTGAAGACGGCGAGCAGAAGCGCTTCACCAAGCAGCGACGTCATCTTCAAACGTAAGTTATTCTGATTTTCTGGGGTATTGATCTGTCTTCTAGTCATAAAGGTGCACAAATAGCCTATACTTTCCACGTTTGACCACAACTATTGTCTATTTTGCTGTTTTATTCAGAGCAAATACAATTAAAATCGCTATATAAACCGCCAGAGCAGATCCATGTTGGCTAAATGTGATTCTGACGGCTGAGGTAAGTAAACGCCGGTCTCGTGCAGTGGGCGGGAACAAGCGGCGATGTCACTGCTGTCTAATTAGAGCGTCTCATTTATTTATCTTATAAGGATAGATGACAGTTGGAACGCTGCCTACTTAGACAGCTGCCTATGTAGACAGTGGCTACTTAGAGAGCTCACTAGGTTTTGAGACACACCCTCTGTTGAGCAGTGCTGTTCTATTCTAGCACAGGGATGCCTGGCGTAAGTGCGATCAGCGTGTCCCCTCTCGTGAACGTGTATGTGTTCAGCGTCTCACCTGGTGGGCTGTGTTTGACGGGACGAGGAGGTTCAGATGCAGTGAAACATACTCTGCGGGAGAGCTTGGGCAGCAGGTGCTCTAAGAAGGAGAAATCGGGGCTGAGCATCAGGTGCTCTTCAGGAGGTTCGCTCACCATCCTCCTCAGCTCCTCCGGATCAGCATTCCTCACACCTGAACGACACACACACAGCACTGACCTCCTACTGCTCCACATCTATTCAGATCCCAGCATCAATCATCTGACTGGTATGTTCAAACCCCCCTAGCATGCGCAACACATACATCAAAGACACAGAACAGATGTAGGACTGGACGATTATCTTCCAAGACAGATGAATGGTACTTCCCAATGCAGCGGAGGTTAAGCGGTTGAGGCTAGATTAAAATTATATTATTACTATTTATTCAGTAAATAATAAAAATTGATGTACGCTGTTTGGCTCAGTTCACTTTAGGCGATGATTTGAATAAGTAATGGAAAATAACCTCACCATCATTTACGTCCAAAACGCACAATGCAAAGTTGGACTAAGTATTACTACTATATTGTAGTTGGACTATAATATAATAAAGATTTAAATAAGATTTAAATAAGATTTCAGGATATATATAATTTAATATTGTATTTTACAAATTATAGTATAAAATATAATATTATTTGTTAAAATATATCATGTTTAATGAATAATTAATTTACAATGAACTTTCAATGGAATTCCAGTTTTTTTTTCCTTCTTTCTTTTTATTTTTATATTCTAATCTTAATCTGGTCTTGGTCTCAGCCACTCCTGGTCTCTGTCTTGACTCAAATTCAGCTAATAAAAAAATCTCAGTCTTCATTCAGACTCGACTTCCACAAAGTCTCGGCTTTGACTAACTGACAATAAAATCTTGGGCTTGATTCAGACTCAACTACTACAAAGTCTCGGTCTTGACTCGAACTTGACTACTACAAAGTCTCAGTCTTGACTTGAACTTGACTACTACAAAGTCTCAGTCTTGACTCAAACTTGACTACCAGAAGGTCTCAGTCTTGACTCGAACTTGACTACTACAAAGTCTCGGTCTTGGCATGTACGTAGCAGGGTTCAAGTAAAGTGTTACCTGATTAATTATATAATTATACAATAGTAAATGACAATAATAACTCAACTTCTAATGACCAGCTCTTCTGTAGAGGAAAGGTTGCTCAGGCTCAACGTCAGTCTTCTTATCAGTAGTCACATACTCTAAGACTAAGACCGTAAATACCCACACTTTTAGACTACGACAGTAAGTGATGGTGGGTAGGTGGACGTGTGGTGCTCTGCCCTGCACGTGTGTCCCAGATGTGCGGAGCTAGGCTGATTTATTCAGACCTCTCGGGGGCAGATTGATTAGAGAGTCTGAGAGTCAGAGCACGAGAGGGGAGAGGAGACAAGCCTGATGAGAAATCGCTGCAATTAATCGGCCACTCACTAATGAGCTGTAATTATTTCTGCGCTCTGGGCATCGGGATGGGCTAACTGTGAGAGTTAAGGCAGCGAGACCCACACGCACACACACACACACACACTGTCTCACATCTCATATTTTACAGACGTATATTGACAGACTCATAAAACTAATGAGTGATCCACACATAAAGTGGAAAAGAATGAAGTGATGTAGAGAATGTTACTCACCGACTGCAAAGAGAGAGATTCCACTGTCAGCCACGGCTTTAACCGGCCCATCGATCAGATCATCTGATCTGCCATTAGTAATCAGAACCGCAATCTGAAATCAGAGAGGAATAGCAAGATGGGACTCTGTCTCTGCAACATAAACCCAACTTATGTATGCCTTCTGAACAGCAGACCTCAACAGCTAGAACTTAGAAATACAATAGAAAGGTAGAAATACTAGAAACGTATTGTTTTAAGTTAAGTGATACACTTAGGGATGTGAATGTGGCAAATTATTTTGACTGATAACAAATCGTTAGTACTCCGTAATTGACTGTTAACTGACAAACCTAAAATCATGGACCATGGAAACATCAAACAGAGCACAGCACAGTTTTTACAGATGTGACAATAACATAATGTGGTCTATTTACTTACATTCACTACACATTATAAGCATATTATAATCTAATTATATTATTAAAAGTCAATGAATGTACATTATATGGCCAAAAGTATATAGACACCCCTCCTAATTACTGAGTTCAGCCACACTCATTCAGCACATAGCCATGAAATCTCCATAGACAAACACCGGCAGTAAAATGGGTCATAGTGAAGAGCTCAATGACTTTTAAACGAGGCACTGTTATAGGATGCCACCTTTTTCTTACCTGCTAGATCGGCTCCAGTCAACCGTAAGTGGTATTATTGTGAAACAGAACCAGTAGCAGTAGACCACATAAACTCGCAGAGTGGGGATACAAAGTGAGTAGCATGTACAAATAGCCTATCCTCTGTTTCAGCACTCACTACAGAGTTCCAAACAGCCTCTGAAAGCAACATCAGCACAAGAACGGTGCATCAAAAAGCTTCACGAAATGAGTTCCCCTAGCCAAGAAGCTGCACACAAGCCTAAGATCACTATGTGCAATGCCAAGCGTCGGCTGGAGTGGTGTAAAGCGTGACGCCACTGGACTCTAGAGCTGTGGAGACTCTCTGGAGTGATGTATCCTGCAAACAATAACTGTTAGCTAACAAAGACACTTGTAGGCTATAACTTAAATATATATATATATATAAAGGCTATAACTGAAACCTCATGTTGAATGAAAAACCCATTTATTCAAATATCAATTGTTATTGGAAATTAAATAAACTTTTAAACCAAAAGCCTTGTTCGAACATTTATGTATTTTTTGCTTGTGGTTAAGTGGTGAATCAGTAACATCCCTAAATCATATGCAGAGTTTAAGCATATCCCTGGTGGTTGCTAGGGTGTTGCCCTACAGTCACTATGGTATTTCAGGCGCTTGCTAAAGTGTTGATATCTGGTTGCTATGCTATCCCAGGTGGTTATTTGGGTATTACTAACCAGTGTTTGCTAAGGTGGTTTCTTTGGTATATCTGGTGGTTGCTAGGGTGTTGCTAGGTGGTTGCTAAGGTATCCCAGGTGGTTGCTAGGGTGTTGCTAGGAGGTTGGTATGGTATTCCACAGGGTTAATAGGATTTTGCCAGTGTACTTGTAATATCGTGATATAAGGGTCATGCATACTTTTGCCCATATAGTGGGGAAAAAATCGCCATTTAATGATCACTGTAAGAAAGCTGTATGTCCAAACAAAAAAAATGTATGCAAGCACATCATTCCTGACCAGACTGGACATTCCAGAGTTGACCTATTCCTATTCAAATATCAACTGTTATTGGAAATTAAATAAACTTTGAAACCACATGCATTGGTCAAACATTTACGTATTTTTCTCTTAATTGTTAAGTGGTTAATCATTAACATCCCCAGATCCACAACATTTACTTGATTCAAGTGTGTACGTTGTTTGCACATTAATAAAAAATATTACATCAATGCAAATTTGTCTTTTGGTTTAATTACTTTTGGCAGCAATTGTACAAATGAAATATTTTATTCATGTAGACTTTATGTTTACATTTAGATTGCTTTGTGCACATTTGAATTAAGGTTAGTTTGAGGTGGATGGGTCTTTTTTGCCCCTTTTCCAGTCCATAGAAACTGATAAATTCTTTTTCTGAATCTTCTGAATCTTTTTCGGAATTTCAAATTGCTTCTTTGTACTTGATTCAAATGTGTACATCAAACCCACACGATTAAAATATATTACATCAATGCAGTTTTGTCTTTAAGTCTGCTTATGTCTACCACTGATTGTGCTGATGTAATATATTTTGATGTACACATTTGAATCAAGTACAAAGAGGAAGGCAATTTGAAATTCTCGTGACCCTGTCAGCAATAACATGCATCATGCATTTGGACAATTTATCAGTTTCTGTAGATTCAAAAAAGGGCAAAAAGGGTCATGACCTATCCCCTCACTCTTCCTACCCACACCCTTGGAATTACTTGACACGTTTTAACACCTAATTTGATGCATAATTCACGATCCATAACACGTTTGAACGTGCCAGACCAGGAATTCATAATTGCCATTATGAAAATTCAACCAGTTTGTTAGAAGCTCACCTGAATCAATAGAGGCAGGTCAGGATCTTTAATATGCACCAAACTGCATTATGCACTGGTGAGTGTGCGTGTGCATTTGTGCGAGTGGGTGTGATCTGATTTTAAATACAAGCCGATATCTCTGCAGTTCATTACCTTCTTCGCCTGCGCTCATTTGCACATCAGGTGCTTCTCTCTGCAGGACCTGCAGCTGTATGCGGTTGGAAATCTTAATGAACTGCTCATTTAGACGCAGTGGTGTCCTGACATTAAAGCAACAGTGAGCTAATGTATCTGAATAAGGCCAGATGTGCTGACTGAGGCTTATGAGAGCGCTCTGATAAGAGGCTACTGTACACAGAACAGAGTAATTATTTATGAAGGGGCACTGCATGTCCTTTGGTAGGGTTAGGGTTATTCAATCAGCTGAGGCGCGTTATACTAAGGCTACATCTTAGTATTCTGCATTTCACACTGCAAAGCAAAACTGCTGCATAGCCCAACATCAGGGGTCTCAAACTCTCGTACAGCCCATAGCAGTTTATCTCTAATCTGGCCCACTATTCTTCAAACCACTTCAGGAGCCACAACATTTTTTTGTCCACTTTACTATCTTGGTTGTAAATATGTCTCAGTATGTGCTGATGTACTAAAATATAGGCTAAAAATATTATATAAACAAAAACGCAGACTTACTTTGCTATATTTACTTAGCTATAGCTGCCTTTCTCGCATCTCAGGCAGGAAACTTTTCCACAAAAGTAGAAGAGTTTCTCATAAAATGTCAACGTTCGGCCTTTTATGAGGCGGAAGTCAGCTTCTAATTCAAATTTTCTCAGTCCACCTTAAATGATTCCTGAAGGGGCCAGAATGTAACTGCTGCACCATTTAAGGTGGAATGGGAAAATTTGAACAAGAAGCTGGCGAATGAGAATCTGACTTCATCTTTGTGACTTTTTAGTGTTTGTCAGTTTCTCGTTGCAGATTAAACGTAGCAGGAAACCAGCTGGAGTGATTATAAATGCAAATAAGTCCATTCGTCTTCAAATTATCGACGTTCATCTTAAATCTTTCTCTTTGCCTTTTCATTAGCTACTACAGACCAGCAGTCTGCACGCCAGTCTTCAGGGTTAAAGGGTGAATTAGCAGTTCTACATTAACTCCATTAATTGTTAAACTGTGTTGAACAATCAGCAGAGCTTTATTTTACTGCAAAGGAGGATTATTTTATTATTATCTACAAATCTACGAACCATTCAAACAAAAACTTGATACACCGCCACACACTGAGCACACATGACTGTCATTTCGCTATATCTGAGATAACACTGTAATTTAGATCGATAGTTAAATCTGCCTTTGTGGATTCATTCATTACAAAGCGTTACACACAGCCTGTCAGAATTAAGAAATGAAAGGAACTATCAAACAAATCCACTGGCAACACAGATTCAATAACTTTGCCAACTTGATATAACTGCTTAGCAGAAAGAACAATGCTTTCACGCTAAGAGTCCCATATAATTCTACACTTAAATGTTAATTTACTTAATCTAATTGAAAACTAATTCTAATACTGACACTAATCTACTACCACTACTAGTACTACTATTACTACTTCTACTAATTATAATAATCACTAGAAAAGTGCACGTCCTGAAGAAAATGCAAAGTTTAAGCAGATCCCTGATGGCTGCTATGGTGTTGCCAGACACTCACTATGGTATTTCAGGCGGTTGCTAAAGTGTTGCTATCTGGTTCCTATAGTACACCAGGTGGCTTGTTGGGGTATTGCTAACCTTTGGTTGCTAGGGTGGTTGCTAGGATGCTGCTAGGTGGTTGCTACGGTATCCCAGGTGGTTGCTAGGGTGTTGCTAGCTGGTTGGTATGGGGTTCCACAGGATTATAACAGGATTTTGCTAGTGTGTTTGTAACATCGTGATATGAGTGCAGTGCATGAACATCTGCCCAAAAAATCGTCATTTGATAATCATTGTAAGAAAGCCATACGTCCAATCAAGCTGTATGCAAGCACATCATTCCTGACCAGACTGAACATTCCTGAGTTGGAGCAGTGTTATTATGGTGTTATTAATATTAATTGTAGTAGTGGTAGTTGTAGTACTTGTGGTTGTCAGTGACAAAAAAATTGCTAATAAATATTGACTAAGATGCACTTAAATTACAGTATTCTTTCATATTCCCAAAAAAGGGCCTTTTTTCCCTACATTTTTCCCCACAGCCAGTATTACTGGCTCCTTTTATTCAAAGCCACACCTTTGGAGTGTTGTCCCGGACGATTGACGAGCTGAAGACAGACTCTACTAGGAACTCAAGAGCCAGGCCAGTGCGGCTGCCTCCGCCCTCATACGGCAGCTCCTCCACTGCATTTAACACCTCCTTCAGGGTGGAGTAGTCTGTCAGAGCAATCCGCATCCTGAGAACAGAGAAGAGACCGGTCAAATACACACACTCAACTGATTTTCTATCCTTGTAAGGACGCACATTTGCACATAGCCTACAGCTCAGTAATCCTGAGCATAACTTAGCACTGCCAGTGCGAAGCTTGGAAAGCTTAGAAATGTATAAAGCCCCCCAGCATTGGACTGTGGAGCAGTGGAACTTCATTCTCTGGAGTGATGGAGCTCCATCCATTACCTTTGGGATGAGTTGGAGTGATCCAGAACTGACCATCCGACATCAGTACCTGACCTCACTAATGCTCTTGTGGCTGAATGCAATTAAATCCTCACAGCAACGTTCCAACATGAAATGTAAAGCCTTCCCAGGGGAGTTAAAGCTTGTTATTGCAGCAAAGTCACTATTAATACATTTGATTTTAGAAGAAATACTGGATGAGCAGGTGTCTACAAACTGTTGGACCTATAAAACCAGATGACTCATTTTGGTCACATGTTATATATAAAACTGGAGCACAAGCTTAAACACACAGTTTATGGATGCGTGTGTTGTAAAACTCTGCCTCATGCATATGCATTAGAGGGACAGCAGCGCAAAACGTGGGATACCGGTGCCCAAAGTGGGTGGGGATATTACATGTGTGAATGAGTAAATATTTCACTAGATTAACTAAATTTGAGCAGCTCACAGCTTTTAAAAACAGGCATAAATTTGCATTAGAGTCTCAAAAGATGTGTTGTTGAGAGACTTCCTTTAACAGTGCTAGCAGACACAGCGGCTACAGACTCAAACATGCTAAAAGAATGTTTACACCAAAACAACACTGTTCTCCAGGGTATATTTTGGTTTTTCCAACTGAATTTACATGCCCGAATCGTAAGGCAAATTATTCAGTAACTGCATGAAATAAATGTAAATTTTTATTTTATTTATTTATTTATTTTTTGTAAAAGCTCCCCTCAAATGAACAGAACATGTCTTTTATGATCATACAAATATTGCTATATGCATACAATTTACTGCTGAAAGCCAAAAATCTTAGACGGTCTTTGTATTATTTTATAAAATAATTTTTACAGAGCAGATCACTGAAGAGACGCCATCTGTTTATAGTTTATAGCTCAGATTTGTGGAAAAATGGGTCGAATTTCAGTAGAAAAAAAAAATTCAGAGTTCAGCTTCTTTTCTTATAAGGGTTTAAAATTACATCACCCATCTATTTGACTGGAAAGAAGACAGTTACAGCTCTCATACGACCCCCACCTTCTGAATGTAGCTTATGAAATATGAAAGTTATGAAGAATATGATGAAGTGCGTTTTGGAACCACCGGAGGTCCCAAGGAGTTGAAGAGGTTAAACACTCTAGACCAGATGTACATATGTGAAAAGATGCAGCACAAAATATGCAGTGATGTGGCAGGAATATTCCCCCTGTAGAATGTTTTGGTGGGAACTGATTATTAACAGCTCTGCTACTTCAGTGCGCTTTTTAAAGCCTGCTCCTCACTAGCCAGAGGTAAGTGGGCAGGGCTACACATAGTTTTGTGTGATAAATGTGATAAGCAGTTGTAGACTGGTTTTATTATATGCAGTATTTGCATGTTCTGAGTTGCCTTCCATATGATGTCTGTGCAACTTGACAGTGACATAAAGCAATTAAAAAACAAAGTTGCATGCAACACATTCAATTACTCCACTAGTTAGCTAAATTAGCAGCTCCTATTTTTGATACCCTCACTATAAAGTCATCTGCTCCATTTTAACTGCCCAATAAACCATCCTCTGTTTTATTTTGTTGTCCATTGATTCAGTGAAATTAGTCATTTTGGCTGTTACACAAAAGAGCTTCAAGTGAGTTGCAGGATGCTTTACATTATGCAAATCATGCAGTTTAGTTTCATGTTGGTTTCAAGCAACTAAAGTTGCACAAAAGTTTCACTGTGTAAAGCCAGCTTTAGTAAATCGAATGTTAAATTCAGGCACATGTTCTAACTCGCCTGTGCTCGCACAAACATCCGAAGCCCAGTCTCTCACATTATACCTGGCCTATTGTCCACCTCCTCTCTAACTCCCCAGAAAGCTTCTTAAGAATTCTGGATGCATTTTCCTCATTAGAGTCACGGTAAGGGATTTCCGAACAACAAAGTGGCTGAGACTGAATTTTCTCAAACAACCAGGAAAAGGCTTGGGGGCATGTTCCCCTCTCAAAGTTCCTCAGTTGAGCTCTGCATACAAAAGGAAAACTGAGGCACAAAGAAGTTTTTGAAATGCTTATTTTCTAACTGCTTGAAGAAAATGTGAAAATTCCTCCTATTTTGTATGATAACATGGTGTAATAATTTTACCTTGATATTGAGGCATCAGAAAGCTGCCAAAATGTAGTGTAAATAAAAAAGACTACTATACGTAGCATGTATAAGGAGCGTGTCCTTTCTTAAAGGAGACATGTTAAACAAAACTGCGTTTTGATAGTACACTTGTAACTATATCTACCATCCTAGAACTGGTGACTGTAAAGTCTCTACCGTTGTGCCATATTTAGGATTTGCTAATCAATGCTGCACCACAGTGAGCAAACGCCCCGCCCACTTTAATGCTGCGTTCATCACCAAGTGGGAAATGGAAGCTTTCGATTTTCAAGTAGGGAAAATCCATTTGAACATCCCTTGAACTCATAATTCTCACTCGAAAAAATGGTCAGAGTTTCTCATGAGCTCAGACTTCTCCGAAAGGCTGATCCGTGACAGTGGCACCCAGAGAGCAGACAGAACAGAGAGAAGTAATACGGTGAATTTTCAACATTTTAAACAGACTTTTGAGTTTCTGTTTGCGTGTATTATGCTATTTGTGTATAATATCAGTGAACACATGGGTATGCATGGATAATTCTAAAGTTAAACCCTTTTGTGGAAGATTTTTGATCAAGCTGTACACTTTTGTGCCACTTTTCAACACTATATTAACAGTGAAAAGTGACTTGAATAATATGTTCATGTTTAAAATAAATGAAGCGCTAACCAAGCAGCACTTTAATTCAACTGTAAACACTTTTAAGAGCTTTTTACACTCACACAGCAGCCAAACAAGGGCTAGCTTACTGTGAGCATCAACCTCACACAGCTGAAGTTGCATGAATGCTATTAGACAGGAAGCAGGAGATTTTGAGAAGGAAAATTCTGAGATCCTAGCTGATGAACGAAACACTCCCTCAGCCAGCCTTCATACTTTCATCACTGTAGCTGTCTTTTTACACACAGACGTCCGTGATGAAAAACAAGTCATCAAAACAAAACATCTCCAAAACAGTAACTTTATAGAAGAGAGCAAAACGTTCTTTACTGTCACTGTAAGTTAATGTAAAGAGATTTTATCCCAAGCAATTTTGGAGCATTTCTATTGGTCCAATCATCCTGAAATTTTCACACAACATGAAGGACAGTACCTGAGCTAAAATTATGCAGAAAACTAAAAATTGCAAAAAAGTGGATATACTTGTTTTTTTGGACAGCTACAAAACACAGAAAACATATACAGAAAACATTCGTATATACAGTAAAGATTAAGTTTCTGTGTTCAAGATTCATCAGACTATATTTCATCAATGTTAACAGGCTTTCTGCGGGGTAACTGGACCATATTCTGTCCCCACATTAGTTGGGCATACAGCTAAGCTAACAGTCTTCAGTAATATTCAGAGACAGGTTGTGTGTATATATCTATTCTAAAGGGTTCGACATCTAAACTGCAACATCCAAAGTAAATAATATTTTACTTGAATGTCTGTTATGAGCTTCAAATGAGCTGCTATAAAAAAAATGCAGATATTCATCAGTGTTATATTGATGCTAACATAACACTGAAACCTCCATTATCAGGCAGAAATTAGGCAGAAATTATCTTAGCGGTAAATGACATTTTCTTCACAGAGGAGTAACTGACAGCTCATCACACATGGGCTGAATTAAGGAGTTGTTTGATTTATATGCTTTCGAAAAGCACTGGGAACCATACTGATAGGTAAAAGAGTAAAAATATGACTTCTTTAAGGTGAGGACTGTGTCAGATTATGCTCCTTCTTAACCCCATTAAACCCTGAGGAGTTCAGTACTGGACTGGGAAAAAAAGAAAGCTTGAAATCCTTTAATTGTGATACCAAAATCTTACAACACTGGTGTTCCTGTCGGCCACTGCGGAATCAATTTCCAAAGTTCAGCATGTAGAATCTGAGTTTTCAGTGTGCTACTGTGTTTTATCACTGTTTAAAAGATGCATGAGGTTTCCTTTATTGTTGGATGCACCATGTTTTTCTTCCTGAGTCTCAGAAAGTGCTTTTATTTTATCAGGATAACGATAAAAGACTGATGTGTGACTTATATTCCTATTCATTCCTGTTTTGTAGTTCAAGAAGGCAGTTTGTGACACAAGCTGAATACAAATCTACAAACTTTCAGCTTTGTTATGCAACAGCAGTACTGAGAAATCACGTAATTAACTGAGTACAGCAGATTAAATGTCAGAAATAGACGTTTTTGCATTGAACTGAAGGGGTTAACGTTCCACACCTCACACTGCAATGTAAAACTACTGCATAATAGCCCAACATTAAGCACAAGAGGCATTTACAGCCTCATAAAAACAGTTATAGGAATTCCACAATGCGATTCTAAACACTGATACCTGCCGCTCCAGTATAATTTGTTCTGGCAGCCTTTATTTACACTGTCAGAAAAAGAAGTACTAAGTTTTACAAACATAGTCACTGGGGTTGAACCCTCAAGGACACGTCTTCAGTACCTGTAGTTAGGGAACATAATTGTACCGTTTAAGTTGAATTGACTCCAGGCTTTTAATTTAATTTAATAACGTTTCTTTTACAAGTACCTTTCCTCTGGGAAGGTGAATGTAGTGTAAGGTACACAACTGGACTGTACAGACATTGGGCCTCATTCACCAACCATTCTTAAAAAGAAATTTCTTCTTAAAACTAATTTATTCAGTTTTCACGAAGATTCTGACATTCACCAGTGTTTCCTTATTTGGGATTTGTTCTTAGCTAAGAACAGAATCTACACACACTCAAGAGCACAAAGGTGAGAACAGTTCTGCGGTTTAAGAACACGTCATGAATCTGACGTAGACTTTTTCTTAGGACTTTTCTCAAGAACACATTTAAGAAAAAACGTAGGAAGATTTTGTTGAATGAGGTCCTGATTTGTATATTTGACCTTGTTCACACCTGGTCGTTTAATGTGATTTGTATCTGAACTGTGACACTCTGTAATCAAATGCATCTCCTGTTAATCAGATTGAAATCCGATTGCTATGTGGCGTGTAATATGCAAATCAGCTCACGTACAACAACCAATCGCCTGTGTTGTTTCTCATATATAACAGTGGGCTAAAATAAAGGCTCCTCCTGAAGTGGATTGAGTGATCAGATTTGAACCTGTTTTAAATGGGTGCATTCACACCTGCATGTTTATGTGGATAATCTCTATTCAGATATAATCCTGATACCCAAGACCAGGTGTGAATGCACCCATTTAAAACAGATTCAGATCTGATCACTCAAACCACTTCAGAGGGAGACGCATTTCAGCCAGATGTTGTACAACATCAGTGGAGCACTAGCAGAGTAAAGGGCACTGTACTATAAGGTGCAAGCAATGTAAGAGCCCGTTCACACCTGCATGTTTATGTGAATAATCTCTATCTAGATATAATCCTGATACTCATGACCAGGTGTAAACAGACTCTTACATTCCTTGCACCTTACAGTACCATGCCCTTTTCTCTGACAGTGCTCCAGGTGAGGTAGTAGTCTCAGGGAAAAGCCCTTTGAGGTTAAGCGCTGTCCCAGTGGACTGGGATCAAGGCAGCAATGCCCCGGGTTCTCTAATCAGTATGAACCACTGTGTGACCCACCATCACACTCATAATCTCTCTACCTGGGGATGTCTCCGTAGACTGTAACTCCGAAGCGGACTCCCTCGGGTCCAATCAAACTGTTCTGGAAGGATCTAATGATTTCAGAGATGAACTCTTTAATCTGCCGGAAACTGGAAGGACCCACTGACCATGACTCGTCTACCAAGAACACGATGTCTGCAGGCATGGCGGTCCGGCACTCTGCAAGTGAAGAAACAAAACAATGCCTTAGCACATTTACTAACACAGAGAAGGCCATGAGCTCCTTGTGCAGAGATCCAGAAGCTCTGCTATTGGTGATAGTGGTGGACGTTGATGGCCTGGAGGATACTGGATTTTAATCTTGGTGAAATAATGTTTCTAAACCAGTAATTGGGTTATAGTGACCTACATGTGTGGCTTTCTGTGTGACCCTGGCATAAATAAACATAATTTCATAGCTTGGCTTATATTAATTTATACATGACCATTTTCCAACCTCTCTTTATCCCTTAGAATTAAACAGGCTGTTTTTGTTACTGTGCCTTTAAGACTGATACATGTAAATGAGCTATGCTCTGATTGGGTGCCCTGTATTATGCCTCATTCAAAAAGCAGCTTGGACTGAAACACTTCTTATAATGAAAGAATCAATGGGCGGGGCTAAACTGCTGTAGGTTGAATAGGTGGATAGGTTTAAATGTGTTCGTTTTTGCGACATCACAAGAACAACGAATTAAAAATGGGCTGTTTTTGCAGCTACGTTTCCATCTATGGATTGTACGGACTGGAATCAATAGCTTTGAAACTTTAATAATATTTTCACACTACATCAAACTCATTTCAAAAAAGGGAGCACAATAAAGTTTTCCATTTTATGGGCACTTTAACCATTAAAATCCCAGGCTTATTACATACTAAGGCCTATTATTCAGTAACTACAGGCAATTTAATGCAAACTGGTTGAGCTGTTTTGAAGTTACAGAAGTGTGTAATAAAACTTTGGGCCCTGGGCATTTAAGGGGTTAATGTCTAATGTGTTATTGGTATTACTGTGTATGTTATGTGTATAGTTGATATCTGTCAGAAATACCCTTTTCCGTAAGGACTACACCAGAAATTTTCTAACTTTTACTCTTATTACTAACAAATATAGCATGCAAAATATAGGATAAAACATAGCACAGTAGTGTAGAGCACATAATAAATGTAGAGGCTGGGAAATTTCTAATGTTGTACACAAAACATCTTAAGAAAGAAAACTGCATAATTAAATCATTAAGCTGTAAACAAACTCATTCAGAGTGGTTTGGTGTGAAATGCTCCGTTCTATAAAAATGTACCGAATCAGAACTGTTCACAGTGGTGGTGATAGGAACCAGACGTCCACCTCTAAACTCCTCTAAGCTCCCTCACAGAAAGTTACTATATGAAGTGGTTATGAATATGTTGAAGTCTGAGACACTGTTTTACAATAGTTTTGAGAAGGTTTTGGCCTAAAATGTATTATTAAGATCCATTCATGATAGAGGGATACATGCAGAGCACTGTGAGGCAAAACAGACCCAAAAGAAAACGACTTTTTCAAATTTATCACAATTTTACCATCATCAACATTACATATAAAAGCTCAGAAGACACGTGTAGGTTCACTGCTGGTTTTGGATAGTAAATAAAATGTCTATATTTGTGTTGTAGTCATGGTGACCCCTGGTTCCTATCACCACCACTGTAAAGAGTCGCTACAATCAACCCTTTCACACCAAACCACTCTGAATCACTCTGTGGACATTCCAAAGCCTGAATTACACAATTATACATTTTGCCTTGAAATGGAAGATAAACTGAAAAGAGTGGTATTCTTCCAAGTTACCACTAGATGGCAGTGTGGCCTCAAGAAAAAATGTGACCCTCCTGAATATGATCTGCATACCTGTCGGTTGGTCAGATAATGCTATAGCCCACTTTTTAATGGCCTGTCATGACATGAGTACAGCACAGACCACTGGAGGGAAATAATATACAGGCACATTGTTTTTTTTTGGTCCCTCAGAAGTCAGAAGTTATCAATGTGTGCATATGAAAGCACATGATATGTATTCCAGCACTCACTGTCACAGTCTCCCTTTTGTAACTTTTCTCTCAGCTCCCCTGCTGATACTGTACAGGCCTTCAGACAGATCTATGCTCTGCTTTGTGATCTGCTTTTGATTACTGTAGCTCTAGCTGGGCATAAGGGAACCGCAGGCACATTATTCAGCTCAGGCACTATGAACAAGACCCCCTATGTTCTTGAGACGTCCAGCATTGGCCATTTAGGCTTTTTTTTTTAGAAAGGCAGTTAGATCTTCCTCCCACATATTGCACTGACCAGATGTCTTAAGTAGTTGAAATAGGAGCCAAGCGCATTTAAACAGATCTTGCCAGTTCCAGTCAGGGGACAAAGCTGCAAATGATCAAATGCCAATAAAGTAACTGAACCTACAAATCAAAAGAAACTGGATACAAACTTTATCCTGATCTTTGCACTTGTTTCCTATTATTATTTTGTAATATATTGCTCATACATACATACATACATACATACATCATCTAAACCGCTTATCCTTCTGGGTCGCGGTGGGGTGCTGGAGCCTATCCCAAAATGTATTTAGACATTTTAACCATATAATCACTGGTAAGTTTAGTCAACAAGTAAAATGCTCAACAAAGTCATGTTTATTTCAGCAAAGAACACTTTTGGCACAACATCAGACTGATAGCAGACTCTCCAGGTGGAGAAAGCCTGGAGAAGAACTCTAACCAGGCTGCACTAACCAGGACTGTAAAGCACAGAGGTGAAAATGTCAAAGCCAGGGTTTTTTTTATGGAGGTGTTGCTGAGCTAGTATTGATGGGATCATGAACTCAGAAGTGTTTAAAGGCATTTTGGATGCAAACCTGCAGAAGTCTGCAAAGAAACTGTTCAAACCATCACGATCTGGAAATGATCTCGGAGGTCTGTTTAAAATACAAACCCAATTCCATGTTGGGAAAGCAGGTAAAACAGAACAAAAACAGAAAACAGCGATTTCTAAATCTATCTTAAACTATATTCAAAACAGTACAATGACAACATGTAATGGTTTATCTTTTTAACTTCATTGTTTTTTTTTATTCTGAGATTGATGCCTGCATCACATTCCAAAAACGTTGGGACAGGAGCAATTTAAGATAAGCAATATTGAGACTATCACTGTCAGAAAAACAGTACTGTGCAGGTCCGTTTTTTTGTTCATCAAGTTACAATGTAAATGTACTTTCAAAGGTACAACAGTGGTTTTGAGGTCTACAGTTTCTATGTCAACAACACCCAGAAACGCCGCCGACTTCTCTGGGCTTAAGCTCACCTGAAATGGACTGATGGACAGTGGAAACTTGTTTACTGTGGTCTGATGAGTCCACCTTTCAGATTGTTTATGGAAATAACAGACATTGTGTTCTTTGGGCCAAAGAAGAATAGGATGGTCCAGACTGTCACCAGCATAAAGTCCAAATGCCAAGGTCTGTCATGGTATGGGGGGTGTTAGTGGGTAATTTGCACATCTGTCAATGCACCATTAAGCCCTTGGATTAAAGAGTGTAGAACACCACATTACCAATTAAACCTGAGGGGAGCACACGGCTAAGTTAGCTAATAAGCAAGACTGTCTGGCTATTAATTGTTCCTTTGTCAGCTCGCTGGATTTAGTGTCAGTGAGTAGCCGAAACAAACAATAAGATCAAATTAACACAATGGAGGCCTTAGGTTAAAAACCAGACACATTATAATAGGCAATGTCCACTGCAGCGTTTTTGTGAATGGACAGCCTATTGTTAAATACATCCATCCAGCATCTACCCTTTCCATCCATATCAGGAGGAGGAGAGTGGTGGATTAAACCCACAAAATACCAGTGAGCTTCAGAAATAAATAGAGCATGGTGACAGCCTGGGACATCCTCATCACTGTTTGCTAGCTACCTTTGCTAACACTGGAAGTACATTATGTACGTATGTAATGGGGAATGCACACTGTTATCCTTAAAATACATAATCATATTTACCTCCCCTACAGTCCAGAAACAGTGCTGCTTATTTGCATGGATTGCTGCTTAAAGAGGCTTGATATTTTGGCAAAGTACTCTTTAGCATCTATCCTCCTACCTTTTTAGCACCAATAGGCTGCTGAGAGATCATGTTATGTATGTATTGCTTCTTATCCATAGCCAAGGGTCACTTCAGATAAACAATGAGAATTTTCACAGCGTTTGATTGGATGATAGCTTTGATATAGAGTACTGTATTTGCAACCAGGTATTAGACTGATTATGCAGAGACCTGTTTGAAGTGTGTTGGTGTTTATTTTAAAGCATACATTGCAAATCTTGCAGGACTGAAGCTGGTCACTGTGTGCTGCTGAGATATACATAAAACATATTCACCGATCAGGCATAACATTACTATTTAGGTACTATTTGGGTGGTGGATCATTCTCAGCACTGCAGTAACACTGACGTGGTGGTGGTGTGTTAGTATGTGTTGTGATGGTACGAGTGGATCAGACACAGCAGTGCTGGAGTTTTTAAACACTGTGTCCACTCACTGTCCACTCTATTAGACACTCCTACCTTGTCAGTCCACCTTGTAGATGTAAAGTCAGAGACGATAGCTCATCTGCTGCTGCACAGTTTGTGTTGGTCATCCTCTAGTCCTTCATCAGTGGTCACAGGACGCCGCCCACAGGACACTGTTGGCTGGATATTTTTGGTTGGTGGACTATTCTCAGTCCAGGAGCGACACTGAGGTGTTTAAAAACTCCAGCAGCACTGCTGTGTCTGATCCACTCAGACCAGCACAACACACACTAACACACCACCACCACGTCAGTGTTACTGCAGTGCTGAGAATGATCCACCACCCAAATAGTACCTGCTCTGTGGGGGTCAATGGGGGTCCTGACCACTGAAGAACAGGGTAAAAGGGGGCTAACAAAGTATCAGAGAAACAGATGGACTACAGTCTGTAACTGTAGAACTACAATGTGCACCTATATAGTAAGAGGAGCTGATAAAATGGACAATGAGCGCAGAAACAAGGAGGTGGTCATAATGCTATGCCTGATCGGAGTAACTAGCCTATTTTATTTTAAGTATTGTGTGACAAAATGTGTAATAAAGTATAAATACGCTTGCATTACAATAT